GCGCATAGGGTTATAAATCGTGAAACCCCGCAACAGTGTCGACAGATTAATGCGATTAGGGTTATAAAGTGTGAAACCCCGCAACTGTGTGACAATTAATTGTAGCCGTTTCTTGTAGATTGTTGAATAAACCAATTAACGATCTCTACGGCGTCGTCAGTAACGCAAACGCGTTACACAACAAAATGGAACAACTATTCGAAATGCTGAAAGAGGCAGAAGCCAACAGAAAAGCCGACATGGAAAAGTTGGAGGCCAATAGGAGGAAAGACAAAGAGGATCTCCTGGCGAAATTAGAATGGAGTCAAGGAAAAACAAATAGCATGCTGGCAACATTATACGCCGATAGAAAAACTGATAAAGACGAGTTAATGGCCAAATTAGACGCTAACCAAGAAAAGGCGGCTGCAGACAAGGAAGAAATGAAGGCAGAAATGCGATCTATGCGGTCAGAGTTGAATGAGACAATCCAACATAGAATTGAAAACATTTTTGCGATCTTCGAACACGACAAACAGACTCTCCGGTCAGAAATAACTGAGCAGATTGAAGTGTCCCTCTGCGAGCGGACAGATAAACTCCAGGAAGAGATAACGAGAACCTGCGCAGCAATTGACGAAACCAAACGCGAGTTCACGGCCCGGTTGGACATAGTGCAAATGAAAGCCGAGCGGGGAAATACGTCAACGATCGTCGCGAGCACAGCTCAGCCACCGACATTCAACGGGAATTCAACGTGGAGCGTGTTCCGGCGACAATTCGAGACCGTGGCAGAGCACAACCAATGGACGGATAAGGAAAAATCGACGTACTTAATTACGGCCCTGAAGGGTCGGGCGGCGGAAATACTGCCCGGCATTCCGGCAAATACAACTTACGAGGAAACTCTTCAGGCTCTAGAGGACCGTTTCGGGGACCAACACTTTGCAGCTGCCTACCGCTGCCAATTAAGAACAAGGACCCAGAAACCTGGAGAATCCCTGCAAGACTTTGCCACGGCCATTGAACTGCTTTCCCGTCGTGCCTACCCCAATCTACCTGAAGACCACATAGGAAGAGAGGCAGGAATAGCCTTCGTATACGGAATACGAGATGCCGATATAAGGTTCCAGCTGCTGCTAGGAGGTGAGAAGAAGGTAAACGAAGCCCGCCCCGCCACCAGTTGTCGCGTATCGGGCGTATGTCGCGACAAATAAATTCTCGATGTATTCGATGTAGCGAATTTTATTTCACATTCGCACTTACAATCACCCAAATTACAGATTTACGATTATTGCTATCTGCAGTATCACAATTAGCACACTCCAAATGCCACAATACAACTGACTGGCTGACTTTCCGTCTCGACTCGGCGGCTGTTACTTTATAACTCGGCGGATGTCACAGTACAACTGTGTTAGGCGGCTGCTACAGTAGAACTCGCTGGTAGCCACGTTAGAACTGAACTCGTACCGGCACTGCAGCTCACTTATATAGCCGCAGGATTGCCTGTTACGTTCCACGTCACAGTAGGAAGCAGTTCCGCGTCACCGCGTGACGTCACGCGTGATGTCACCGCGGAGGGGAGTGGCGGGGCGGGCTTCGTTACCATGCGGAGGAGGGGAAGGGGAGCGCTGACTCACCCGCCGCGTCACTGCTGGTGGGGGGGTTCTCTTTTGCGCAACATGTCACAATATTAACATATGTACATTATTACTTACATTAATTTAGAAGTAACTGTATTTAATTAGGAGTTATTATAGGTACAATTTTTATTCTCATATTAAATATAAACATGTAAAATATTGTCATGTGTAGGGGGGTACACATGACAAAATGAGGGGTTCTAGTTTGGATGATTTATTAACAGCTGGTTACACACTCTCTCTTAATTACAATCAAATTAAAGCGCTATCACTGATTTACATACACCACATAATCCACTGTTACACGCACACTAGTTCTCTATTGATAATGGATCTCAACACGGAAACTAGCACTTCAAATCAGTCCAAGTATTATCCATAATTAAAGTCTTTCAATCACATGCCAAGTCTTCAAACGACGAACTTCCCGTGGCTGTCACTTAAACACTTAAACACTCTCAAATATTCCCTATTACTACTTGGTTATTCCTGGAATCTTGTTATAAAGCCTTCACACCAACCACACAAAAAATAGTCTCTGTATTATTGAAATGTGTTTACCAAGTGAAAAAAGTAGTCTTCTGGGATTTGGCACCGTGTATATGTGGTGTTAACCGACGTTTCGGAGGAACGTATCGCCTCCATCTTCAGGGTAGAAGAAAAAGTATAAGAAATCTGCAAGCGACAAGACCGTGAGAACGGTAAAAGCAGACTGCAGACGTCGGTTAACACCACATATACACAGTGCCAAATCCCAGAAGACTGCTTTCTTCATAGTCACCGCCGTGAAAGCCTCAAATGTTTACCAAGTGATTGCACAGCGATGATCATGGCGCTGACCGCATTCCCATTGTTGCCTTGTGTGCATCTGGTTGTGAGGTGTTTCGCGGTCAGTTACCTAGTAACACCATGTCCATCCACGATACATTACTCCCTCCTTAAGGCTGTTCATCCCAAATAGCCTATTGGTGCTTCAGCGTACCCTTTCCTCCGAAGGTTCTCTTTGCAACATCATCTTTTTTCTGTGGTTTGGTCCTCTTTCAAGGTGACTATTCTCCAGCTGCTACATCGGCTCCCTCCTTAAGGCCAGCTTGTCTCAAGCAGTTCCCTTATAAGGTTTCCAGTCAGTCCAGATTCTCAACATAATCCAAAGTTATCTTCTCTCTCTCTAGTGGGAGCCATAACTCCTAGAGTAGCCGGGGCTCCCACATATCCGGCTCTTCTTACACTAATGCTGCTTCTTTTTCCGCTTTGGAGGGGGGCGACCCTCCCAAAATGTCCAGTTCTTGATTGCCTGCAACATGCTGGAAATATCAATTGCTCATTTCCCAATCTCCAGCCCTAGGGTCTTCTTGAATTTCCTCTTACGTTGTAAATGCAGTCTTAGTCTTCGGTCCCTTATGCCATTGTTGCATTCCAGGCCTTTCCTGGAATGTCCCTTTCTGGGTTTCTTCTTAAGTATTGTCCCCGACTGAATATTTCCTGACGAGGTTTCCCTTGCGTGGTACCACTCCTGCATGGTGCATCATCTTTCTGCTGGTGGCCAATTCCTGCCATTGTCCACAATTACCCTGAGTCAAAATTTTCCTGCAGACTTTTATCTTGCGCCATGCAACTGCTTCATGGTGTGATTCCGTCCTGCAGGCAGCAGTCAACTTCCTCTGGGATCCACAATCTCCTCGGGTCAGTTCCTTTGGTTCTAAATGTCACCCTGAAGCTTGCTTCCGGCCACTATGCTGCTGCTTCCGTCCTTTGACCGATTTCTCTATGGCATCTTCCTTGGGAAATTCTTGATGCTCCACTATGGACGTCATCATTCTTGGATCAGGCTGAATCTTCTCTGTATCTGCCTATGTCGGTTCGTAGCAGATGGTCATCTCTTGGCAGGCCTTCATGTCTGCTGAGGTTGGCTCCTGGCATTCCAGATGTGTCTCTGTTGTCAAATTGTCCCATATTTATGGTGTAACCACTGCTGAAGAATCCAAGATCTTCCAAGTCGCCAACTTCTGACACCAAATATGTCACTTGTAGGGGGGTACACGTGATGAAATGATGGGTTCTAGTCCAGATGATTGGATTTTTGTACAGCTGTTTACACACTCAATCTTAATTACACTCAAATTACACTGAGCGCTACTGCTGATTTACATGCACTCATAATCCACTGTTACATGCAACTAGTAATCTCTTGGTAATGGATCTCAACGGAGAGACTAGTGCTTCAAATCAGTCCAAGTATTACAGATAATTAAAGTCTTCCAATCACACACCAAGTCTTCACATGACGAACTTCCCGTGGCTGTCACTTAAACACTCTCAAATACTCCCCAATACACTCGGTCGTAGACTTATGACCGACTTCTGTTCTCACTCACAGGTCGTAAGTCGATCTGGTTGTAGGTCACCCATATATTTATTAACAATATTTTTTAACCTTTCTAATCTTTTTATCATCTTTATAATTCATTTTTAAAAATTTTTACATTTTAATCATCTTTTATTTTTCACTTTAAATACAGTAATGTTGCCTGTGTGTGTGTGGGAAGCCTGTGTTGCTGGATGCACCCCTGGTTATCGCACACGCAGCTGCCTGGTAGTGTCCTCAGGCCTCCCAGCATTGATGTGCCTTAGTAGCACATCCTGATTTATTATTAATTTATTTATCTTTTTTTTTTTTGTGGTCATAAGTGTGGCCGGTTGTAAAGACGCGTAGGTCGTAAGTCGACAACCAAGTGTACTACTTAGTTATTCCTGGAATCTCATTATAAAGCCTTCACACTGGCCACACAGAAAATAATTTCTCTATTGTTGGAATGTGTTTACCGAGTGATCACATAGCAATGGTCATGGCGCCGACCATACAGAAAATGCCGCACTCCCATAGTTGCCTTGCATGTATTCAGTCACGAGGTGTTTCGCGGTCAGTTACCTAGCAGCACTGTGTCCATCAATATTACAATATTTTTTCCCATACAGCCTAAAATTATGGTTTTAAGATTTGTGATATTAGTGGTATAAAAGAGGATATACAGTAAAATGATGAGTGAGTACAACTTTAGCAATACTATTCATTCATTCTGTGATGTCCAAGACATAATTAAGTAAGTTCACTTCTGAAGACAGGAGAAAAGACAATGTGTAACTATCAAAATAACAGTACTGAGTGAAGTGAGACTCACTTATCCATGCCACTGAAACCAGTTACAGAGCACAGCTGTTGGATATATATACCCCCCAAAAAAATTTCCCTTACTGGAAGCCAATCCCAAAATAGATCTGCTCTGTAGGGAGCCTGTTGAGTTTTGACGCAGTAGTTCAGAAACAGGATGCACCTGTGTCTACGTGTTACTGAAACAAAGTTCTAACTACACACGGAGACAATTTTTTAACAAATCAAGGAAATCAAAAATGGAAAGTAAAGTCTAAGTTTCACTGTACATGGTCTTTCATCCATTTGATTTGCCATTTGGTGGTTTCTGTTTGTAACTGTATTTTGTACTCATTGTTATTTCTGATAATACACTTGGTTGCTTTCTAAAATTTTTCCACTTTGGTTATGTGTGTTACATTATTTATTACCTAGCCATTCATCTGGGTCCAAACCACATAAACAGACCTCATCAGAAAATATTTTTCATGTGCTACAGGCTTCCTCAAATCTCACTAAACACAGTAAAATTTCAAACAACCTCAATCAATTTGACTTACTTTATAAGAGGATAGGGTTTGGAAGTTGGAGCACAGGCATTTATTTTGGACAGGGTCTTTCGAACATCCCAACTCCTGTGTACGTCTCATCTGTGCCATCTGGAACTCCAGTTTGAGTCTCAGATTCTGAAATATAAATTATTTTATTAGGCCACCACATGTGGATACCAAATTTGTAACAGTAAACAAAAATTGTCAGGTAGATTTTCATAGATTTTCACTGACATTCTCAGAGCTGTGACAATGATTTTCTGAGTAGTAACATCATGTAGTTTGGCAGGAGCACATTGGTATTCTTAACCTTCCAGTGCCGGGCAACGTACATAGCACGTCGGCATTTAAATGCCACATCTTGCCGGGAGACGCTGTCATGCGTCTTATGCTGCTTTTCATGTAAAGTAATACTTTTGCTATAAATTGAAAGAGGAAATTTCTGTCTATCATTTCGTACATTCGTTATCCCACTTTGAACTTCCCGGGGTATTTTTTTTTTACATTAGAAGTCTCTGAAGAAGTTCCGTAGCTTGCCGTCTAGGTTGCAGTATTGCAATACAAATCTGTCTCCATCTCTTGGAGAGTTAGGAACTAAATATGCTAGGTTTATAGTCTGTGACCTCCTTGCATGTTGGTTGAAGGAAAGTCTGTGATCTCTCTGCGTGTTGGTCGATAAAAAAATCGATTTCCATTCACCAGTGACGAGTGCTGCTTCTTGAACGGAATGAGAAACCACGTGTAGAAAACCTAACAAGAAAGATACGTGACACTGACCTCTGTTATGACAGCAGTTAGATATGATAAACAAATGCCTTGTTTGCATTCCTTGAGGTTCTGTTTGTTCCACATAGCTAATGCAGCTTGCATGTAGCAGCCATAGCTGGGACAAGCAAGAGACGTTCAGCTGTGTTGAGCGACGAGGACTTACAGTGTTTGCTTGAAAGTGATTCCGAACAAAGTCTGTCAGATTCGGATTTTGACACTGAAAGCAAGTTAGATGATCGTGCCTTGATTGAAGCTGTTGGAAATGAGGGCAGCATTGAGTGTTTCCGCGACTACCACACATAGCTGAATTTTTAAGGTAATTAATAATTTTTATACGCTTACTGGCCCAAAAATAATTTTAATAATTTAGTGTGGGTCAATACTTTAATTCTATATACTTCTCTTGACGTTGTGTGAAAATCTGAAAAACAGAACTCCAGTTTTTCCCCGTTTATTAAGCTTTAAGTTAAGTGCTGCATTCTCCGATTAAATTATTTAAATAGCCCCGGCACTGGAGTGCAAAAACGATTTAAATGCCCCCGGGACTGAAGGGTTAAGGAACATATTTCCTCCTTCAGGGTCAAAGAGTAGGCCAAAAAGGAGCTATCAATAAGAGAACAGTAAAGCAGAGTAACTCTACTTGCCGCCTACCCTTCCAACATACTCGGGACTTCCAGTGATGGTGGATGAACTGGTAAAGATAGGGAAAGAATCAGCCATGACATCAAGCATCCCAGATAAAATCTGAACTCAGCAACTCCTGCATATAAGTCTAGAGCATTATGATTATCACAATACATTCTACTGTTATGTCAACATGTAAAGAAAGCCTAAAAGCAGATTATTAAGAAATAAATCACAACTGTGTGAAGTGAACTGATCTAGCTAGTGAACAAAAACCTTACACTTCAAGTCAGTTAGGTTTCCAGTGATACAGGCATGTATCATCTTAATGCAACTTCCTAAAATCCTATGCTTGGTATTTGGTATAGATGTAAGTACGTAACATTCTTCTTATGAATGTAACATGTACTAAACAACATTACAATGTATGCTAAGAATATGAAGTATGGTGATACAAATTTGCCTGAGAAGGCTAGCAGAGGCCTTCACTGTCCTGCCCACAAGTTTCAGGATCTGCTAATACTAAAGACAGGGATATGTTCAATGTGTGTAAGCAAACCTGACCTCAATTAAGGCAGCATCATTGAGCTTTGCATCCCTTGTACGTACTCTTTCGTCATTCATCATGTCCTCCAAGTTCTTTATGGTGCTTTCCTTCTTTCTGAGATCATCCTGAAGTTGACGTGTTCCAGCTCTTTCTTCCTCCAAGTCAATACTGATAAAAAAATATTGTAATTTATTAACACTGCATTAAGAATCAGCTTATTCTAAGTAACACAGCCAGACCTCCAGTATGTTCTCAAATTCTACTCAACCTCGGTCTTATAATAAACTTCACACAGATATCTTTCTAAGTGATATTTGTAAACTCTATACTGTCTTAACTGAAATTCTGCAAGAATACTATATTCTTTCATATCTTTTCTACACCTTACAGTTTATAAATTATTACTGCATTACAGCTTTACAGAAGAAAATTCCTGTGTAAGTGTGTTTGAATTTCCTGTCAGCATAATGCTGGAAGTGCATTCAGAATAGAATCTAGACACCAATAAAGATATGTATATAAGTCAATAAGTAAGTTACAAATGGATATAGAACATAAACAAATAAGAGTACTGATTTGAAAAATTCTTTTATTTCTCAACATAATCTCCCTGTACATTGAGACACTTGTCCCATCATTTCACAAGCCCCTAAAACCAGCAGCATAAAATTCTTTGGGCTGCTGTCGCATCCAGGCAGTGACCGGGATCACGAAGGCAAACTGCTCACTGCATTCCAGCCTCAAGAACAAACCGTAAATTCCGACTCCTACTGTAACATCCTCAGGAAACTTCGTAAGGCCATTCAACGGAAGCGACCAGGACTCCTCACCAAAGGCGTGTTGCTCTTGCATGACAACACGCGTCCCCATACTGCCAACAAGACAAATGAGATGCTGCGAAATTTCAAGTGGGAAGTCCTCAAGCATCCTCCATATAGCCCCGACCTTGCTCCAAGCAACTTCCATTTTTGCGGCCCTCTTAAACATCATCTTTCAGCTGAACATTTTCCCAATAATGAAGTAGCAGAAAGGGAAGTCGCCACCTGGTTCCGACAGCAGCCAAAAGAATTTTATGCTGCTGGTTTTCAGGGGCTTGTGAAACGATGGGACAAGTGCCTCAGTGTACAGGGAGATTATGCTGAGAAACAAAAGCATTTTTCAAATGAGTACTCTTATTTGTTTATTAACTTACTTATTGACTTACGCTCATATAGCAGACTGTGTAATTAACTGACAATTATGAACCCTTGTTCCTACAGTAGATGGAGTATATTAAGAGTACCATCTTCTGCAATGTGACACCATAGTCTGGCAGAAGTTCACTGATGTTGCAGAGGAATGCACTGTCTACAAAAGTAATAACAAGAAGCAGGCAATAAACCAAGTGCTCTGCTCATGGCTATTTCTTGCTTGGCTCATTCTTTGATCCTAAACATATATTATACATAAAATCATAATTTTATGCTCATCTAAATATACTGTGGCATGCTGCCAGAAAGCCGAAACGGTTGAGGAAATCAGGGTTGATTTCTTAGGCAATGACCAACGTTCCGGTAACAGCTGCTAGGAATCGGAAGGCATCCATGGCTACACAATAGCTAGCAATCTAACAGCGGAGTTTCCACCATTACACACAAATTGTTTGAAGCAGTTTTTGCATAACAGCAGGCGAGGTTAACCCTTCAACATGGTATTCCCTAGAGTCCAAGTGAAAGTTATAAGACTCCAACTGTGACATGAGACTAGTTCAGTTTATATTTGACCTTAGAAGAGTAGAGTTGGTATTCAGCAAGAGAACAGAAGAGTTCTCATCCAAGCAGAGCAGAAGACATTTCACCGAGAATAGCAGTGCGAGAGTGTCATATCATTGAAGAGGAAACGTCCGAAGACGTTATAAGATATGAATAATTGTAAGTGTGAGTGTAAACGTGACTGTCCAATAAATATTCGTTCAAATCCGAAATCCACAAAACTTCTTGCTGCGTTACCTAGCCAACACGCATCAATATCACTATATTTCTGGATTTAGGATACTGTACTAGTAAAAATCCCTTTCTACTGTATATGTACTTAAAGATCTATATCTCATATAGTCTCAAAATCTTATATGGAATAGGTATATATTTTTAATGCAATCAGAGAGTCTACATAATTTCTGTTAATGGTCCAACATTCCATATTCATACAAGGACAGAAATGTCTGGAAATAAGGCCACCCTCATCAAAATGAATCTGAAGTAAGGGTTGTTTCAATGGTCTTTGCGAACAGCTGAAAATGTTGGACTTGGAGAATCAGGAATTGAAGTTGTTCTCCTTCAGCATCTCAGGGCTAGAGCTAAATGTAGAGATGGAAACACTAATAACATAACAGTAAGAAGAGAGAGGCCTCACATCCCATTCCAATTCCTACAAAAATTTCTCAACGTGGAAATAAATCAAATAGCACAAAACCCTGAAGTGGCTTTTCAGAAAGCTGTTGTAGCTGACGCTCACACTCTTATATTTTCTTGATGACACCAAATGGTCTGCTTACATTCTGGAGGACTCAGCAGTTTCTGTCCCTAGGGTGAAGTGATCAACAAATGACTTAGTCCAAATTCAAATTCATCAACTAGAAACATAAGTGTTCCTACAGGCCCATTGTTAAGTACCATAAATAAACATATAGCAGCTGGATCTGCTGTTAGTCACTACACCCTGAAAAAAGAAACAGATATTTTCACCAAAATGTCAGCAAACTACCCCACCTAACCCTCACGATTGAGTATTACAGGTATGAGGACTGCCTTAAGTCACCTGAAGATGTCCTGGTCCACCCAGCATGGTGTGGACTACTATAAACCAAAACACAAGTCTAAGTGCTTCAAAATGTATTCTGTGCAAAAGTTAAACATACGCATATTGACGAAGCTGTTTCTCTTGGTAAGAAGAGAGCTCCAGCAGACGATCTCGCTGCTCTTCAAGTTCCACAGTAGATTGTTCCTGCAGCTGAAGACGTTCCTGTAACTCTCTCCTCCACTGCTGTTCTTGATTCACGTGCTCTTGCATCTTATGAATGTGTTTTTTCTCTTGACATAAACTTTCTTCCAAGTCATAAACTGCAACAATTTATGACATTCTGAAATATGCTATAAAATCCTCATATGAAAGTATTTCAACAAACAAGGAACTAATTCAAAAACAAAATCTACATGGTTGTAAAAGAACAAGAAATGAAGACAAGGGACAGCATTTACACTTGCTTAGCATATACAAATAACTGTCTACAAACATAACTATGAGGCTCTTCCACAAAGTAAGTTTCCCTGGGGCCGTTTACAGAAACAAAACACAATTTCATGGAAATATTTATTGCAACAGATACAGCAAGTGTTCAGCTATTTTTCAAATAATTGCCACCGGAATTGAGACATCTGTCATACCGTGGGACCAACTTTTGAATACCTGTGTCATAGAAGTCTGCCGCCTGGGATTGGAACCACTGTGTGACAACCATCTCTGCCTCTCTGTCATTCTCAAAACGCTGACGCTCACCGGACAGGAATTTCTTGAGGTGTAGGAAAAGATGGAAATCACTGGGAGTGAGGTCCGGGCTGTATGGTGGATGATTAAACGCCTCCCAGCTGAACTCCTACAGGAGACTTGCTGTCCATCGAGCCGTGTGCGGCCTAGCGTATCGTGCAGGGAAGACAATACCGGCACTAAGCATCCCACGACGCTTGTTCTGAATGGCCCGTCGCAATTTCTGCAGTGTTTCACACTAACACTCAGCATTCACCATCTCACCTCTGGTCAGAAAGTCAACGTCTGTCTGTATTCTGTCCCACAATACCGTGCACATCATTTTCTGTGCCAACGTCTGCTTGAATTTCGTCTTACAGGGAGATCCACTGTGACGCCAATGCATTGACTGCTGCTTGGTTTCTGGGGTAATGTGTGCAATCCACGTTTCATCACCTGTGATGATCCAGTCCAAAAACTCGTCGCCGTCATCATGGTACTGCTGCAGAAATGTCAATGCTGTTTCCATGCGCTTTGTTTTGTGTTCTGGTGTCAGGTGCTTTGGCACCCACCTGGCGCACAGTTTCCTGAACAACAGATGCTCCGTGACAATTTTGTGCAACAAGGAGCGGGAAATCTGCAGGACATGACTGCTGAGTTCCACAATTGTGACACGACGATTCTCCATAATGCATTCCCGCACAAGCTCCACCAGGTTGTCTGTAATGATGGATGGCCGCCCACTGCGCTTCTCATCATGCACACTTTGTCGACCTGCTGAAAATCGTCTGCATCAGCGATGCACCATCTGCTTGCTCATGACGTTAGGCCCATAGACCCGGCACAGCTGATGATGAATTTCGATCGGCGCTATGCTCTGTGCATCGAAAAACTTTATCACTGACCGCACTTCACAGTTGGCGGAAGTTGGAATAAGAGCCTCCATCTTCAACAGCTGCAACGATGCTACTGTGGGAACAGGGGAAATCCCGCTTGTGCATGTGCCATGCTACGTCATTGCTCTATCATGTACGCGCAGTCGCTTTGCGCAATATAAGGTTTGCTAGCTGTGGGATGAGTGGGAAACTTACTTTGTGGAATTCACAATTAAAAATCATGCATAATGACATTAAATTATTTTGAAGATTTCCACGTTCTGGGGATATAACGCCATGTGGTCTGTTGATAATCAATATTATTTTTTGAATGAATATGCTGCCTCCATCTTGAGGGTCAATGAATCAATCAATCAAAAAAAAAAAAAAGAGAGAGAGAGAGAGAGAGGACAGTCACAGAGCATAATATAAGTGGAGCTCTGTTAGCTACGTGTTGCCTGGTGGTTTCTTGCTTGGCTTGTTCTTTGACCACGAAGATGATGGAGGCAACATGCTCCTCCAAAATGTTGGCTGATTTTGGAAGGACTGCATGGAGTTATATGCCAGAAGATATACCCTTCATAACCATTGCTCTGGGAACCTTAAGTCCTACAGAAAATTATTTTAGATATCAAACATCTTTATTGTCTGGGTGGTATGTAATGAAAAGAAAAGAAACTGGAATTTCTCCTCTTGTGAGGTGTCTGTACCAAGTGAGCACAAATGTTCAACACAAATTATTTAATCAATAAAAGGAAATTAAGAATCAGAAAAATGGAATGCTTGAGGTAAAACAGCAATTATTCTATAAAGTATAGATTACAATTTAATTTTTTCACATAATGGTTTGCAGACAACAGACTGGGACACAAATATCTATATAAAATGGATACATGGCATTTCAGAGGCTGCTTCTACCTCACTCTTCAGACTGAGAGAAAAGTGCATTTTTCTGTGCATTTCACTATATGCAGCTAGTCCTCATCACTAGTGTCTGAAGCACATAAAAGTATTGTTATGTATTTGAGGGTGACTACAGATAGGGTTTAAATTGAATATATTTATTGAACAGTTACTAGTCAAAACTATAAACATCTATACCACTATCACTGATTTCCAGTCTTCACATATCACTACAAGCTAAGTCTTCTCAGTTTGCTTCCACTAGTTGTTTCCTGGTAATGAATCTTAACAATCACAATTCTCTAGCCCTGGGGCAGACCCAACAGAAAACACTACCTCCAACAGTCCTCCTATTGTTGTTATGGGCAGTTGCCTAGCAATAGCTTGGGTGTCACTGATGTGTTTACTGGCAGTTACCAAGCAATGTATGTTTCTTCTCATGATCATTGCATAGCAATGGTACTACATTATACAGTATGCTGCATTCTGGCACAGGGACATCCATCATAAACAAGACTGGAACAGTGCATCCTGTACTAGGGTATACAGAGATTTCACAAGTTCTTCACAAAATACTTCTTTATGAAAAGTATGCCATTGATCTTTATGGAAACTGATATGGCTCAACAACTTTTTGTCAGGACCTCCAATATTGAATTCAATCAACATGCATCTCACAATTCTTGAGCTTAATGCACAGTTGGCTGTACAAATGGACTGAGAACCTCAAACAGTCTCCCCTGTATGCAATCTGTTTATGCATGTCAGATGATTATTACATTAACAAGGAATGTAATCCAAAAATTATGTACAGTTACCCAAGGGCACTCAAACCACAAAGCCTGATAATTAAGAAGAGATCTGGTATTTTATGGCTTCTTTAGAGTAGTACATAACTACTACTACACATAATAGAAACATATGCAGTCTAACTTCTACTACTAACTTCTCTTCTGAGCCTCCTGCTGCTTGCAAGCAACCTCACTCTCAAGAGCACTAATCTTGGCAACCATGAGCGGTTTATCTTCATCAGCTCTACTCGCAGGCATTATCTCAGGTTCCATCTGTGTTGCCGAATCCTGCATTATCCTTCCATATGCTGCCCTGCATATTTCCTGATAAATGATCGAAAACTCGCTGACTTTTAGGGCCTGCAAAGAACCACCACCAAAATAAATATGATTTCATTAAAATGGACGATTCTGAGTACATGTATGTACAGGGCAACAATCTGGTTTACAGACAAGGTGATATCATTCTCCAAAGGGCTTAAATAGTGTGATAATTTCATACAATTCTAACAGAATACCAGATATATTTTCCACATGGGTATGCAATGAATTCTGGCAAATAATATAAAGAAATTATAATTTCATTAAAACAAAGAACAAAACATTTATGTCAAAGTCAAAGTCACATTGTGACTGTCGGTCAGTCAGTCAGTAAGTCTTGGTGTCAAGACCCATCTGGGGCTCATGACCAGATATTTATTACTGTTTGACATTTACGGTATTGTTTTTGAGGGGCGCCCTCTCTGACAAGAGAACGGGTCTGTCTTCTATATATGCTGCTGGTCCTTGCCAGCGCAGTCTTTCTCAGGTCTGAGTCCCTTGAGACTCGCGACCATATTTTACTGTCGCAGATTTGATACTTCCCTTTTCGTCGCCTCCTACGACTCGCAGGGTCACGGTGGAGGTATTCGACCCCGCCTCCACACGGGTGGAACATTTATGTATTTACTGTAAAAATATTTATCAGTTTTTAGTGAATCAAGTGCTAGCCAATCACAGGCTAGGAACAAGCCAATGCTGGGCAACGGCTGGGTAAACAGCCGTTGCTAGGTAAAGCTAGTTGCAGTGGATTGAACACTAGTCAATCACAGGCTAGGAACCTGCCAATGCTAAGCAACGGCTGGATAAACAGCCGTTGCTAGGTGAAACCTAGTTGTAGTAAATCGAGCGCTTGTCAATCACGGGCTAGGAACCAGGCGTTGCTAGGCAAAGCCTATAACAATAGGGATAGCGACGTGTTTTCTATAGGTCCGACTCAAGGTTACAGGGTTTGTTCAAAAAGTAATGTCAGTGATTTTATTGTGAAGTGACTATATGTCACAGTGCACTCAGACTGGTTGGGATCGGTGGAGGGGGAAGTCAGCTTATGAACGCGCGGTCGCTTAGTCGTCTCCGAACTTCCTGAGAGTGACCATTCACGAGATTGTGACAAACAATTTGTGGATGCGAAAAGTGTGCGCAAAGCTGGTGCCCAAAGTGTTAACGGACGACGAAAAATCGCGCAGAGTTGAAACGTGCCAAGAACTTTTTAGACAATGTCATCACAGGTGATGAGACTTGGGTGTTTGAGTACGACCCAGAAACAAAAAGGCAAAGTGCCGAGTGGCACACCTCGGCATCCCCTCGCCCCAAGAAGGCCAGAATGAGCAAGTCAAAGGTTAAGGTCATGCTCATTGTGTTCTTTAACATCCGGGGGCTTGTCCACCATGAGTTTGTACCACATGGTACAAGCATCAACGCCAAATTTTACGTAGAAGTGCTAAAGAGACTCAAACGAAGGGTTTATCGCATCTGGACCGACATCGCGGATGATTGGAAACTTCACCATGACAATGAGCCAGCCCACACCGCCTTCCTCGTGACCCGCTTCCTGACCGATTCAAAGGTGCCAACGGTTCCCCAGCCGCCCTACAGTCCTGACATAGCTCCCCCAGACTTCTTTTTGTTTCTGCACTTGAAAACTCCCATGAAAGGATATCATTTTGGGGCAGCCGACGAAGTCAAAGAGGCTTGCACCAAGGCTCTAAAGGACATTCTGGAGGAGGACTACCATGACGCCTTCGATGCCTGGAAATCTCACTGGAAACGATGTATCGACACAGAAGGAGCCTATTTTGAAGTCTCTTAATGTGTTGTACCGATCTAATCAATAAATGTTTTTTAATCGACTCAATGACATTACTTTACATTACATTACAAACTCTGTATATAAGAAAGTATGGGGAGGCGGGGTTGAATACCTCCACCATGACCCTGCGAGTCAAAGAAGGCGATGAAAAGGGAAGGGGGGCTACAAGATTCAGTCCTTTCCCTTACTCTTTTCAATTTGTACATATATGATGCCCCCCAAAAGCATGGTGTTCACATGGCCCTTTTTGCGGACGACACTGATTAGCGGTACACTGCCAGTTGTAAAGTAACTCTGACTCTGACTCTGGGGGGTCACTTTGACTATTTGAGGGAAACCCGTGAAGAGTCAGGGTCGAATACCTCCACCGTGACCCTGCGGGTCATAGGAGGCAAGGAAAAGGGATGCCTCAAAGCTGAGACAGTAAAATATGTGCGAGAGTACAAAGGAACTCGGACCTGAGAAAGACTGCGCTGGTAAGGGCCAGCAGTATATACAAAACACAGATGCCCTCTCGTTAGAGAGGGCACCCCATAAAAATAAAACCTTCAATGACCTCATCGGGATTCCATCCCGCGACTTTCTGGCTTGTAGCATAGTGCCTCAACCAACTACGCCACTGCATGCCCCCCAATTCTTTAGGTTTGTCGTATATTCATCGTAACTACAATAAATAAATATTTATATATCAGTTTAATAAGTGATTGTCTACACATACAACTACATTCAACATGTAGACTTAATGATGTAAATAATCAATGTTCAATGACTGACTGACTAATTAATCAACCAACCAATAAATTAACTCATCAACATCTGCAAGAGCTAACAGTCACTCAGTTACTGAAGAAATTTTCGATTTTTTATGCAATTCAAAGCTTCATCGCCATTATTTATACCAGCTCACCACTCTTCCCTATAAAACTCTATTTAATAAGATCCTTCCCTCAGAACAGCCAGGGTTTCTCATTGGAGGACAGACCATGCAGCAGCAAAGAATTCGGTAAACATAACATCACATCACAGCATATGTGTATTAACTCTTTTGTGATGTACGGCATTTAAAAGCAACCTTACATCTTAAAACCTTACACCCAAAAACTGCAAGTTTAACTAAAACTGTTGTAAAATAAAGAAGTCTGAAATTTAAAGTGAAAAATTAACCGTTTATTCAGAAAATAATGTAGATTGAGACTATCTACACAGCACTGTGGCACAAAAGCAATTATTTATAAACATGGTGTAAAATCCAAGATGGGCAGATTTTAAAGCCAAAAAATTAACACTGTGTTCTGCATAGAATGTAACTTTGGTTTTCAATATTGTATTTTTATTTAGTCTTGCAAGTGTCTGAAAGACAAGCGACTTTAAATAAAATTGTAGGAAGATACACTTAGACAGAACACGTCATTCACTATGTAAGATTTTTGGCTTTCACGGCGGTGACTATGAAGAAAGCAGTCTTCTGGGATTTGGCACCGTGTATATGAGGTGTCAACTGACATTTCGGAGGAACGTATCGCCTCCAGTGACAGTCTGCTTTTACCAGTTCTCACGGTCTCTTTGCTTGCAGATTTCTTATATATTTTTTCTCCTACCCTGAAGATGGAGGCGATACGTTCCTCCGAAACGTCGGTTAACACCACATATACACGGTGCCAAATCCCAGAAGACTGCTTTCTTCTAGGTCATTCACTAGTTTAAGCATGGCAGGTAATGATAACCACCAGTGACAACATCATTAACATAAATGAGCACACATATTAATAAGAAAATGTTTATGGTGAGTTTAACTAACAAACCAGATACTTACACTAATTCCTTCTCGAAGTGCTTTACTGAGGACCTGTGACAAAACTGTTGAAGACACAGCACATGTGCAAGCAACATCTTCTGACAACCCAGGTTCTTCTGTATCCAGCTTTTTCATTATGCTGACGTCCATCTGTTTCAAAACATCTAACTCCTTCTGAACTTGACCAGCAAGTTCATCTGGAGTACCTACCACAAAACAAAACACAATAATTTTGTTGCCATTGCTATTATATGAGTATTTACAATTTGTGCCAATTCTGATCATGCAAGACTATGATAACAAACAAGCACCAAATACTATAAGCATTTATATTTAACAAATATTACATACATCAAATATATTAATGCAACTTCTTACTTGTAACTTTAATAAAGTAAAATATCAGCTGTTTAAAGGACTTCCAGAAAGCTTATAATTCAGTTGGGATGGAAGAATTGTACAACATTCTCACTGAAATTGGTACATCCATGGAACAAGTTAGGCTATTGCATACAATTTGAATGAAAACTACAGTAAAGTAAGAACAGATGAAAATTTATGTTCAATCGTTGCATCCTGTTATGTGTTTCAGATATATATATAGATGAAAATTTCTCAATGTAGTTCCTATGCAGAATGTTCTGAAAGGAGTTGGTTTATTGTCATTGATTTAAAACTCTGCTTTTTTTTTTTTTGTTATTTTTAAGAGGGTGGGTTTCCCCATGCACCGCGACCAGTTTGATCTACTGTGCTTCCCTCTATGATATTTTACCAGTCTCTATATCCTACTGGTATTGGTGCTTACCATCAGTCCCGCCCAGCCAGCGAGACCAGCTCTACTAGCTGAGAGGTATCTATAATGCTTCCCCCATCTACCAGAGGTATTAGAGACTGCTGTTGGGTGGGAAACATCCGTAATTTTGGCTCAGTGACCTCCTTTGGAGATACGAGGTTCTTTTACGTGCCGTAAAGCTACGACACGGGACCCATGGCTTAAAGTCCCTCCCGGAGGACTTGTTCCCTGAATTTTTCCACCCTTAAAAATTCGACGACCTCCGCCGGGTATTTGAACCCGCGTACTACGAGTCATGAGGTGGGAACGTTACCTCTAGACTACGGAGGCCGCTTTAAAACTCTGCTTTATCGTACACCATTAATGCGAATCAAGAAACCCAGGCCAGACTGAAACCAGTCTACACTGATGATGGCAATTTACTTGGTTTGAAATAAATACCATTCAGAAAAATGTAGGGCTGTATAGGATGCTAGCAAGGAAGTTACTCTAGAAGCGTAGGTAGAGAAGAGTAGTCCATATTGATGCCTTGTTACCAGAATACGGGTGAAAACAATGACATACAAAGGTTATAAATCCTTTGGCAATACAGGAATGTTCAAATATTTATTTGGAAAATCACATTAACGAAATCAAAATTGCATTTCATGTGGAAATTAAGACCAAATTAGGTAAGGAGAATGTTTGCTACCACTCAGTTCAAAATATTTTGTTTTCCCATTGGCTATCTGAGAATGTAAATATGCAAAATTAAATAGTTGCTTCAGTTTTGTACAGATGTGAAATCTGGTCTCTCACACTAAGCGAAACCACAAACTTGCAAGAATTATCTTGGTTATAAATCCGATGCCAGGATATAAACAGTGAAGACTGTGAATCCTAGTGTGTATGTGTGTAACGATAAACTGTACACTATGTAGATCAGCAAGAGTGCTGTAACTGCCTGTAGTCCTGAGTACTGTGTATAAGGTGTCAATAAATCCAATCCAACACCCTGTCTATGTTCACCCCTACATGTGACAATATGCAAACAGAAATCAAAGGAAACTCAGAAAAGAGATGCTGTAAGACGTATTGTATCTCCTTACAGCATGCATGGGTAAATACATGTCCTGACTTCCACAATTTCTGCAGAGAGTTTAGACTCTACATCTCTGACTAACAACAGTATCCAGACAAAAGAAAGAGCAAGTAAAAGGAGGGTGGAGAAAATATATAAGAATTCATACCATGGTCTTCTGAATTATGACACCATGTAGTCTGAGTGGGGTTACCAATGTTCTGGAGTAACACATAGCCTCCATCTTCACTTCTACCTTCAGAATGATGGTACCCATCTGCCACACTAAACAGCATCATAACCCAGATCACAATATGAAACTTGAATGCTGTGAAATACTCAAATATTAAGTAAGATGACAGAGTGATTCATGATTTGTAGGGTGCAGGCAAGAGATAATGTATACAAACAATTTCAGAAAAATCTTAAGGGAAGCCTATAAACACATGAGAGGATAAATTAAAATAGATCCTGTAGAAATAAGAGTGTGAAGCTTTGAACATGACAGCATTAGTACAAGATGGAGTCCGATAGCATCATTGTGCAAACATGATTCTGTAAATGCAGGGAATTTGTTGATGAGCAAAGTTACTATCAACACTGCAGAAATTAACCATCTCTATGCCACTATTTTCACTCTTACATGTGATGAGACCAGAAGCCACTGATAATAGCTTGCCTATCTTTACTGAACCCATCCCACACACAGTGTAAATGTGGTAGAAACTACAGACGACTACAAGACTATTTGACATGCAGACTGTGTTGTTCAGTTTAATGAAAAGAACTTGACTGGTTAGCAACTGATTCATCCCTTTTTAAGCAAATGTAAAAATGGCTAGAAAAAGAAGGTACACAGGGAAGTGCAGAAAAAAAAACACTGAAAATGATGTATGCTACATACTTATCAACAGAGTACATTCAAATTCATTATCTTAAAAATAGGAACAAGGAAATGCAAATTAATGAACGCTTCCCATTTGAAATAAAAAAAAAAAATACTCATATGCCCAACATTTTTGGGGGGTGGGGGTGGCAGTGCCCCTTCCAGGGTAAAAAGGATAATGAACCAGAAAAGTTCTGAAAGGAAAGAAACAGTTATTATTATTATTATTATTATTATTATTATTNGTGATCCCCTTTGGGGATGAGGTTCTTTTACGTGCCGTAAAGTTACGACATGGGACACGCAGCTTAAAGTCCCTCCCGGAGGACTTGTTCCATGAATTTTTCCGCCCTTAAAAATTTGACGACCTCCGCCAGGTATTTGAACCCGCGTACCACGGGTCATGAGGTGGGAACGTTACCTCTAGACTACGGAGGCCACTGAGAAACAGTCATTACTTTCCCTTCAAATTTTTCTTGATCCAGTGCACATACTGGCCCAGGCAGGGCACTCTCTCCCCTACAATTCTTTCAATATATTGTATAAACCTATATATGTAGACAGAAACTCATCCAGCATACACACAGGGAATAATGCCCACAGTCACACTATGAAAAGAGCCAAAAGCTGAATTAACATCGACAGTTAATCATTGCAGAAACCTAAAATCAATTACATTCTTTCATATTTTTATATTTTTGTATTTTACTCCATACCTGGTAACCTGTTAAGATCATCCTTGAGGTTATGATTTTCGGCTGCAAGCTCCAGTATCTTTTGCTTCAGAATTTCAAGCTCCTTCTCAAGCTCTGCAGTCTCACTCCTGAGTCCACTGTTCTCACTTCTGTGCCTCAGGAGTTCACCCATCTGGGCCACAGAAGCCTGCCTGTTAACACCCATTCCCTGCAGCAAGTCATCCTTGACAGAAATATGAGACTGCAGAAAGTCAATCTCATTCTGCTTCTCTTCAAGTTTCTTCAGAGCTTGCTCTAGATCCACTCGTACCTGACCCTCTGAACACTTCACTGCATCTAGTTTCTTCTTACAGTCTTCTTTATCGGTTTCTACAGACTCAATTGCTTTTTTAAGGGCTTCATTTTCGGCTTTCAGAATAGGCATATCTACTAACTGTGTTTCACAGGCCAGCAGTCTCTGATTTCTTTTATCTAGTTCAACTTGAAGCTCGGATAAATCTCCATTTATCCGCTCCTGAAAATTATTACAGCCAACCAGAAAGAACTCTAATATTTAAAGATAAAAAGACATTAAACCAAGAAACAAATAACAATTTCTCACATGAAAAGAAAAGATACAAACAGAAAAATATGCAATAAATCAATGTTTCCACAATAACAAACAAAAAAAAACATCTACACATTTTCCATTAATTACAGAAATGAACTTTTAATATGGCATGAAAGTTTCCCAACTTCACTCTATAAGAACTATGGAAATTCAAATTATACACTGTGTGGAAGACCTTGTATTCTTGCCCACACACTAAGAGGTATCCAGCTTTAAATGAAGAATGTGGCTGTTACAGGTCAGTAAAGTTCCTCACATGTGAATCTCAGTGTTTGGAGGCAACACTCTTTATGATTGTAAGACTAACCTTAAGGTACAGGTTCAGCAAATCACAAGTTATTTGTCATATATGCACCATGTATTATGCAATCATCATATTGTCTGTAGTCAAAAGTGAACACACCTTTCTCAAATTTATGATTTTCAGAAAAACTAACTGATGTACACCATTATATAAATTGTGCTACATGCAATTCATGGCCACACATTACACTTCCTGCAATGAAATAATTATACAACACGAAAGAGGTCTCCTCAAACACTTTACATGTCTAAATGAATTGTGCTATTAACAGATTGTTATGAGCTACAAAACAATCATGCAAATGAAACCTGGGCCCCAGAATCTGCCTGGATGAAAGTGTACAAAAGAAACCATTCCTATCATGAGTGCAGTCCTGGTCACACAGCTTGCAAAGAGTCACTAAGGTATCCTCTCTTCTCTTGTCCCCGGATTTAATAAAATTTATTCTTACTTCTTTCTTACAAATATGCACATCTTCATGTCCTGCTTATTTATATAACTGGTTCTTGGCAGTACTTTATAACTATGGCCTATCCAATGTCTAGAAAAGACTATAGCTCATACACTCTTACCTCAAACGATTGCCAATGATCGTTTTGTAAGGTATATAAGTGTGAAAATAGAGAACAAACCGTTTTGAATTTATTTATCTATATTAAAGCCACAAATTCTGTAAAATACGTATATGTTTTGTTGTGAGTGAAATTACTGAAGTTACAAACATTACAAGAAGTTCACAGGGATAGTGCTCCATAAATAAATTATACAGTAAGTTATGTATTTCCATTTCTTCACATCAGAGTAAATACATCATTATAGGTTAACCATAAAACTGCAGGTATATAAGCATATAAGGTATATAAGTGTGAAAATAGAGAACAAACTGTTTTGGATTTATTTACCTATATTAAAGCCACAAATTCTGTAAAATACGTATATGTTTTGTTATGAGTGAAACTACTAGAGTTACAAACGTTACAAGAGCTTCAGAGGGATAGTGCTTCGTCAATAAATTATACAGTAAGTTATGTATTTCCATTTCTTCACATCAGAGTAAATCCATCATTATAGGTTAACTATAAAACTGCAGAAGTCTGTTTCAAGACCTCTGCTTGCAGGTATGCACTGAAATTCCAGCCTATACCAACTCTTATTTATTTCCATCTGCACAACTCAGACCCACATCTGCTTCTAAACACAGCATGACATACTGTTATCATACACTGTTCTGTTCTGAAGGTTGTGGCACATACTTCTCATAATTATCACCAAAGAATAAACTAAAAATAAAGGCCTGAACGATTAGTGCTCTCAATTCCATTACTACTTGCAGCTTTTTTGGAAAAATCTTTTCCTTAAGGAGTCCCCAAGAAAGTAGTCAACATGGATTTAAATCAGTATTTGGGGGCATGAACCACTGACTCTGTATCGGTAAACCTGTAGCAAGAAGGTGAGGCACAAAAGAATTGCTCAACATGCTTAAACAGCACTCGCTTTTCAATGATTCTTCAAAGAAAATTGGTCCTAGAAGTCCATGACTTGAGTTCACGACCCATACAATTCTCGGTGCATGATGCACCTTCTCATGAATCACATATGGATCCTCTGATGCCCAAAATAGCATATTTTGTTTATTAACCATACCATCCAGGCTTGCAGAAATGTGACCTTGGCCCCCCCTCTCATCTTCTTTCACTGAGGCAGTTACAACAGTAACAGTCCAGGAACTTCCCAGTACTGCCTCATATCCATGTCAATGCATATAAGGAATTGCAAGAAAGCAAAAATGAGGACCCATTTTTCTTCTTCTGAATCATAGAAGTACATTATCTAAATAAATTATCATGCTGTAAAAACAGAATGAAAAAGGTTCAATTGGAGGGAAAATCACACACACATCAGATAAAGGAACCTGCAACTTGAAGTTTCCTTCAAGTTACTGTAAAGCATAAGTCAAAATGTTACTTACTTCCAACTGCTGCTTGAGTGATATTATTTCACGGTCTTTATTGGCCAACATTGCTTTCAAGTGCTTATCACTTACATCTAGTTGTGATCCAGATGTAACATCACGTGGACTTGTGTACAGCTGTAATAAAACACACATTCACATCACCAAAGTAATATTTCTGTTATGGTGATAATATCTGAACGAATCAATTCTGAGGTTCACTAGTAGCCGACTAGAAAATGAAGTGAGAATGTTATAACCATGGTTTATTCTTAATTTTATCTCTATCATCCAGTATCAGGGGATTCAAATTACCTGCCACTATACACGGTGGCCCCATTTTAACTTGAGGATAATGACATTTATATTGTAAACAGTGTGACACTAGTACTTCGGGGGCCCGCTGAATACAGGTGTCATTATAGAGGTGCTATGCATGGATGATAACGGTCAACTGTGACCTGACTGGGTACAGATATACACTCTTTCCTATTATAACTTGATCTAGCATCACTGACAATACAGGACCTTGGTTTTGAAAAGCTCATACTAGCTCCAAGGTGCTCATATAGTTGATAGCTAAATTAGTACTGGTACTTCTCACTGTCCTTACATATTTCAGCTCGACTGGCCATCAAGGAGAACAAAGTATAGAGGAAACTGCTGCTCCATTGTCAGGCTGCTACACTTTGCATTTTAAAGGTGTAAAATATTTAAAAAATTATTTTAAAGTTATTTTCATTTTTAAAATATCATTCCATAATTATTTTGTTGTATGAAGGTGTTGTGGGTGGATTATATTAGTGTTTTGTTTATGATGTAAATATTTCATGTTATACTACTACAGTCAATAATTTTGTGGGCTGTGGTTTTGTTGCACAGTATTACAAGTTACTCACACACTTACACATACCCACATTTTCCCTCAAAATAGTCACCATTTGCCACTCTGCAAGTATGCCAACGTTGGTATAGCTGCTGGAAGTACTGCTGAAAGATATTTGCAGGAAGATCCTGTACAGCCTCTCTTGTGGCAGTGACATTTTCCTCGTCCAACTGAAATTGATGCCCAAATAGCTTTTCTTTCAAGTGGGGAAATAAGAAGAAATTGCATGGTGCGAAATCAGTGTGAGTATGGACAGTGTGGCAAAACGGTGACCTGTTGTTTAGCCAGCTCCTCTTGGACAAGCACAGAGTGATGTGCAGGGACATTGTCATGTAGCAGCCAGTTTTCCAGTGCCAAAGCTGAGGACACTTATGACAAATTGAATTGCGTAGAGGGCGAAGGATATCCTTGTAGCAGTGCTTGTTTACAGTCAATCCTTCTGTGATGAATTCCATGTGAACAATTCCAGATGAGTCAAAAGACAGTTCAAGCATTACCTTGCCTTTTGACCTGTCCTGTCGCATTTCTTTCTTTTCTGGTGATAGCTATTTCCAGGTGGTCGATTGACACTTCAGTTGTGGATCATACAGAAAACACCACATTCTGTCTCCTATTATGATCCGGTTCAGAAACATCTCATCAATGTCAGCACTATCGATCAGGTCACCACAAATGCTTATGCAAACATCACGTTGGTCTCGCATCAGGATGGTTGGTGTGTGGGCGTTTCTTTGGTGCTGCATGTAGCTGTTCTGAATGTTTCATGTACTTGGTTCTGTTTTTATATAGGAGGTAGGGTGCGCGTATCCTAATAACTGGTGTTCATTTCTTGCAAATATTCTAGATATTGGGCTATATGTATCAATGTTTGTATCATTCATGTGTACATTATTTTTACTGATTCTGTAAATGTGGTATTTTTCTAATGTGTTTTAAGTGTTTTCGACCACTTCTGTGGTCTAGTGGTCAGAGTTCCTGGCTACAGATCCAGAGGCCCAGGGTTCAATTCTCAACACTATCAGATTTTCAGAGAAGTAGTGGGTCTGGAACGGGGTCCACTTAGCCTAATGAGGATAGCTGAGGAGCTTTTTCAAGGGGTTCCAGTCTAGAAAACCGGATTAACAGCTGTGGGGATCCATTGTGCTGACCACGCGACACCCTCTATCCGCAAAAAGTTCCCACTAACTTTGCCGATAAGCGACAGTTGCTTGGTCAGTATAGTTCGCTTGCAAACTACAGGCCATGGAGTTTAATTTTTAGGAGTTTTCCCTTTTTCTATGTTCTTATAATGTCTGTTGCATCTGTTATGGTCCTATATATAATATGTCCTGTCTTTAATATGTGATAATAGGGCAGCAGTTTTCTCTGCAACTTGTACATCTGATGGTGGCCAGTTGGGCCAGAACACACAGCGTTCAAATAATAGGAAGAGACAAATCCTTTGAAGTGTCAATTTCAATACATCAATAAAGTTGCACAGGGATGGTGAGCAGTGCCAATGCTAATTTAGAATACACAGTGCAACAGGATGCTGCAGTATCATAGCTGATAGCTGACATGCAGATGATCAAGAAGTTCTCTGCTTTTATGGAATCCGAAGGCTCATTATCATGTTCACACAAGCTTACCATTGGATAAATGTCTCTCAGGTAAAACACAAGAAAATTAGCTAGAACATATACAGACATATATAGACTGATCTATTTCCCAAGTTAAACAAGACTGCAAGAAGATGTTGGCACATGACAAAAACAATTTTGGATAAACACTGACATGATGGTTAAGAGTCCATATGACACTGGAACCCACACTGCATATTTTAAAGAATATTACAGAATCCTGACTAGACAACAATTTGCCATATGCTCCATGGTCTTATATACACAATTAACCAAGACTGACAGGACAGAAACTAGTTGCAAGGGGTTATTCTCTATCATCCAGGTTTCAGATGGGAATAACCATCACTATCCTCCAAGCAGTCAGGACTGATTTCTCTGACCATAGACTGATGGACATGGAGAGCAGAAATTTCTTACCTGTAGATGGAATGTGAAACAGCATGAGGTTATGGATATAGCCGCAGCTAACTGAGGCACTGTGACAGCAGTCTAATGCTACATTAAGTCTGTCTCTGCAATCCATGAAAGAAGTTTCATGACAACGTTTTGGCACTGTTTTTAAGAGCTTCGAACAGAGTATCATGACTGATAGATCCCGTGGTTGATGAGAAAGAAGAAGCAAATCCATGAGCAATGCCTTCCACAGAAGCAATGATATGCCAGCAGAGATGCAGGTATGAAAGTCTGACTGCATTTGCCTGACATGCAAAGTACTTTTCCCCACAAGGCATCCGAACATGCAGATTTTGATACACTACAGCTGAAGAGTCTCATGATATGTGCTTGGCTTTATGAACAACTTGATGAGTCTCTGAACAGAGGCATGTGAAGAAAATAAAACTCTCCAGGGCAGGATGGAAAGGGAGTACCTAAGAGCACCTCAGCAAGCATGAATGGCATGCTAACATTCATCAATCACCAGGTATAAGGATGTAATAAAGTCTGATGGATGACCAGGCTATGTGACATGAGGCAGTTCAGTTCACAGTGCTCATAATATACCTCACAAAGGAGTCAATAGATGAAAACTGATGATCCTCACAAGGAACTGATAAGAGATGCCTGCCCAGTGAGCATATCCAGTGATCCAGTTCTGGTGTGGTTGGAAATGGTGTAGAAAAGTAAACATCTGCTGGATATTGGTCATCATACAAATGAGGAAAAACGCCCAATTCAAGATGGACTGTCAGACCTGGACTACAGAAAGGGAGGTCCATGGCAGGCAAGTTTTCTGACCCTAGACAGAGGGACATGTCAGCTCCTGTGTCAAAAAGGATTAGATCAAACCCAACACATACATTGTACACTATTCTTTCTTGTTTGTCTGTAAGAACTGATACCCAAAGAATATTTCTGGCACTAAAGTTGCCAAAGAGAAGAGGAGATTATGTTTGTTAAGTGGGAATTAGACTGGGTCAACTTAGCAGGAATTACTGGCGTTGCCCCTGAAATGTGTGTTGCAAGCTGTGAGAGAGAAGCCTAAGTAGACAGGTGGATCACAGTGACCTGCAGTGGAGTTCAGATGGTAACTGCCACAGACCTCAACTAAAAAAGTCACCTCTCTACTGGCTCTATATCTGTCAAGATGGTAATTCAACTGCAACAGTTCCATACTGCACTTACTGCAGTATAAATGAGTTCCCCAATACAAGAAGACCATTAACTCCTCCTACTGCAGCATTGATAATGAATGTCCACGACTTCTTCATTTTGCCAGCATTACATAAGGTTAGTTTACTGTCAACCCATGATTCATCAGTATAAAATACTGGGTACCTTTTATAACCCTTTATTTTTATAAGATATCCTGATCTTCAGTCAACAACATCCACTCTCTCTACAGGAAATTTTCTTATAACTCTTTATATCCCTTTACAATGACTTACAGCCCTAATGAAACTTAACCTCCTGTTTTAGAATGCGTAGCAGCTTGGGTACTGCTAGCACTCTTCCTTCCTGAACACAGAAATCATGAATTCTCATTCTGATAACATAGTTATAAAAAATATTCCAGAAACACAATCTATGAAAGTTTTTGTCTCCTCTTTCCTGGTGAGCTGAGAAGCTAGGTCAGATTAGTACCATTCCTATGCTCATGTTTCTCCTGACTCTCAATACAGATGACAGGATCCCTGTGTACACTGCTGCTCTCTGTTACCTTATTAATTGATAACATCAATCATTGTTGTTGTCACTCCTCATCACATTTAATTACATCTGCTATTACCTCCATGCCCTCCCAGTGAATGGTAAAATTCAGTGGAGATAACATCGTTTTGGCACTTTACCTGAGGCTTGAGTTCCCACACACTGAATAAACAAATCTGCCAGTGATCACTGTGATACAAATGATGCTACACAGTATATAGATACAAACATAACTGCTTCAGTTCGGTTCACTTGAGCACTACACAAGTACACTTGTGACCAATATGTTCTGTACAGATGCTACACAAAGTAGGCAGGTCTGTTCTTGTCCCTTCCCCCAATGTCCCTCCTTTCCTCATCACTGTGCAAGTCTCAAAGCTAAGAGTCTCTACCAGTACCTCAAAGAGGCCATGACCACTTCCTACCAAATTCTTGTCCCAATATCGAAACACTAGTCTCAATAATGAAAGCATTCTTATATAACCTACAATAAATACACCTCCTGAGCCAAATATTTTCCTTGAGTGAGCCATATATAGGTCCCAGCATTCATGAATATTTACATTTCCAAACTAAATTAGGGCCATTCTAAGTACCATTTAAGTATTCTTTATGAAATGCAATAATAAATGTCAAGCACTGGGAATGGGTATAACAACTGATTTAACCATACTGTGTAGAATGTAGTACCTATTTTATTGTGGACTCTTCATAACTCTGCTTTACACAAAATGTTAGTTATCAAAACTGAATTTAAGCCCCCTCAAGCTGGTTCCCTATACCCACATATACTGCTCGCTACCCTGCTGCTACAGAGGTTATACATATAAGGGTATGCTGTCTGAAGCATCTGAAATATAACCTTAAAATTGCTCTCTGTTAAGATATTGAAACTACATGAACTGCAGCAAATTCTGAAGGCCCTGATGCTTCCTTCCATTTACTGCTATAAACAGGCAGGAAACATTTTTTTTTTCTCTCAGTAGTCTTCATGCTTGTCAGCCAATAGACATGGGTACGTCACTTGGTTCTAAATGTGTTTCAGACTACCTAATAAAGAAAACAGTGTAAGCACAATGAAGCTTACATTATTACTAATTTACCCTAAAAACTTTCTTAATTCTGTTTGATAATTTACACAATATGGAACATTCTGAACCGCAAGTGAATAGGGTTCTACACAGCAATTTAAATATTGCTTGACAGGGAAGTACATCAGTGGATTAAAAACTGGGTTGAGGGGTTAATGAAATTTCCAAATGTCCATTAATCTTTTAAAGCATGCACATGAACCAACAGACTTTAATTTCCTGGTGCAACACACTGAACTAAACTCAAGTGAACTCACCACATCCAGACTCAGCATTTCTTCAGTAACATCTCCTTTCTGGTATCGCATCTCATCTCTTAAACCAGACATATACATTTGGTGTCTCTGAAAATATACAGGATCATAAGATTAAAACATCCTAGTACATCTGTCATGCCTGTATGCATTTCATTCATTTATGTACTGAGTCATGTTTTTTACTCAGATGGCTCAGGAGTAGTGTCTTCTGGACCAGTACCCTCCCCTTTTTCATCCCCCCCACAGGAATCAATGTTGTGACACATTTACTGTTGACCCATCATCCATTTTACCATATGAGTTCCCCTTCCTCGCAGGTTTAGAAAGCAAGACCTACTCTGGTGCAAGCAGAGATATGAGAGCAGTATTTACTTGCCATCAGTCAGGCAAAGTAGGTCGCTAAATTCTGTTTAGATATGGGATCTCCAAATTGTGTTTGGATTCTTTGCACTAGCCGCTGAGGGCAAAGGTTCTCCTTCCTACAATGGTAATGCAAGTTTTTCGTTTGGGAGGTTGCAACGAAGTATTCTGTTTGGTTTGATATTATTATTTATCTGGGCTTACTACTGGTCCATTCAGTGTTAATGCATGACCAGATAATGGACTAACACTTGAGATCTGGGTTGTCTCGCAATGTTATGTGGGTTTTGGCGGTTTTATAGGTCCGAGTGATTACTTTACGTAATTTGGTTTCTGTCTGAACCGACCAAGGCGGTCAAGGTCATAGTCTTGCAGCTATTGCAAGTGCTTTTTCATGATCAGAGTCATTATTATATTTTGTTATTATTACTGCTATTGTTGTATATGTCATGTTGCATGTCACCAACAGCAGACACCTGAGATTCAAGTACCTAAATATTGACTTCAACTTACCACTTCCTCCCATTCTTTCTGTCTTTCAGGGTCAAGAAGATTCTTCAAGCCTTCCACTTCCTTTCGAAGTGAAGAAATGTAAGCATTCTTCTGTGACAATACTACACCCAATAGCTCCAGGCATGGCGTAAACTGCCCAACTTCTTCTCTTGTGTCCTGCAACAAATTTATGCTTCATTCTACATACTGTGTACAGTGAAGGTTCAGTTATATTGTATGTTAATTTATGTCTTTAAAAATGCCATTAGTTGTGTCAAAGTGCAGCATGATGAGTCTAATGATCTGAAAACGATGCAGAAAGAAACATGTGTAGTCCAATTTAAGGTAACATCTCAGTATCTGCCTGGAGAGCCTGAAGAAAACTTTAGTCAAAATAGCCAGTCTCCAGGCCTATGTATGAACCAAGGAGCTCATGAATACAAAGCAGCACGGCTAACCACTAGATCATGACAGTCCGTTCTCTTTCAAAGGCAGATCTGTCCCTGTAACTAATTAATTAAGCACCATGCCACAAAGACATATGAGGCAAGCAGAAGTATAGCTCCACCATTCTTGACCTCAGCACTTGATGCATATCGAGTGGTCAGCTTCACGCACCAGCAGATTTATCCCAAGTAAAAGATCCCCCAGTACCCATTTGCTAGGAGGCTGGGTAAGCCGAAGAGGCAGTCTAGACATGGTGGAGAAGAGAAAAATCTCTTGATCTCCCCTAGGGATCAAACCTCAGCCATCCAATCCACAGCCTACTATGATACTGACAGAGCTATCCTGGCTCATAGTTTGTTCTCTTTTACTCTTCTTATGCCAGAGAAGCATATTTGCAGGCCATATAGTCTTTCAAGCTTCGCTACTGTGGGATGCATGTAAGTATGTGGGATGTTACCACACTACTTTTCCTCATCAATCACAGATGAAGGAGTCCACTTCTGATGCATGAGTAACTACATAAAATAAACCCATTTACCTTTTGTATTAGGGTAAAAATAAAGATGAGGGAGAAAAATCATAAGTTAGGGGAATTAAACATTGAAACTATTGGCACACCAGATAAAATTATGAACAAATGAAAGCAAAATAGGGAAATATTTTTTTCAGTCAGAAGTTTGTTTTGATTCTTTTCATGAAAATTCAGGATTTCTATAATTAGATGGGCACAAATATTCAGCATGAAATTTTGATAGATGACAGGAAAAGATCTGTTTCATTGACAATATTAAACAACAAAGCACACAAAGGTGAAAATGTAAGTTCTTCAAATGGAACATGTTCACATGTTTCACTGGGCTGTGGTGGTGTAGTGGTTCAAGCATCATCCAATGGAATTCTTTGTGGAAGGAATCCATTGGCTGGAGTGTCAACAGGTTGCCCTATTGCCAAAAGCTTGTGCTCCTTTGCTCAGAATAATCGCCTAATGTATTTCAACTGAACAAACCATAACAGTGATTCTCAATTTTATTTTTAGCACATGAGGGGGTGAAATCGAAGAGCATTTAATGATTCCACTGTATCCAGTTTTCATACTACAAAAAATAACATGGCTACTGATCTCTTTAGTAGCTTCTTTATGAAGTGCAGCTTGCTTCCTCAGTTACTTCCATCTGAAAAGTGAAAGACAAACCTTATCTATATAACATTCAAATTTAATTAAATAAAAAAGAAAAAGAATGTATCTTACCTCTAATGCTCCTTTTTCTGCCTTCAGTTTCTTGCAGGTCTCTGTGAGTTTTTCAATCATTTCCAGTTCATCAGTGGTTTTTGTATGCCATTCTCTTTCTTGTGCTGCCATAACTTTTCTAGTTTCCTCAAACATTATTTTCAATTCTTTTACCTAGTGAAAGGCATCATCAGAGGAAAATTAAAACATGCTTTACTTATACATAAAAGTGTGATACTGGTTGTACATACATATCCTTATTAACTTTGTGCAGACAGTAGCATGACAAGAACTGCTGATCATCAGTCTAACCTGATGGCAACTACAACTATTACTACAGGTGTCAAATGACACCACATCACTATTTCTGTCAGATGAGATACGTTGGTTTATATCTTCGCTGACCAGCTAAGAGGTTGATCTGGAAAGGATGTTGAAATCTAATTTAAGGTAGTCACCTCACATATCTTAGAAGGAGCTGCAGAAAACTATTAAGGGCCTCAGTAAACACTGCTAACTGGATGAAAAAGACACCACTCCACAGATATAAATGTAGATAGGAAGAGCAGGTGGAATTCTCATTTCATCCGTGTGTGCTAGCTGTCCCACCCATTTCATTCTTCTTCATTTGAGCAGCCTAACATTACTATGTGAAGCTACAGTCCCTTGTTGCTTTATGTTCTTCACAAACTTTGCTCCCAAACATCCTCAATCTGTGATTTTCCTCAGAGCAAGAGATAATGTATTGCACCCATACAAAACTGCAGGCAAAATGTTAGTTTTGCATCTTTTACTATAAAATATACACGGTGTCCCAGGAGGAAAGTGCCAAACTTTGGGAGGGTGTTCCTTATGTTAAAGTATGCCGATATAACCCAAAACACCTATGTCCAAAGTTGAACGGTTACGGAGATAATGGCCAGAGAAGTGTGAAACTTTGACCGCTGTTACACGCTTGTTGATTACAAAATACATATTAAAACTGGCAGGAATATGTGGTTTCTGTAATGTTAATAATGTACGTAACATCAAACGAACTTGTGAGTGACATGAAGCCATAAAATTGAAGTACAAAATACTCGCTCACCATGTCATAATTGTCCTTAGGTTTCCAAGCACTATACATGACACATGACTGGCAAGCACTGACATAACATGGCTGGCTGCGCATTCTGGTATAATCTCACTACATAGCTGTACTAAACATACATTCACGGAAAATCTCTTTTGGAATTTCGTTTCCATTATCTCATGTGGATTATTATGGGACCACGTATGCACATTTCGTAAATTATTTGCACCGTCCTGGGTAAAAGACGCCTCATCACTGAATAAAATGATGCTTAACAGTTCAGGATGAGCTTTTTATCCAGTGGCACAAATCCATACGCTGAGCATGGTCGCTTGGTTCCAGATGTTGTACCCTTTAATCATGGTAAGGATACAACTCTTCATCATGTAAAGTTCGCCACACCTGCATATGTGATATGCCGATGCAAGAGGCCTCTACGAGTGGACAGACGCGGACTTTTCTGAACCATCTCAAGAACATTCTCTCGTGTGTTTATCATTCGTACATCCTCCCTTTAAGAGTGCACAGAAACACTCGGAAGAGAACCAGTATCATGCAATGTCTGGTGAATTTGCGTAAATACACTTCGACATGTTTGACAGGATGTTCTGTTTTGGAAGCTTGCCCCTCATGTTCGTAGCCTACTTTTCAGTGATGACTGTCATATGCCCCTAGTTTGCGCGTTTCCTCCACAGCGTGTGGTGTTGTCTTTACTAGTTTTTTTTAACTGGTTACAGTAATGTGCAAGATGGAGTCACAAATCCACATTTTCTATTCCTAAACTTTGAGGTACGACTTTATTTTAGCAGTCGCATCAGTTTGCAAAATACCAACGGATGAAAATCATCATGCACTTCAACAAATGTGGGAGTGCAGTGTGCAGTAAGTATGTGGTGAATCATTTGCCTGATATTATTTCAGCAAACTGTAATTCACATCAATACATAAGTGATACACTCAATACCCTCCTCAACCAGTTGACAGCTGAAGAAAAACAATACAGATATTTTATTGAAGATAATGCTATAGCACATACTGCTTACAAGTGTACAGCTGCTCCATGTGACATGTTTGAAAAGAGAATAATCAACAAAAGACTATGACTTCCTAGACCCCCTGATCTTAGTTACTGTGATTATTATCTTTGGGACAATCTGAAGGTCAAAATATATTGCTGTGTGTAGACGCGTTACTAGGTAGTAATCTTGAACAGGTTCCACAGCAACAAATCAACACACAACAAACAGAGGACCTGTTGAAATCAGCATTTTCTGTGGTTCACGCCATGGTCATTGCTACACATTGGTGCAGTGAACATATTTCTCCAGCAACAGCTGAACTACAACAACAGAAGAGCTGTTTTCTATGTGGCCCATGCTGAGGGGTTATAAGTGGGACAAAGTTAAAGCTTCGCCAGTTGAAATTCAGTCTGTGGAGAAAAGGTTGGGAGGTTGGTGTGAAATAGCCACCATCTTGAGAGTTAGTCAGCTGAAGCACTGAGAGAATTTTAAGGGAGACTATGAAGAGAAGACTTAGTTGGTGCAGTTAGTGCAGATGTGGGATATGTGCCAGGTGGTAAGGACGTAAGTGGTAAGGACTGTTAAATTCCGTTACCGGGAAATGACTAAGTGATTAGAAAGAAGAATTTATGTGTGCTGTAATTACAGTGATATTTGGAATGTGTAACTCAGTGGGACTGTTATAGTTACTGTGTTAAAATCCATTACCAGGAAACAACTTGTGAAAGCAGACTGAAAAGATTTGGCATGTAATTTGTAAAGTGTGGAAATTAGCAACATTGTTATAATTACTTGTAGTTACAATCTGTAAGTGGTCAAGAAATCCAATCGCAAAATCCCATCGATAGTCACTCATACACATGACAATACAATAACCCTTGTAACCACTAAAGTCTTGCAGAAAGAAATAATATCGAGTAATTGCACACAAGTTTCACAAAACTTATTTATATGATAAAAGGCATGCCTGAAGGCAGAAGGGGATCACTTTCAGCAGTACTGAAAAAATGTGGCAAGTTAATGTTGCCTTGTTACTGTTATTAGTAATATAGTTCTGTTTAAGTAGTCAATAATGCAAGGAAATCCCTTTGCTGATCCCCTACAACAACACAGAAAACTAATACCATACTGAAACTAACACCATGTCTTCATCTCAACTGAACACCTGTATGAGACTTCTTTATTACATACCTCCTGTTCCCTATTCTCTATTGTCTCAAGAAGTCTGTTCAGTTCCTTCTCCTGATCATGAACTTTTGTCTGCAGTTCCAAGTTTGCTTCTTTCAACTGACTGTCTGTCTTCTGACGCTGTTCATCCAGCCGTGATTGTAGTGCTGAAATTTTGAGAAGCTGTTCTTCCATACATTCCTGTAGGACATCTCTCTCTGCAGCTACTTCCTGCAACACAATAACTTCAGCACTGAAATGAATACATCATCGTAACTTATCAATGTTTCCATCATATCTGCCATCCAAAAAGTGGCTGTCAAACTTTTCTCAGTCATAGACCAATAACACAGCAGTCGGATTTCCCTATATGTCTCACACTGTTGCACACAACCTCACTGGGGCTCGAACCAACAACCTTTTGGCTTGCAGCATAGTGCCCCAACCAACTACACTACCATGTACCCTTGGGTGTACATTGGATATTGGATTTATTAACCATTTGTATATGCCATTTAGAACTACACTTTACAGTCCACTGACACACACAGACTGGTGTCCTCAGTCTATTACAGCCTCCACTAGCTGTTTCCTGGCAACGGATTTTAACACAGAGACCATAATTACACACTCCAAATATCACACATAATGTCATTCCTTCAAAGCTGCACTCTTGCAGCTAATTCTTTTCTTCAGAGCCTCCCGTATGGAAATGCCTCTCAATTGACAATTGCTTTTATTCTGTGTATGTGAAGGTAGCAGTCTTGCAATGGGCTGATCCCCTGTCAAATGAGTGCTACTGATCATCTTAGGATTAAGAAACTGAAGTGAAACAAAGTGTTTCATAGATGTCTTATGCTCCAATGTGGGAGCAACAAGAAAAAGAAAGTGAGAATACAAAATAAAAACTGTCTGAAAGGAACATAATCCAAACTCATATATGTAGAAAGGCTGATGGTCTACATGAACTATTCAATAAGTGAAGGAGGGCAAAAAAAAAAAAAAGAATGCAGTTAGTTGTACATTTCAAGTGAAGCATAAATTAAGCTGTGGACCACTGATTAAGAAATGATGGTTTCATGGCAAAGCCTTCACCATATAAGATTTTTGGCTTTCACAGAAGTGATGATTTATTTTGACTGTGGTCTTCTGGGTTATGACACCATGGATTCTGCAAGGTGGTTTACCTTATGAATCTACGTTGTTTCCTCACAGAGGTTACCCATGTGAGATCTGAGGTTTCCACTCCTCTCTCTCCTCCCAAAACTCTACATACCTTTGCTTGAGCTCCCCAATGGTTGTTTATTCAGTACCTTCACTTTTACTACTCTTAGAGGAATCCAACTGCCATCTATGCATAACACATGCACATAGTGCTGCATCCTTCTTCATTTCACCAGCTTCTGTCATAGTACGTATACATTCACAGCCTGTCTAATACGTTGGGTTTATCCATACATGTGAAACACGTATAACTGCAGTAGCCCACAATTACACAGACAAAGGAAGACTACGTCATACATATCACCAGGAGCTAGGGCTTACCGGCATCACAAAACTTCATCCCAGGATTTGTATCATTCCTGGTCATACATACATCATTTTTTTTCCTTGGCACTACAGCCCCAGTGGGCCTAGGCCTACCTCCATGAACTTCTCCGTTTACTTCGGTTTTTCTAGATCTTAGACATACGGTAGGACTCCTTGGGGCGAATGATCAGCTCGTTGCAAGGCCTCTACCTGTACACAAACACAAAAAAACGCACACAAACATCCATGCCTTGAGTGGGATTCGAACCCACGATCCCGGCTTCCGAGTGAGCGAAGACAGTGCACGCCTTAGACCGCTCTTCTACCATGACCGGCTATACATACATCATACTGTGCTATATTACATAAGGGATTTTGAACTACACCAAAGTACACAGGTAAGTCAATAAGTAAGTTATAAATGGATATAGAACTTAAACAAATAAGAGTACTGATTTGAAAAATGCTTTTGTTTCTCAACATAATCTTCCTCTATATTGAGGCACTTGTCCCATTGTTTCACAAGCCCCTGAAAACCAGCAGCATAAAATTCTTTGGGCTGCTGTTGGAACAAGGCGTGTTCACACGGCGTGGCCTACCTCATAATGCATGACGGGTGCCAAGCATGCTGACCCCACAACACAAAATGCAAAGAATGGGTCTGCTATAATGCCAGATCCATTCTTTGCATTTCGTGTTGTGGGGTCAGCATGTGTGGCACCCATCATGCACAGACTTTGTGAAAACCTAACCTGTCATGCATTATGAGGTAGGTCGTGCCGTGTGAACACACCTGGTTCTGACAGCAGCCCAAAGAATATGATGGGACAAGTTCCTCAATGTTTATTCTTGGTTTAATTTTCAAAATCTCTGGCTCCACTAAGAAAAGAACAAATACAGAGATACAGAAATTTCTACAACAGCCATCAGAGAGATTTCATAGCAGTTCCTGACAGATTATTTTTAACAGTACTACATTATGCGAAGAAAATTTTCATATAGTAAAACTGTCATTATACAGCATTTTGCCTGAGGTCTGGATTTTCCAGAGAAGTCTGTACTATTTTATTTTAAAAAACATAATCATTAAGGAACATGTTACCTCTTCATTCCTCTTGACTCCCTTAAGCTCCATCTCCAAGTCCCGTATCCGTTTGAGAGCCACTTCCTCTGCTCTGGAGTGACGCAGAAGCTTGTCCTGCAGACGGTGCAGCTCATCCAGAGGCAAACATACAGGAGACTGAGCACTGCGTGCTTCTTCTGGTGTGTCAGATCGAAATGCATCCAACTGTTCCCTATGTGCATAAATATGAAATGACCAGAAGTCCATTCATTTACTAATAATGTATCAATTCTTGTACAGTATCATTGTAATCAACTTTTCAGGTCTCATACCATTTTCTCACTATTCTTATTTTATAATTACTGCATGCTGGCTATGTAAAATTCATGGCAGCACACCTGACTCTTATTTGGGAGGTATCTGGTTTCTATACCAGCCACAGACTGCCTACTCTTAACAGACATTTCATGGTTTTCCTTTGTTTCCAAAGGTAAATTTTGGATCCATGGAATGCAATGCAATGCAATGTAATGTAATGTAATGTAAAAAAAGTACAAGCTACAAAGCTCCTCATTATGCAGTTTTCTCCAACCTCCTGTCACTTCATCTCTCTTGCATCCAAATATTCTCCTCAGCACCCTGTTCTCAAATACCCTCACTCTATGTTCCACCCTTAATGTCAGAGACCAAGTTTCACACCAAAAAGAACCAAAGACAAAATTATAGTTTTGTACATTCTAATTTTTGATATTTTTAAACAGCAGATAAAAAGAAAAAAGTTCTGGACTGAATGGCACAAAGCATTGCCCCAATTCAGTCTCCTCTTAATTTCCTCCTAAATCAAATTTTGATTTGTTACTGTCATTCCCTTGAACTGTGACACAAGTCTTATATGAACAGATATATATATTCCAGAAATTTTTCCTTTTAAGTAGTGTGAGTAAGTGTTAATTTCTCCCCAGTTTAGTAACAAATCCTGAAGTGAATAAATAGTGAAACAAGTGAAGCACACCTTATTGACACATCTTCAGATGGAGAGCTGCAGCTAGCACTGGACACTGTGGCATGAAATGATTCAAGCTCTTTGGTCTTCTTGTCTACTGTTGCCTCCAAATCCCGTAGCTGAAACAAAATTACACACACAGAAATTATGCAGAATCTCAGAAGACAGTACCCCTTATACAATAATTGTAGAACAGTGAACTTAAGTCCCATGTGATGGCAGATGAATTTTAACTTGAGTTTTGCTATTAACAACAGTAGTACTGAAAAAGAACATATGCATGGGCGGACAATAAAGTTTGTGAATTCATCGCAGTAGAAGTGCTACATACCCCATTGCAGAGTATCACTGTGGTCACCTTCAAAGTACTGCCCTTGGGAAGTTACACACTGATGCCAGCACCTAGTCAACCCTTCAAAACAATTTTGGAACTGGTTTTGTGGAATGGCCTTCAGAGCTGACATCATATTACTCCTGATGTCATCAATGTTATCAAAATGTCTTCCTTACAATATTTCCTTTATCTTCACAAACAGAAAAAGGTCACTGGGGCTAGATTCAGTGAATAGGGAGAGTGTCCCAGCACAGTTATTTGTTTACTAGCTAAAAACTCCCTCAAAGACATCGCTGTGTGAGCAGGTGTACTGTCGTCATGCAGAATCCATGAGTTGTTGGCAAAAAGTCTGGGTCATTTCTATCTAACCTTTTCATGCAGCCATTTCAGTACTTCAAATAGCAAACTTGGTTGACTATTTGTTCAGCTGGTACAAACTCATAATTAACAATCCCTCTAATATAAAAAAAATTGGCAACATTGTTTTGAGTCTGATTTGGAGTGACGGAAATTTTTTGTCATGGAGTACTGGCGGTCTTCCATTGTGTACTTTGCAGCTTCATTTCAGGGGCATATTGGTAGACCCATTTTTCACCACCTGTGATGACATGGCCCAAAATGTCATCTTGCCTCTCCAAAAGGTCTTGGCAAGTTTTGACTCTTCTTTGCTTTGGTTGTTCGGTGAGCTCTTTTGGGGCCATTTTTTCATACACCTTCCTCATGTCAAGACTTCATATACTGTAACAAATTTGATCAAAGCATTGCCAGGCAATGGCACAATAAACACTTCCCAACATGCAATAATATAGGGAAAACTGTGTTTTCTATGTGGTCTGCGCCAAGTGCATGCATGGAACAACAGAACGTCTATTGGCTGGTAACGAAGCAATAAACATGCATCCTTAACAACAGAAGGTGTTTTCCATGGGGTCCACTCGGAGGAGTTATCCTGAAGACAATTGGTGCTACAAGTTCAGGTCTTGGTTGAAGATAGCCACAGGAAATTTGCAGTCGAAGAAGAATTAGAAGTCAGCCAGTGAGGTCTTAAAGTGTGATTTGAAGACATTACGTGTGCTGTAGTGCAGTGATATTAGGAGTGTGACAGTTATAGTTCCTGTGTTACAATCCATTGCCAGGAAATGGATAGGGAAAACTCTGCAGAGGAATAGCCATTGTATAGATCTGTTACCTAGCAATGACTAGTTAAAGCAAATATAGAAGATTTTATTTATGTGTTCTAATTATAGTAATCTTGAAAGTGTTATAATTATTTGTAGTTATGACTGGTGAATATCCAATAAACCGACTCAAAATCCAAATCCCATCTATTAGTCACCAATGTGACAATATCTTCAGAATTATTTCTGCTAAAATATTCGAGTGAAATGCATCTGAAACAAAATATATTCCCAAACTCTGCAGTGTCATATTTTTGCTATGATATCAATTGCAGTTTCCAGAAGCATTTATAAACTCCTGAAATAAAACAAAGTATTCGGCAGACAAAATCCAAATGTAACAGCACTCACATTTCTGGAAATGTTATCCTTCCCATACTGTGATGAAACTAAGATTTGAAAGTTTAAGACTGTTCATCACAGAAGTTGCCTTCTACTGATGGTTCATGCATATCTGCCAATATGCAGACATCTGGTTTGTCTTTCCAAATCACTGCTACCATGTCAACTCTCGCCATCACATGTACATGAGTTATAGTGTCTTACTGTAGAAGTTACCCAGCAGCCCTGTAAAACTGTCTCCACGAGTTCCTGAATACATGATGGCTTATGTGTGCATGTCAGCAAATAAAAGTAAAGTATGTGCCCCACCCCATCTAACCTGCTATTATGAGACCTGAGGTATAAATGGTGATGCCTACAAAGATTACTGTCTTATGGGACAAGACACCATATCATCATTAATAACATGCTGCCTTCATCTTCAGGAGATGTCTCAGCAATGCCAGTAATGCTCTACCACAATACATAGCCTGTTCTAGCACAAGTGTACTATCATATCAGACAGTTTATAAATCTTGCTGCTGGTTTGGTCTAATCTTTAACTTGGAAGAAATCAGTAAATGTCCATCAGACTACAAGGCACCATATCCCAGGAGATAGAGCCCTTGACAGACATTTCTGTGACAACCTCAAATTCAACATTATATCGTGACTGCAGAAAATTAAGAATGTCTTGCATTACAAGGTGTGACAATTTAATTCCCGGAATGGCTACAGCGTGTCACTGGGGTGTTGAATCAGGCAAACTCATGTACCCAAGAATATCTGGACATGTTCCAACTTGCATTTACATGAGCCACAGAGCAAACGAGTCATTCGTTCCCAGGCAGCAGAGGAAGTAGTACATGTCTGTGGTATACTGCTGGTGGAAAAATGAGTGACAAGAATCTTGAGCAGCAGATAAACATCAAGTTTTGTGTGAAGATTGGTAAAAGTGCTAGTGAAATGTTAGTTTTATTAACAGTGTCTTATAGTGAATACACTAGGAAGAAAATAAGTGTTTCTGAATGGCATAGGAGGCTCAAGGAAAGGTGAAGAAATGTGCAAGATGCCCCAAGAAGTGGGCAGGCAAAAATCCAAAGGACAGATGCAAACGTGGATACAGGACAAACCTTGGTGTGCTCAGATCAAAGATTAAGTGTGAGACTAACAGCAGAAGAATTGAATATGAATAGGGAAAGAGTGTGACAGATTATTATGGAGGATTTGGGAATGAGAAAAATATCCTCAAAGACAGTGCCTTATATCTTGACAGATGACCAGAAACATCAGCTTCACATGTCATTTGATCTTTTACAAAGTGCAAAGATGTTTGATATGGTCTTCACCAGTGATGAAATGTGGTGTTTTCAATACAACCTAGAAACAAAACATCAGAGCATGCAGTGGCAAACACAGAATTCACCTCAGTAAAAAAAGCACATATGTCTTGCTCACAGTTCAAGATCATGCTTGTGTGTTTCTTCGATCACAAGGGGATAGTTCACTATATTCATTGCATAAGGATTAATGGTGAATCAACAGTGTACTTGGACGTGCTGACAAGGTTACAGGAATCGGTTCAGAGGAAGAGACCCAAACTCTGGCCTGACAAGTGGATTTTCCACTATGACAATACCACTGTGCATGATGCGTTAAGAGTTGGCGAGTTCCTGGCCAAGAAATCCAATATTAAAATGGACCATCCACCTTATTCACCTGACTTAGCTACCTGCGATTTTTTATTCTTTCCAAAATTAAAGAATGCCCTGACGTGACAATGATTTGCTGACATTCCTGACATCCAATGCAATGTGACATTATTGCGAGGTGTTCTTAGAAAACGATTTTCAAGGCTGTTTCCAGCAGTGGCACCATCATTTCACAAAGTGCATATCTTCACAAGGGGAGTATTTTGAAGGCGTCAGCAGTCGCTAGTGCACAGGTAAGCAAATTTTGCTTTCACAGGGAAATTCCAGGAATTAAATTGTAGAATCTTGAATAATATTTGAAGGCAACATAAAATGGTGTGGAAACAAAATGTACAACTTCAATGACAAAATTTAAATAGGAACTCCAAATGAAATTCAGAATATAAGGTTTCTCTAGAAATCAGTCAAATACCTGCGCTTTCATCTGCCGCACAGCTGTGGAGTCAGACTGAAACTGCTCTACATGTAACCGGTGTTTCCGCAGTTGTTCTTCCAGATGACTGATGTGCTCTGTCAACTCTGACTTGCCGGACTCCAATCGTAAAGAATCCAGCTACACATAGACATAAACTACAGTATATCAAACTATAAGAGGTAATATAAAGTTGTCTTTGTGATACTTAATTAAACACTATGCCATGAAGACATATGGGGGCATGGAGGTATAACTCCACCTTTCTTGAACTTAGCACTAGATAGAGATGAGTAGTCAGCTTCACGCCCAGGCCGTTTACCCCCAGGAAAATCGTTCCTGGTACCCACTAGCTGGGAGGCTGGGTGTGCCCCAGAGTTGATCCGGATGCTGCGAAGAAAAAATTGTGCCATGCCGGGAATCGAACCCAGGTCATCCAGCCCACAGACTGTCGCTATACTGTCTGAGCTATCCCAACTCCTATATTAAGGTGTAATGTGAGGAAACCTTCATAGTACTTTCCTAGTCTCAGACACAAAAAAATGGAAATACTGTTTCAAAATAACCCACAGACAAATACAATCCATAAGGTACTCACTTGCATAACTAATGCCCCTGCATAGTAAATGGATGCATAATTTTTGATGAGAAACATGCTGAGGTAAATGCTGTATTTGTTACCAACATTCCAGCCACAAACATTTGGCTGAACAGATATGAAGGAAAGTGATTAATTGCACATTCTACACCTTCACACAAGGCATGGGCAACAATTTATGTTATCCATTCAAAGAGACACATTCTGAGGCACACAATATTTTATCTTACACATAATATAATTTGTTTTCCAATGAACCTTAACAAATCTTGTGAAAACAGGGACTATATATTTAGTGTATACACCTTCATCTAATAGTCACATGAGCATGAATTTTGCCTCATATAGCCCACAAGATTTTTACGCACATCTACAATCGCTTAAGAAAGATAATATTGTTGAACAGTACTATCTTCTGGGATATAACACCATGTAGTCCACTGAGAGTCAACTGACATTTTGGATGAACACACTGCTTCCATCTTCAGGATTGAATAAGCTGAGCAAGATACCAACATGAAAGCAGGCTTTCCACCTGGCAACACATATTACTGCCATCTTCAGGGATGAATAAGCCTAGCAATGATACAGCGTAAAAACAGGCTTGCCACCTGCTTTCATGCTGGTATCTTGCTCAGCTTATTCAATGCTGAAGATGGAGGCAATATGTTTATCTGAAATGTCAGTTGACTTTCAATAGACCACACAGAGTTATATCCCAGAAGACCATAATCTTCATAACCACTGCTGTGAAATCCTCAAATCCCTTACATGATAGCTCTGCTGTTTTATGCACTGCTTGTAGCATGCCAGAAGTTCTAAAATGCCACAACTCCAGCCAGCATTCACTGTCCCAATGCTCCTGATCGAATAAATCCTGCAGCCATGCTTTGGGCATGACATCAATGATTAGTGCTCAACAGGACAATCAGTTAATTGTACCCGCAGGATAAAGATTATTGCACATTGTTATTTTGGTACTATCTTCTTCACTCCTGGCTTTCTCTTCTAAAGCTGTCATAAGAATAATTAGTTGCCATTAGTGAGACTCCTATCTCAAGTTCCACATGTTGGGTGCCTTACTAGGAACTTGAGGCTGAGGTCTCACCAATAAGACTAAGTCCCTTGTACTGCGGCCAATTCTGGTTAATGGCAACTAATTCTTGACAGATTCTTCTCCTCCACCTGCATGAGTGGGTAATTATATTGAGTACTGTGACATTTTGCATCACCAATGAACTTTTCTTCACCCCAGGGAAGCAAAATATAATTGGTGAAATGTGAGATGGTTATGGTACAGCCTTTTGTGCCAGTAGACCATCATGAAGGTTCAGAAAAGAATGTCAGGAGATAATTTTCTTTTCTCCACAATATCCCGACTGACTCCGGGGCCCAGCCAGCCTTCTATCTAATGGACTTGCCAGAGATAAAGTGGCAAGGTTAAGAAAGGGTAAGAAAGAAAGAGCCATACCTCCACTCCCTCATAGGCCTTCATGGCATAATATTTAACTAATTAAGCACAGGGACAACTTTACCTTTTCCCAAGGGGCTTTTATTCTTCATATCCTCTTATGTTAAATTAACATCAATAAGCAGCAACTAAGATTTGAGGTTTTCACAGTGGTGACTGTGAAGAATGCTGTCGTCTGAGATGTGGCACCATGTAAATCTTGTGTGGCTGCAGTCACCTGCTCACACTGGTTCCTCGCTCAAGGATTTTTCTACCCTGAAGATGGAGGCGATACGTTCCTCCGAAACATTGGTTTACACAAGATCTATATGGCACCACATCCCAGACAATGGCTTTCTTCAATAAGCAGCAAGTTGATAATATGTCAACCATGGGGAAATAAAACATTTACACGGGTGGATTCACCACTTTATAAGCTTCCTCTGTGGTCCCACAGTTTCACTTTCTCCCCTGCCCTTTAATCTTTGTTGTCCAGCTACTACAGGGGTTGCAGCCAGACTTCAGTTAGGGCCCAAAACTTTACTGTCAGGGAAAGGATTTTAAATCTCTTGCTTCTACAGATCTGACAGCCATATTTTAATCAAGGGGCTAATGGTATTAGCACTGAAGAAAAGCAATGCTCGACCAGCCAAACTGTACAAAGCACTGACAGCAATAAAGGTTAAAAGTCCAAATATGTGACAAGAAACATAAATAATGAAACAGAGAACTGCTGCTCCCATGCATATCAGAGAGATGAACAGGGTGCCAATGGAAAATGTTACCATGTGTGTTGACATTTACAATGCAACCAGTACTTCTGGAATTGTGAGGTACAGGAGTAGCATTCCCAATAATTTTATACGAATTATAATCAGTCAATAACTTCAGCTTTCATTACTTCTCTTTAAATCTACAAATATTCACATCACAGAACTGGTCTTATTGGAGGTACTTCATGTGCAGGTGGGGTGAGTACTGCCAATATTATATTTCAATAATATTATTTTGGCCAGAAGGCAAATATTATGAATATATGGATAAGAATCAATAACGCACAATTCACTGATGCCTATGGAGGTGCGGGCACCACCACACACACTACTACTACTACTAGTACTTCTACTTCTACTACTACTACTACTACTACTACTACTACTACTAATAATAATAATAATAATAATAATAATAATAATAAAACAACAATAATAATAATAATAATAGTAATAATAAAATTTTTTGAAAATATTTAACAGTACTCAGACGTTCAAAAATGTCTCTTGTCTTACAATTTGAATTAATATTAAAAATCGGCTCAATTATATGTGGTTACGNTTAAAGGTGCAGACAATAACGAGACCTACATTTTATGTCATGTCTTAATTTTTATATGACAAACCATTTTTTAAAAACATCAAGTTCACTTTCGGGTAGAGGAGGGGCTGTATTCTACCCACATAAACCAAAATAAAATTTACATAACAACTTTACATTTTTCATTCAATAGTTTGGAAGATCAAATGCAGATGGACAGATTGACCTGACCCCTTTATCCAGTACAAAGAATGAAGACAAGTTGTAAGATGCGTAACTCACCTCATCTGTCAATTCCTGATGAGTCCTGCCTTGCTGTTCCAGTAGAGCATGCAACTGGTGTAACTGCTGCTCCAGTGCAGCCTCATGCTCTGTCCTTGTCTCTATCTGGCTCTCCAGCTCACCAATTATATCGCGCAGCATCCAGATCTACAAGTACACAGCCTCATACTTAACAAATGCAGAATATATTCAATTCAATTCAATTTATTTTTGTTCATCAGATCTACATTTGGTGATGGCACCTCTGGATATAGAACGCATCAAAGCCCAAGTGACTACAAAATCAATCCAGAGGACGTCATAAAGATATTACAACTAATATACAACCATTGTTGCAATAACTCTTGATACAAGTAAATTTACTGTCATCATCAACACTATGCTCCATGGTGCCACACTGAAATACAAATCACATCAATATTCTTACAATTCAAACACAAAAGGACAATGTTATAATTAAATACAACATGCATATAACACTTGCACTGCAACTTATTATCATAATAAAATACATATTAACATTGTCTATAGTAGAGAAAAAGCACATCTAGAGAATTATACGTATCATACAATAAAAGTTTTTAAAAAATGACTAGTGTTATTTTATTTATCTGTAATTAGCACAATCATCCCCTGTTTTCCATTTATAATACTCATCTAAAGAATAAAAAGAGCCCACCTGCAAAATTGTTTTGAGGGAATATTTGAATTTATTTAAGTTTTGCAATAAATTTTTTATACTATGTGGTAATTTATTAAATATTCTAATCCCAGTGTAAGATACTCCCTTTTGAGCCTGGTTGATTTATAAGTTGGATAATGTAATTCGAATCTTTGTCTAGTATAAATGTATGAATATCTGAATTTGCTACGTACTTGTCCATGTTTTTAACTATGAAGACTGATATTGATAAAGACAATTAGATGAAATATTATATTTCTTTCATTTACATGGAGTTTTTCAGGATTTCAGAATTTTAAACCATCAGATAATGTCAATTTGCACAAGTTCTCTTACAACTGAATAAAAATAATCTTAATAAGAAGTACAATTATCCCCTCAAACTGTATATGCTACTGACAAAACGTTTCATCACTGGCCTGAAAATACGTCATACAAAAAATGATCAATCCCTGCTAAATACAGAGTGGTCAGACTTCTGAAAATATTATCATGTTTAGGGACTAATAACATGGGTTTGGATTGGCGAATTAATTTATTGGATATTCACCAGTCATAACTACAATTAATTATAACATTATTGCTGATTTACACAATTTACAATCACTCCACAGTAATATCAGTCTACTTCCACTAGTCTTCACTATCCACTTCCTGGCAATGGATTTATAACACAGTCTCACTGAATTACACACTCTAAATATTATACATAAAGTCTGCTCTTCACAAGCTCCACTCTTGCAAGTAACTCTCAACTACACTGCACTGCACTTTCAACTCTTTTCCATGATTGCGTTGTGTCTTTGACTCACAGTTCCTCAGCTGTGACTACTAGGAAATGACCTTTCTTGTCCCCTATAAACCTTTGGCATGGACCATACCCACAGGAAACACAAGTCACGTGATACCCACCGAGCAAGTTCATTGCCTGTTGCTTAGCAACAAGCCATAAAATTCATCCACCAAGACACAGCTTCCATTGTGGCACATAAGAACTTGTTTACCGAGCCGTTGGCTAGAAATGCTTTCAGCAAATCCATTACAATATGACTACATACAGCAAACTTAAGAACCATAACAAAATGGAGTCCACTAAAATTGAAACAGAATTATTATAACCACGATATGGTAGACACTCCATTTCCTTTAAAGAGAGGCAGTATGAAGGACATGAACCGAATTGGTTCTAAATTTTAACAAAGTATTTTTAAACCACACTTATAAATAAACAAATTGTAAAAATGTATACATATTTTAATATATTCAGACACATCGTTGTAGTTGTTAAAGGACCAGATTTTACATTCATGACATTGGAATGATACTGTATGTATGTACTGATACTGACCAATCACACTGTAATAGTAGTTTCCACTTGTATTGATATATTCTTCTGAAGATGGTGTCTCAGACCGAAACATGTCAAAGACGAAAGATTAAAAAGGAGACATAAAAAAACATCACACTGGACAGAGTTGATAACCTTTTATAATATTGCTAATGTGCTGGACCAAGATGAACCAAATCAAATCTCACTACAGTACCTTGTCAACGGCAGCTTTCAATTCCATTTCCAACTCTTCCTTCTTGAGATCAAAGACCTTCTGTTCACATGTTGCCTCCTTCACTTGCAATTCCAGTGACTCCACCTGACAAAAGATTACACACAAATCAATTCAGGCTTTACAAGATACCAAATGAGTGCTCTAATTAAGAGGTTGGCCTCAGGTGTAACTGAACAACTACTAATGGATAGTTGGAAGGGTTTGCCTCTCAGCCAACCATAATGAACCTGTCAAAGCCAAAGAGATAGACAGAGTCAAGAAGATAAATATTAGCTACGGGTTACATCTGTTGCAATTTGTACTTTATATTTCACCCTTAATTACACAGAGTGTTCAACTTTGAAAGCTTATATAAATTTATACAGAGGACATACACAACGTTTCAAACTGTCATACTGTAGCAAAACACATCGAGTTTTACCTCGGATAGCTATGGCTCAATGTGACTTCCATTGGTAATGCGGCAGACGTCCCACCTGTAGTCAGTCTCTTGCCACACGCTACGTAGCATCTCTGCAACTGAGGCAGTAATTCGAGTTCGGAGCTCAACGACATTTGCAGGCAAAGGTGGTACGAACACTCGATCTTTAACGAATCCCCATAAGAAAAAATCCAGGGGAGTAAGATCTGGGGAACAAGATGGCCATGCTATCGGCACCGCTCTACCAATCCACCGACCTGGGAAATGGGTGTTGAAGTACTTGCGCGCTTCTCCAAGGTAATGAGGGGGTGCGCCATCTTGCTGGAAGTGAATGCGTCCTTCTTGGTCATCTTCAGCTAACTGTGGAATGAGGAACTCTTGGAGCATGTCCAGATATATGATACCGGTAATGGTCGTCTCCATGAAGAAGACGGGGCCGTACACTCTTTCTTTGCTGAGGGCGCGAAACATGTTCACCTTTGGGCTATCACAAACATGTTCCAGGGAGACATGTGGATTTTTGCTGCCCCAGATCCTGCACTGACATGAAACGTGCTCTCATCAGCGAAAATTAGGGAGTCCAGAAACTTCTCATCGTCTTGTATCCGATGAAACATTTGCATACAGAATTGCTTATGAACCACCTTATCTGCATCCGTAAGGTGTTGAACAATGGATAGTTTGTACACTTTTAAGTGTAACACTTAAGTGTTTTCATAACACTCACCACACAGTAACGTTTGGAATACCAGTTTCCCGAGACGCACGTCACGTTGACTTTCGTGGACTTCGAACAAAGCTCTCCCTAATCTGTTCCACTGTAGCATCAGAAACATGTAGCCAACGGGGTGGCTTGGCATGACACACAGAACATCCGGTCTGAACAAAATTCTTGTGCCAGTAGTAAATTGTAGGCCTACTAGGAGGTTCCTTGTGATACTGAGTGCGAAATTTCCCTTGAACGTATGCAGCAGACTTCGTTTCTTCAAACCAAAACACACGAGCACGCTCTGCACCTGTGAAAGTAGCCATCTTGATTTCAACTGTGGGAGTGCTCACGGTGACAGTATTGGGTACTACAGTACCACGTGCATTAAACTTGGTGTGTTTTGCTACATTATGACAGTTCAAAGTGTTGTGTATGTACTCTGTATAAATTTATATAAGCTTTCAAAGTTGTAAAGCTCTTTTTGAAACACCCTGTATAACATATTGTGACATGTTGTGCAACGGAGGACCCCTACCTCCCCAGCGGCACGTGGCGGTAACGAAGCACCTCGTAATAGGCGAGTCATCACCCCGCCACTCTCCCCGCGGTGACGTGTCGAGCGGAGCCGAAGTTAGCCGAGTTCCCGCAACCTGGTAGCTATGCAACGCGAGTCAACAGCGGTAACGTCACCAAGGGATATCGCGGTTGCTAGGCAGCAGTAAACAACTCCGGACAGCGTTGCTAAGAACATGGCACCAGACGACAATGGTCCGGAACGAGGCTACATAAGGAACAGCGAAGGCTATTCACAGTTAGTTCCGAGCAAGCCTACGAGCGAGTGTGTTATCAACGAGTTCTCAGGTCGCAAGTTACGAGCTACAGACGCGTGTGCGAGAATCAGTGATAGTTCGTGATAACCAATTATATTTGGAGTGTGTAATTCAGGAGACTTGTATAGCTCCCGCGCAATTAATACGTGAAGACTCTGGAAGATAGTGTTAAGAGATTTTGTTGTAGGGTTTGTAAACTGTGGAACCCGTAACATTGTGATAATTAATTGTAGCCGATATTTGTAGATTGTTCAATAAACCAATTAACGATCTCCACGGCGTATGCAGTAACGAAACACGTTACAATATATTATCTTTAAACTCATCTGATAACTAGATAACTAGAGCATTAATGTATTATGTTTATCATATGTTTTGTGTATGAGATGCATGGAATGAAGGCAAATTGGGAAGCTGTGTTCATCTGTCAATGTGTTTCATTTTCTGCACTATTTAACATGTGATTTTTTAATATAGTGAATATTTAATGAAACAAGGCAAAATAATTTGTGACTCTAAAAAGCATGGATAATTTTTCTTCAGGGGTTCTGTGTCTGAAGCAAATATACATGGAAGCTGGTGACATATGCAAAACAGCAAAGAATATATTTGGTATATGTTTATATACCATTACAATACACCTTTCAATTTTTGCTTCTGGCTGAAGAATTTTGTGAAACAAAGAATCTATGATATACATTACTTCACATACATTTGCAAAATACTTGAATCCATAACACAAATGTGCTTTTCCATGCAGTAGAACTGTTTCATCCATATCGATGAAAGAGCTAACAGCCGTTCATTTTTATGAAATTACTGGTACTCTATTTAGAAGGATATAAAGAATCCAGCATATATGAACATTAAAATAAGCCAACATTAACACAGTCAACCCTCCATATTTACAACTTCATCATTCATGTAATTCATAAATTTGTGATACATCTAATATATGTCCACTCTACATTCATGCATATTTGGCCATGCAAATAAGTACATTCACAGCCCATACTTTGTAGCGCAGATAGTCAAAGTGATAGATTGTGATCCTTTCATGGAGGGGAGTCTCAAAATTATGAGTGGAATTGATGTTTCAGCCTGCCCCTATTCTCAAATTCAAAAGGGACCGCAGGAAACAGCATAACAAGTGATTATCAACAGGTTTTCTCACCCCAAATCCTGTCTCACCCAGCCTCAACACACTTCAATTGCCCTCTTTGGAAGATTCAGATTTTTATCACCATAGTAGTTTTATATCAATATTATTACTCATGCACACAATACATACATACATATTTAATACATAATATATTATTATTTACTTATTTTTGGCTATGTTCTCATACATTTGCTCTCTGTTTTCTCATGCCATAAACCCAACACCATTTCTTCCACCGAATTACTGTCTCAGCATATGCAAATTCCATATTTGCATGAGTTTACAAAAACATAACCTTTGTGAATAGCAGTATTTACCATACACTAACATGCAAATTCTAAAAAGCCTAACATGCAAGTTAGTAGCTCCATGCAAAACTGTATTACAGATTACTGGCTTGTGTTGAAGAGTAACTGAGACAGACAACACAGCCATTAATCTGTATTCTGTTTGATATATTCATGCAACAAGTGTTTCTCTTCGCTCTGTAACTTGTTACAGGTTGGCCAACATTTCTAAACCAAACATTATGAGGACATCTATATAACACAATTATTCTGAATATGTGAAACATAAAAATATTAACCAATATTATTTATAATTCTGAGCTTTCAGTGCAAATAACCACACCATTTAAGTGCTTCTGAACTTATAACATACAGATCACCAACCAACTATTCATACAGTACATGTGAAAAAACTCATTTTCATTTTGCTTCATTAAAAATGTTCAAAATACTTGCATTTACATACTTCCTAAAAATAACGAAACCAATAAGATTAACACAGGAAATTCCATGGTAGTCTGATATGGGTAGCTTGTTAGGTGAAATAACAAAACCAATATCATGCATGTGGCAGAAAACTGCCTGTGCTGATTCAGTTAGCACTGTTACTTCCTAGCCAAATGGTTCCAAATTTCATTTTTGGGCCAGTGGCTGGCTATTCAACTAAAGACTTTTGTGGCAGTCCTTCCATCCCCTACAGAAAACTACTGGGAGAGTACCTTAAAATAAGCAACACATGTTTCTCCCACACATTCCAAATTCATAATTGACAGGCATAATCCCATCTGATGTTATGTAGCCTATGTAGATGAGAAAATGTTGATATATTAACTGAGAAATAACTCAAAAGAAGGCCACCTTCTTCTACTCAAAGTATGTTACAGTTTTAGTTATGTGAATATGATTACGTCCAGCGATAATCCATAAAAACTATATGAAAAAAGCAGTCTGTGGTGGTCTAAGTGACAAATTAAATGTCAAAAATGCGAAAGTCATGGCTGGAGGGAAACAAAGATGTCACATCTGTAATAATGTGATGTAGAAATGATTTACATGTGTGTGCTTTGGAAAATCACCTATATATCCTACTATGTGTAAAATAACCATTTATACAAAAATTCAATCTGTTTTCTGTAAATCCATCCAAATGCCACCCTTCCATCTTATTCCATGTAGCTGTTTTCCAAGCAGTATCTGTATCAATCTTAACACGTTTAAAAGTGAAATTCTATTTTGAATTACACAGAATTGTTACATTTACATTTATTTTCACTTCATGGATCCAATCATCTCCCTGTAGGGCTGGATATAGAACATGCCATACATTACAAATTCATGATGACTACACACTAAAAAGGATTCTACTAAACCAATGTAAATGCAAAAAGGCACAAACAACATTGTGTGGTAAGTGTAAACTTTCCAAATATATTATATACAGACTGTACCACTATCACAGATTCAAAACACTGACACGTTTTCAGACTGCTGAAACATGTCGGTCATGTCCTCTCTTTTTCATTCACAATAATGTATGACTCTTTCTTTTATTATACCACAGGCAAGAGTGTTATGCCATTAATTAGAAAAGTCTATTTTAAAAATCATACCATACAATGTTACTAGCTCAAGCAATTGGAGTAAAGTGTATAAATATTACTCTGATTCATACTACACATTACACATTGCTGTTACCACAGACTGCAGAACAAATTCTTAAACTTCCCATCAAAATGTACAGTGGCCACACCTAGTCACTCAAGCACAGCAGAGAGCAGAAAAACACTTTTACTATGTGGTTAGTTATAACAAACAATGTGATGTGAGACTCACTGTCGGAACACTGATAAATTTCTCACTGCCCTCTACTGCATCCTTTGTGCGTCAGCAAACAGTTGCAAGAAGAGAAAGAGAGAAGGGTGGGGTGCATGGTCAGGAAAACAAAAGATAAACAACAATTACTCCATCACCAAATCAGATCATATTCAAATTAGTATGTAAATGCTAGTGTTCCAAGATGTGAGATATACCCTAACAGAAGTAGTGAGTCATATGCAGATAGTCTACCAATCAACTTCCTGTATTTCCTCGTGTAATGGCCACAGTTTTCACTTGAGTTTCTTTAACTTGGATCTCAGAATTATTTCAACTTTTGTAACAAGAATGAATAATGTACAAAGACTGGAAAACATACAAGTAAAGGGTAAAGTTGTCCCTGTGCTTATATAATTAAGCACTATGCCATGAAGGTGTATGGGGGAGTGAGTGTATAGATTCACATTTTCTTGACCTCGGCACTAGTTGGAGGTGACTGGTCAGCTTCACACCCTGGCCGCTTTACCCCTGGGGAAAGAGCCCTCAGTAGTCATTGGATAGGAGGTTGGCTGAACCCTGGAGCCAGTCTGGATAACGTGGAGAAGAGAGAATTCTATACCCTACAGGCACTCAAACTCCAAACTTTTGGTCGTCCAGACTGTAGCTAGTTGCTGTACCAATAACGCTATCCCAATTTGAAAAAAATATTCTGGAAATACACAATGGCTCAAAATTTAGTCAACCAAGCCTATAAGTCTGACTTCCAGTTGCAGCTCTGAGTAGAGAGGGAGAAGATAAATACAAACACATCAGTGATTTATTACAACTTGGTAGGGAACAAAGCTGAGTTCACTACCACTGGGTGACATGTGGATCTTCTTCACTCATATGCATTTTCACAAGTTACATTTTTAGTAAGACAGTAATCTCAGAGGGCATTTTCAAATTCTAGGTAGATAGGTGATAAAAAACTGTATTCTATAACTTTCAATCATAAAGCCTAGGTGTTCATTATACGAGCAAACACAATACGGGCAAAAGAGCTATTTATTTTTAATATATTTCAACTATAAAGCATATCCAGCCAGCAAGCAATCATTTTGATAAAATGAAGGTACTGCCCCCATACTACTACTATGTCAATGATGCTATCTCAACACAGTACATATTAATGGCAAGATTAACTAAAAACTGAAAGAAATATATGGTATGATGATATAATGCATAGTTAGGAAGAGGACATAACAAAACAAGGTCACAAAGACATCATCATGCTGAAGTGTGGATAGATGTTCAAGTTCTCTTTTCAGAGGCCCCAAGACATTTAGTACTGAAAAATGAGTACTTCAAACAGGGCACTGAATACAAGAATTAAAAAAAGAAGTAAAAGTATCCTTGTAACAAGCCGTGAAGGCCCATAGGGTTGTGAGATGTTGAGGCTCCCACATTTTCTAGACAATCGGCTCATGGATGGAGGTGAGGTTGTCAGCCTTATGCACCTGCCGCCCTTTAACCCCAGTAATATTCCTGGTACTCATTTATGTTAGAGGCTCAGTTGAACCCAGGGCCATATTGCAGCTGGAAAAATGAGGTAAATTAAAAAAAATCCACCTCATCAGGATTGGATCCCGCTGCCTTCCAGCTTGTAGCATAGTGTCTTAACCATCTACGCTAACAATGGCATCTTAAATATAGCAAACCCCCCATTCATGGTTTCTTCAGGGACCAGATGATTTCAGAATTAAGCTAAGGAAAATCATAAATTGAGACAATTTGACACTGGGGTTATTGGCTTGAGATAGCTGAAACTGAATATTAAATGTGGGAAACATCTTAAAGAAACATTAGATGGGTGTTCCACTATAATCTGAAGAATGCTAGCAGTCCTTACCCTGACAAAGGAAGCAGCATATTCCTCTGACATATATGTAGGTGAATCTTCAGTCATCACTGTGAGAACCTTAGATCTCATTCCTATATAATTTATCTATAAGGTTCAAAGTCCCACAATTAAGATGATGTAGATAGAACATAACCTGCCAAATTGATACTATCCAGATATCTGCATTCTCATAAAGTTCATAAAAAATAAGTCACCAAACAAAAAGCATGAGAAATAAAAATATTTAAATTTGGAACATGATTAATGAGCTAAACTCAGATGGTCAAGATTCAGATTGACTGTAGTGGTAGACGCAACCTCCCTTCACCACCACATCCAGCACTCTAAACACTCCAACATGATGTTTTGCAATATTCTGTTTTCAGTGAATGGCTGCTAAAAGTGCTAACTTCAAAGAACTAAGTGGAATGCATCAATCCAAATAAGACGGTAATTATACCGTTTACTAGGAAGAGAAATATAAAGGACCTTAAGGAACCCTCTTCAATAAGGCAATCCAGCTCTCCAGCGATGTCAAGTACCTTGGTCTAGAATTAGACAAAGGACTGACATGGAAAAAGCAGCTGGACATGGTCATCAACAAAGCCTATAAGGCTTTTTGGACAAGCAGAAGCATGTTTGGTAAAACCTGGGGACTGCAGCCGCACGTTGTGCATTGGATATACACTGCGGTTGTGAGACCCATAATTACATACGGCACCACAGTATGTGGTCCAGAGTTAAACTCAAGATAAGCAAGGCAGAACTTAGCAAACTGCAAAGGTTGGCTTGCTTGGGTATCATAGGAGCAATTTGAACATCTCCAACAGCTACACTGGGGATACTCCTTGGACTCCCCCCACTGCATATACAGTAGGAGGCAGAGGCCAGGGCAGGAATCTACCATCTCCAGTGCAGTGGTCAATGGAAACCTAGATCTGATAGTTTCGGCCATGCATGCATACATAACTCAGGACATGAAAAAGGAACCCATATTACAAATGGGGTCTGACAAAATGATACTGAGACATGTATATGAAAAACCCTTCACAGTCAGATTTCCTGACAGGAGTGAATGGGAAGACAGGTTTCAGCCTGATAGAAAAGGGGGGGGGGATCTGGTATACAGATGGTTCCAAGATAAATAAGGGCACTGGAGCTGGTGTGTACTGCTATGGCATGAGGCGGAAACTTAGTTTCAGCCTTGGGCAGTACACGACAGTATTCCAGGCAGAAGTATATGCCATTATGGCATGTATTATGGAGAATTTAGATAGGAATTATAGAAATAGGAACATCTACATTCTATCTGACAGCCAAGCTGCACTTAAAGCGCATGACAAACACCAGATCAACTTAAAATTGGTGTGGAATGCCCACCTAACTCTCATGGAAGTGGCCAAACATAACAGGGTACAACTGATATGGGTGCCGGGGCATGAGGGTATTGCTGGAAACAAAACAGCAGACCAATTGGCCAAGATTGGACCTGAATATCCGTCATACGACTTGAACCAGCCTGTGGCATCTCTGTAGGAGTTGCCAGACAGGCAATCAGGGGCTGGACAAACGTGAGAAGTTAAAAGAGGACCCAGCTACGATGGGTGGTAGGACTACTTACAGGCCACTGTCGCCTTAAAGTACACCTCTTCAAACTGGTACTAAGTGACAGTCCCACTTGTGAGAGGTGTCAAGAAGAAAATGAAACAGCCACACATATCCTGTGTGAATGTGAGGCCTTAGCTTACTTAAGATTATGTCACTAGGGTCAATACTTTATGGAACCAAGTGATTATTTTGATGCCCCCACGTACAAAATCCTGCGCCTCATTTGAAGCGCAGGATTGCTGAGGGGATAATCAAAAGGGGAAGCACAATAGACCACTGTAGGTCACGGTGCAAGGGCCGAGAAGGCCTACCCCTCATACATTCAGTCATTCATTCATTCATTCATTCATTCAAGTGGAACAAACAATCAACTTCAAGGACTCTGCGTTTCACAAGCCTAATCCAGTCTGGTCCAGTCTCATTATATATTATAAAACTTGTTCTGCTAGCATCATGGTCTAGCTTCAATCTTATGGCAGTCCATGCCCAATCTGTGGTAGACAAAATGGAACTCAAACAGACTTTCCTTGAGCACTTCCACACAATCATCTCTCCACCCATATTCCATGTATTACTACTCCTGCGAAGTGAGATGCTTCCTAAGAGCTAACACAATACCACAGCCCCAGAACTCAGCTGAGGTACACCATTTTGTTGTTGTCTGGGATGTAACGCCATGCAGTGCAGTTGTCTCAAAGGAATATACTGTCACTGTCTTCAGGGTCATAGAGTAAGCCAGGCAAGAAGCAAGTGGCAAACTCTAATTGCTCTGGCTGCTGTTCGCTTCCTGTTGAGAGGGATGTGATTTCCTCCAAAACATTGCACTTTTCCCAAACTAAACAGCTTTACATGCCAGAAGACTGCACTCTTCTCAGTCACTGCTGGGAGAACCTCAAGTTCAACACAAGGAAGTTTTCTTTGCAATGTTATTAGTAATGTAACCAGAACTTTTTTTAATACTGAAATGTTTATATCTGTGAAAAATTTTGTTAAGTGCAGAAAGATAAATAGACACATATGGCAAATCCAAAAAATGGCTTCTTTCAAACAAATTAAGATATAATATTTACAATTTATTCATAATCAACTTAATTCAGGGAATAAAAAAATTTGTAATACCATGAACCCTTAAAACAATATGTAAATTTATATGATTCCCCCATTAAAGTTATTGATGTCACTAGAATTAATTAAAAAATCCATTATATCTACCTCTATCAGTGTCTGTTAACTGCAGTTACAGTCTCTGAAAACATCTCCATTAAATGTTACTGACTTGCCACTAATTTGGGATCTATGAAACTGAACATTAAATGACAGAAAACCTCAAGTGAAGGAACATTAAATGAGGACTTCACATAACAACAAACAACAACAACAACAACAACACAAACAATCAAGAATTCAGCAAACCCCATTAGAGCAAACCCGGTCTGAGAAACCATGATATGTATTATTCTGTAGGACAAAAATATAAAATCGGACATATATCTGAGTCATTTTTAACATTAAATTCAAAAATATATTCACAACAATATTATCAGATTACTTCCATATATTGCTAAACATGATTTTTATCTCTTACTCTTCTTAGCTACCTTTCTGATTATCTTACAACATAAAAGAACTTCCACAACAATTATTTTCCAGATGCTCTTGTCTGTTCACCAACAGAATGTCATGTAACATGCAGTACTGAGGTCTGAGTGGCAAATTTTTCATGTCACGTTACTTATAACCTGACTGACAACCTCCAAAGTTAAACCAGGAAAATGATAAACTAACCTCTTTTGTGAGACGCTCACGTTCAGTGCGGTCATGATCTCGTTCACGAATCTGTCCATGCAGTTTGGCAATCTCCCGCAAGAAGTCGTCTCTTTCCTGTTCTCGCTCAGCAGCCTGCTCTTCCAAGAAGAGACGTGTGGCACGCAGCTGCTTATCTGCAGCCTCTACCTATCAAAAAATAAAATATGTAAAGAGATGATGGATGAATTGGTGACAGATGCAAGTACAATGTTGGGGGGATGATTTTTCCCACACTCTAGTAGTTCCAAGATGGCTTGTAATAGATCTGCAAATAGCATATAACAGAGCATGTGGATCATAGTTTTAGGATCATAATTATGGTAAAGCTATCCCTGTAACAGGCCGTCAACGTCCATAGGGTTATGAGACAGCTAGGCTACCACATTTTCTTTAGACAATTGGCTCACAGCCTTACGTGCTGGCTGTCCTTTATCCCCCAGGAAGATTCCTGGTACCCATTTCTCTTAGAGGCTAAGTTGACCCCAGGGCCAGAGTGCAGCTAGAAAAATTAGGTAAATTGAAAAAATCCACCTCATTGGGGCTCGAATCCACAACCATCCGGCTTGTAGCATAGTGCCTCAACCAACTACACTACGGCGTGCCCCCAGGATCATAACTAAACTTCAGAAAACAAACTCAATTATTTAGATGAACTGTAGATGTAAATTTTTTGTGTTTTTCTTCAGTCACTCCAGGAAAGTGCTGGGACAGTACCTCAAATTAGGCCACAACTGCTCCCTTCTGTAACCTTTTCAATTCATTATTCATTGCTCATCACATTACTTGATGCCACACAGTCCAGCTACTGGCAACACTGTAAAATAAACCATAACTCAAGTAAGATGTGAAATACGAACAGTAAAACACTGTGAAGCATATCCATTGTTAGGCAACAGCCCAGTAAACACCTTCCCACTTATGCACGTGACAACTGGGCATCCACTGCTAGGCAATGTATTAGTGAGCACATCTGGTCAACAATTGAGGATATCCATTGCTGGGCGATGCAAACACTTTTCCATGCATACTCTAACTGTCTAGTGCGTTAAGGCCCTTTGCGTTGGGTGCCACTCCTTCTAACCATCCTTCTCCGGCAGTCCTCTGAAGAGCCCTTTGGTTGCTGGTTGCATCTGCTCCTCTAGCTGTTCCCTCTCACCTGTTGTTACTTTGAGTTGGCAGGTTGCTGCTGCATCCTTCCTATCCAGTTCTGTTTCCCTTTTTGTTGTTCTGGTGGATAATAGTTTGTGGGGTATGGGTTATCAGAGTGCTGGGCGCCAGTAGGCTTACTGTAACGGCTTACATTTCGGGGAAAAGGGGGGATGAACTGGAAACTACAGGTGCTAGGTACTGCGTTCTCACTGGAGCGATGAGATTCGGTCTCAGGGTGAATACGGGCCTCACGTCAGCGGGAAAGAGAAGAGTGTTTTAGGTAGGCACTAACACACACTGTTTAATTAGCCAATCTTGCTACACACGTACATTTAACAGCACTTGTTGCACTTCCTTAAAACACCTGGAAATCTCTCCAACGTTGGCGACCGGACCCCTGGCTAGTTAGTTAGCGGCTGTTTCTTTTAGCACAACCCCTAGAATTGCACTTTCACTTATACTTTTAGCACAAAGAAAATTTCACGTTAAATTTAGAAGAGTTATCCAGAGATTGTTCCTGCAAACACTTAAACATAATTTTGTTTTAACTTTGATTTTTTTTTAACCCAAACTGCCAGTGATGCTAGTTTTCCGGCTGTACACTTGGAGGGTTGTTCAGAGACTCTTCTCGCAGACTGACCCTGCTTCGAAGCAAGAAATCTTCGCGGCTTCAGCTCCGCCTCCAAGTTACTACCCTAATTTCTGCTGATTGGAACAATTCGAATTTAGGGAGTTAACCATAATTCTCACTGCTCCAATCACATAACTTTAATTTGGGACTTTGGACCTTAAAGTCCTAACGTCGTTTTTGACAGCTGCTTGAAAAATTATACCAGTAGCGTGGGTTGCTGGCCTTCCCACTTTTGACTTACGGGGTTCAAAACTTGTCAAGTGTAACTTTACCAAAGGATCCCGCCGGTCAACTTTCTAACTGAATTTCCAGGAAAACTCTGCGGGGTGCTTCCTGTCTGGTCTTTGTAGCAGTGAAGCAGGCCCTATTCTTGAAACCAAGAATCGGGCTAAGTCACCCTTGAGTGTTCCTTGCTACCTCTTGTGTATAATTACTCTAAAAAGAAATATTGATTACAAATAAAGATGGTGGTGTCAGTGGTACGGCTACAATACGGTGTTCTCAATGTGTTTTCTGTGCGTGGTCTTTGCCAAAGGGTTATAGGGGACAATGAAGCTAATTTGCTGTCAGTTGTAGAATGGGAAGCATAATACAGAAAGACCTTGGTGGTCAAGGAAGAAGGGTTCAGCTGAAGATTGAATATGAGATGTTATAATTGGTTATAAATGTAATAAAAGTGTCAATAAATCCAATCATCCATTCCAGAACCCATTATTATTATTCACGCAAACCCCTCATACATGACAATATTTTGTTCCTGTGTCATGCTACATAACATCACTTAAAAAGTCTTCATATTCCTACGATTAAGTCAACAAAAATCCATACAATAAATAATTCACCAACGTACAAGTATGTAAAATAAGAAAGCAGTCTTCTGGGATTTGGCACCATGTATATGTGGTGTTAACTGACGTTTTGGAGGAATGTATCGCCTCCGAAACGTCGGTTAACACCACATATACACGGTGCCAAATCCCAGAAGACTGCTTTCTTCATAGTCACCGCCGTGGAAGCCTCAAATCTTACATATGTAAAATAGGTTAATAGGACTGGATTTCATAAGTCAAAACAAAGACCTACTGGACAACAACTGCGCTTCTATGTAAGAAAACAGGTAACTTCACATGCTACCAACTGTATTTACATACTTCTCAGTTTAACTTGAATCAATATGCATCACCCTACACCCTTGCAGTGACAAACCAGCATCCAACTATCTGAGATATGGTCAGGTATCACTCTTCTAACAGTACTTGCAGTAGTTTCAGCTACTATGCAGTTCAGGGCCCAAAAACTTGTGTTTATAGGAATGTATAATGAGTGTTAAAACTAGTTTTGCGAACTGGATAAACAATTAGCGGTAGTAATTTAAAATTTAAAATGTCCAGATACCCAATATAATATGAAATCTTGTGACCAGAGATTTCATTAGAAGCAGGGAATTTCTTCAGTGGCTGAGTAACTACTAGCTTAAGAAGGATGGTGGTGAATAGTGCTACAACAGTTTCATCCAACATACTTCTGAAGTAACTGTATGCCAAATACAATGTATGATGTGATTATATCTTCCACTGTTAGCATAGTGGTTGAGGCACTATGCTAAAAGCCGGAAGGTCGTGGGTTCAAGTCCAGATGAGGTCATTGGATTTTCTTCAATTGACCTAACCCTTCCAGCCACACTATGGCCCTGTGGTTGACTCAGCCTCTAACAGAAATGAGAACCAGGAATTAATTAAATAATTTCCTGAGTAAAGCGCGACCGGCCCTTAAGGCTGACAACCTTAGCGCCATCCTTGAGCTGACTGTCTAGAAAATGTGGGATCCTCAAATATCACAACCCTATGGGCCTTCATGGCCTGGTACAGGGATAGCTTTACTTTTTTTTTATATTCAATAACATCACTAAAAGTGTCCCCTTCCTTAAACATTACAAAACTTATGATAAAGAAATTCAGTTCTGTAGCCCATTATATGTGTTGTACTGTGCAATATCAAATAACAAAATACACATGAATAAGGAAATACAAAAACATCAGACACACAACTGCAAGTTCGTGCATAATTACAACGAAAGTCTAACAGAATCAGTACAACATACTCTCAATTATCTGTGGTAATGGAGGCAAGAAGCAATGTGAGTAAATAAAAACACTGGATCATCCAAGATGAAAATACCCATCATCCACACTGAAGTATTACTTACTGGTTCTAATGCTGGTAACTAAACAGTTAGAGAAATGTCTTCTGCATCGGCTGGGACAAAAATAAAATAATGAAATAAAAAGTTGCTGCAGGGTAAGATGATGAACAATCTAATGAAATTCAACACAAAGTATAAGTGAAACATATTACTAAAACAGGTGTAATAGGAAATATATCATCATGGAAAAGCTTAATCAATAACTGATTCCAAAAGTTCTGTGTTAATCCAAGACTCAGACAATCCACACACAAATAATCACAAGTCTAGTGTGTATAAAATTAAGTGCAATCAAATCCAATTTAAGAATTAATAAAACCACATAGTACAGGTCTATCATTTAATGGGGGCTACTAAGTTATGCAGTAGCATATTTGGTTGAAGCACTAAGCTACAAGCAGAAAGGTATGGGTTAAAGTCCCGATGAGGTCACTTGATTTTTTCAATTCCAGCCGCACTATGGCCCTGGGGTCAACTCAGCTTCTAATAGAAATGAGTACCAGGAATATTCTTGGAATATTCTTGGGAGTAAAGGGCAGCCAGCACATAAGGCTGACAACCTTGCTTCCATCTATAAGCCGATTGTCTAGAAAATGTGGGAACCTCAACTTCAGAGTGATTTTAAGTGACAGTTTCTGTGTTGAGATCCCTTGCCAGGAGACAACTAGTTTAAACAGAGAATTCTAGTACATGTGCAATGGTGAACTGGAAAGTGTGTAAATCTGCAATAGCGCTATATTTAAGTGTGATTAAGAGTACTTGTAACCAAGGTGATAATAAGTCTTAATCATCTGAATGACAACCCATTATTGTGGTAACACGTACCCATACACGTGGCAATACATTAATGCAACAGGATGCTTGATTACAATATTATCTTATGAACTCATTTGTCACAGCTTTCTAAATGCAACAGCAATGTATATCATTTGTTGTATTCTTAATCACCATAGGAGGAGTCAACATTCACTAACATATTCCTGCATTATTTTGTTCACGTCAGACCCAACATCAACTGTTCCCATCTAAGCACCCACATATAGCAACAGCTGTGAATACAAACAGCAAAACAGCACAACATGCTATGTCACAAAGCCTGGATGTGTTGTTATTCTTCTCTGAAACATTAATGACCTCTTGGCAGCAAACCCCGTGAATCAAGTGGGGACTGTCTAATGAAACCTGACAGAAATACAAATAAAATCAAATGTATACAAATTTCCCATTGTACTTCCAGCATTCTAATACCATTCCTCTAAACCAGGCATGTCCAATGCATCGATCGTGATCGACTGGTCGATCGCGGGACAATATTTGGTCGATCTCATAGGCCTATAAGGAAATTATACGTGTAGAGCATGTAAATTCACTTGTAATATATGATTATATTCATATTTTGAAGGGAAAATACGTATTAAAGTAGTCTGTACTTTCGATGTATGTTGCTTTTACAACAAACATCATGTGTCGTGTTATTTTTACCAATATTTTTGCTTAAAGAGAGGTACGACGATACGAGGGGGTGGTAGATCACTGGCAGTTTTGACAATAAAGAGTCGATCACAACCTATTTGAAGTTGGACATGCCTGCTCTAACCAATCCACTAAACTGTGTTCATTACAATGAAATCTGAGAATGGTAGGAAGGTATAATCTCTTATTAGAAGAAAGGCATGAAAGATAACAAAAATTAAAAAATTAACAATTTCATTCACATAGTAGATGCACAAACATACAATATAAAGAAGAGGGGAAGCTGAAAGACAATGTTCTGCTGCAATGTATGAGAACATTTCATGTGATATTTTCTCCAAATATTTACAGGAATATGTTAAAACTCACTGTCAAATCCATCAAACAGAGCCAGTCCAATCTGTCTACATCACACACCTTCACTCAAATGTCTCAGTAATGCAGAACTTATTTGACCACATAAACTGCTACATTTTAATAAAACAGATGACTGTCAAACAATTATACAATGTATAAACAAGCGCAGGTGGAGCAAATGCTAACATTTACAAGCCACAATGCTCTTTCGCATTCCTAAACAACAAACACACTGGCTACATTCACAGACTTTACACATATTTACTTGCAGCAACAATTCAATTATAAGAGTCAAGAAAGATCCTTGCCTGTTGTTGCAAGTCATCTCGTTCCTTGCGAGCCTCTTCTGACAGACGATCACCTTCCTGGCACAATTCCTCAATTAATTTGAGATGTGGGGACTTATGATCACCAAATGCCCTCTCACTCAGGACTGAACGTGCTGCAAGCACAATTTTCCTTCAGTCATAAAGGATTAATTCAATAGCTGACTCATTGCGCTACAACATACTACAATAATTCAAGAATTATCTTCAAACATTGTCCACTGCAGTGACAGAGAATACATACATTTCAGAAGCTTACTCTGTCTGCACCTTCAGGTAGCCAGAAAGGATAAGCATTTTATGGGGGTCCGCAAGGCTTAACAAGAAAGAAATATCCTTATCTGTCACAACAGAATAGGCATCTTTCCTTTCTACATGAAAACGATCACAGACCAAGCTTGTAATCGTCTGCATGTTCTACTCCATGCACATAATAAACAACACCCAAAGAAAATTCTCCTGAAATGAAACTGGATCACTGTCACAAACCACTAGGACCACAACATATTACATGCATTGTAATTATTCATCATATTATGAGCACAATAACTCTGTAAAATTCACATAGTGGGGGGGTTGAATCCAGTTGGATCCACTTGGCACAGCGGTCACTGATTGGCCTATTGTACCTGCCCTGGGTGATTATGATGATGGAGAATTTTTGGTGGAATGAAGATTGGCGGGGAAACCGAAGTAACCGGAGAAAACCTACCCCAGCGCCACTTTGTCCACCACAAATCCCACTTCACCAGACCCGGGTTTGAACCCGGGCCGCCACGGTGGGAAGACAGCGACTAACCGCTTGAGCCATGTCACAACCTACAATAACTCTGTAACATATTTTCCTAAATAAATACCCTAACATGTAAACAGCCATTTAAAACCATGCTGAAACAGAAAATTACTCACAGGAATAGTAACAAGATACATGAATAAATTAAAAACGAAAATTTAACTTAGATAATCGGAACATCTACTTCCTTCTGGAGTATTAAAACTTATTTTCAAACTACAGCATATCTCAAACAATATTATTTGTATGTCTTATACATTTACCTCCCAATAATGTGTATCCCTGCAAGGAAAAAATGGAGTTTCCACTTGAAGCCCCAATAACTAAATTAACTATAACAAAACCAAAGAGTTTTGGTGTTTTCACAACAGTGATTTTAAGGTTGTGGCCTTCTGGGTTGTGACACCACTCAGTTTTGTGGATGGACATTGATGTCTTGAAGGAACATGCTTTCTCCATCTTCACAGCTGAAGCATGCAGGTTATTGCCCCCCCTGAAGTCCAAATTTCTTGCCTGTGGAAAGATTTATGGTGGCCTTGTAAAGGGCCAGTTCTGCTCATTCCCCATACAACTCCACTTTCCTCCAGAAAACAACACTGGATCCCTGAGAATGTCTGTTCTCTCAGTATTCTAGTTCCACCCGTGACAATAAACCAGCATGCCCCTTGCAATGGTCAATTTTTGTCCATGTTTGTCCAGGTTCTTCCCACTGGCCAGGCACAGGTTCCTATCTTAATCTCCTCTCCTTGGGTCTCACGAACAACCTCCATTTAACTTGCTTACACAAACTTTCAAATGTGAAGATGTAGGCAGCACATTCCTCCGAAATGTCTGTGTCCACCAACAAAACTACATGGCACACAACTCAGAAGACCACAATCTTAAAAATAGCAGCATTTTGCGTTTTGTGAAATGAATTTCATTTCTGAAGCTCTGATAACAGAATTTCAAGAGCCAACACATTTCAATATATCAACGGTTAGTTGACAAGCCAGTTTTCATACAAAAGGAATGCTGTAAAATGTCAAATAAAAAAAATGGTTTATAGCTCAAATGAGCCAGCAGTAAGAATAATCTTAAAAAATATGTACATCAAATTTTACCATCATAGCATGTTTCTCATAGGAAGTTATAACCCTTTTTTCTATTTATAATCTGAATCAACGTGGGTACTTTCACACCTAGCTTGCAGCTAAAGATAAAAGTATGATGCCACCCACCTTTATCCTGCAACTGGGCCATGTTATGAAGCCTCCTTACAAGACAAGGTTCAATGCTTTCACCAAACCCTTCAGTAACATCCTCTCTCTTCCCAAGCTCACGTTCCAGTTCTGTGACTTGAGACCTAGCTGCTCGCAAATCTGACTCCAGGACTTCCTTAATAATTTTCAGTTTTGCCAGCTGTTCCTGTAGGAGCACACATTCTTTTTCCTTCACTTCAACATTTTCCAGTTGCTTTAGAAGTTCATCCTTTCTTTTAACTTCAACATCTAGTTGGTTAGTCAGAATATTCACTTTCTCCTTCAACAACATTACTGCATCATGTGTAATCTGAACAGTTCTAGGCAAAGTGCCTGAGAGACCAAGTATAGCCACTGCTTCAGCTTTCAACCTTTCCAGGCAGCTGTCAAGTTCCGAGCGGAAATCCAAAGACACATCTCTGTTCCTCTCTATGTAATCCAATAAGTTATCTTCATCAATAAGGCTGATAATACTTGATGCATCAGGAGCAAAATGAACCCTATGAGTTCCATGGGCTGAAATGCTACTTCTTTCTGTAAGGGGTATAAGGGAATGATCAAAGCTGTGTGATGTCACTGACACCTCATCACAAATGACCTGATCTTGTGGCATTAATATCTCATTCCTTTGTGGGCTTCTTACAGTGGATTCTACTGAGAAAGTCTCTCCATTTTTAATGCTACTGCTGTCATTTCTTGTTTCTGTATTATCATCAGACTTACTGCATACATTTTCAGGAACACATGGAAGTGTTTGGTCTTTCATTTCATTGTTGTTCTTGCTCAATTCTCCACTATTCTTTGAAGCTACTGGCTCAAACTTTAGCAGTTCTCCAATAAGAGTATTGTTTAACTCATCTTCACAAACATTGAGGTAAGCAACCAGTTCTCGCAACAGGTACCTCAAGGTATCAGTTATTTTTCTTAGACAGTCCCTGTGAATAAGTTATATATATTGCAATACACACTGTCAACAAGCAAAGACACAAATTTGCAGTCTAATGCAATTAACAGAATTATGATAGAGGCAAACTGTATATTGGTGAGAAGCATAAAGTAGCTACAATGTATTGCTTGTTATAGAAGTTAACTAAAAGCCAGACATTTTTACTTGATTTAGTACCAGGTTAAAAATCTGAATCTGCAAAATGTTCTATAAGCCCACATATGCTTTGGACTTTTATATTTACTTCAGAAATTAAAATTATTAAAACATATTAATTGCTGTTTTTATACATAATAAGCAGTCCACAAGCTGGTAAAGCTGACCTTACAATAATGGTAAAGTATGGTTTACAGTAAACTGTATCTTTCAGAAGTCGCAAGGTCCAGTCTATTGCAAAAGTTGATTATATAAAGGACACTTATGTCTTACATTAACATAACCTATTCTACCCATGTAATTCAATATTATAAGCTACATGCATATATTTTTAACTAAATTCTTACTCTGTTTTTCCAGGCAATAAATGCAAGTTTTTAAATAAATCATGAATATCATTTAAACAGCAATTAAACACAATAAGTTGCGAACATACAATATCATTCCATTTTGACCCATCATACCTTTCTCTGATCAGCTGCTCCAGATCTGTATCCAGGACTGAGACAGCATTCTCTGTTCCAACAGCTGAGCTATCTCCCAATTTAATTTGCATTGCAAGCTTAGTCTTCTCCAACTGAAATAAAAAAGCTTATTTAAATAGAGACTGAGCCCCTGTTTATGCTAATCATTTTAAATGTTAAGGCTCCACTTGGGAGGCAGGATAAAGAAGGGAAAGTAATGTTAAAATGGATCTTACAGAAACAGGAGATGAGGTATGTGACCTGAAACCAAATGGCTCAAGAAAGTGTTCACTGAATGGCTTTTGTAGGGCTGCACTAACAGTGAACCTTCTGGTTTCAAAACAGAGGTCCAAGAGGTGAGTACCTATAAATATGATGGTTCTTATAAAAGTGTATATTATTCATATAAAGAACAAAACTTAAGTGCTTAGGCTTTAATACATGGTTCAAATATTCAACTGTTTCAGACCTTATCCATAAAACACTTTTGTGAAGTTCAGTGAATAAAACCGAAAATGTTGTACACAGTGACAGTATTAATAGTTAATAGAAAGCACACAATTCCAGAATGTCACCAAAATGTGGCACAGAGAAGGCCTAAAACAGTTAAATACTAGAACCACATGCAACAGGATGAAGTACTACAGTATTTAATCTACAGCAAAAATATCTGAAGTATCAGAACACTTTTTCCCATACAGCCATGAAAAGTTAATACAGTTGGATTTGAATTTCTCACAGAGGTAAAAAAAAAAAAAAAAAAAAAAAAAAAAAAAAAAAAAAAAAAAAAAAAAAAAAAAAAAAAAAAACTTTTGAGCTGAAATACCAGATAGTTTGGAGAAAGCCTGAAATTTCTGAGGAATGTACCATCTCCATGTTCAGGGTCAGAGTAAGACAAGTAGGAAATCTTCAGAAGTAGGCAGCTTAGTTTACCACCTGCTTCTGCTAATTTCTTGCTTTGCTTACTCTTCAGCCCTGAAGATGGAGGTGATGCATTCCTCTGGAACATTGGGCCTTATTCAAACTACATGTAACTTAGATGATTTAGTATCATATGAAAGGGCACATTAAAGGTAATGGCTTAGTTACTGCTATGCTTAAGCCCATCATAAATACATACAGCAGGAAAGGAGGTAAGTCCCCATACATTACACACAGAGATATGAGTGATCAACTTTGTAGTGAAAAGGAGGCTGAACCAGTCTGGATGTAATGGAAAACAGAAAACCACTGTGATTCAGCCTACTGGCTCAGCTATCTCAGCTCCAAAGTCAACACATCATACAATAAAAAAGGTTAACTCAACAAAAATAACACAGGAATGCAAACAAAAGAACAAGCAACACTGACGCACCTGAATGATTTGCAACTTCAGTGATTGTAACTCTTGCAATGTACTGTCTATAGAAGTGTCTTTGTTAGTAAAGGTCGAGTCAAACTTCTGTGTTAGTAGTGCCAACTCCTGGTCTAGGAATTCCTGGTAGACATAACAGTTGCCAAAATAACAGTGGGTGCATATCTGCATGCAAGACATTGTTGTTAACAATAAATATATAGTACGACAATTATACAAGTTTAATCAAGCACACATGCTAAGTATTTATAGTTAATGGGGAGAAAATAATGCAACAGTGATAGAAAGGCTTTGTAACTGCATTAGGAGTCTACACTATAGCACACTTTCAGCCAATAAAGATACAATCACATGGAAAAAAACAAGCAGTTAATGACTCAATATATAAAATAAATAAACAAATAAATAAATCCATCAAAAGTTCCTGCTGATTCCTTCATGACAGTCATTTGCTAGCCTTCAGTGAATCAGAAACTGAGGCAACCTACAGTCCTGGGATGAACTTGATGAAATCTAATTTGCATAAACTACTGGGCTACAATTTATGTTTAATTTTAACCCTGAGACCAGCAGTGAAGCGAGCAAACTGGCTCATAAGGAAGAGATCAAACTCCACCACAACAATATAAACGGGGGGAAGAGTCTTTCCTGAGCAGAATGTGAAATATCTTCCCAGTTTCCGAAGGAAAAGAAGTTCCTCACCATGGACAAACTACTTACTTCCTCCTACATGAAATTCATCTGCTCAGGCCCTTGAGAAAGAAAAGGACTGATTCTTCACCCCAAACTTCCTGTCCTCATGGCCTTGAAAAGGGCACACAATTCCATTCGTCCTAAGATCACAGTCTTCTGGGCTGTGATACTAGGTGGTTTTGCAGACAGATACCAATGTTTCAGAGGAACATCCTACCACCATCTTCAGGGTTAAAGTGGGTAGGTTCAGAAACAGGCTTAGCTGTATACAGAAGTTACTCAGGATGGGGGATGGGGGGGGTCATGAGATCCAAGGAGAGAGGGTAAAGAAGGGACTCCAGGCCCAGCCAATGGGAAGAAATTGACAAAAACAGCCATAACATCTAAAAGTTTGTGACAATGGTAAATTAATACAATTATTGTGTTTCTAGACATTATCCACTGTCTTGTTTTTATTTAAAACACACAACATTTCAGAGACTGGATTCTGTCTCCACCTTCAGGTGGAACCTACTCAGCTGGCCCCAATCAAAAGCGCTAGTCCCTATCTTGGGACACCAGCACCAATATGAGATTGGGATACAGCCATTTCTGAACATATGTTCAGGATGTTGTATTTTAGCGTCCTATTGCACTGATTCATATTCATAATGTGTATCTATTAACAGCCTTCAAGTGCATACAATCCACTTACCACTTCTACACTACATGTTTGGGCAGTATGCTGCCATCTTCAGGTGTATCGATCCATCAACGATTTCACTGCTTGCCTTTATGTCCATTTACAAATAATATTAAATTTGTATATGTCCTTATATAATAATAAAGTTTATGTATTTAAAACTTGTTAAAACCTATTATCTCATACATCATATTTTAAATTCGTGTGTATTATTGATCATCCACATGGGTGTTGTTTTTCTTTTTATGTTTCTAATGTTGTGTGTATATTATGTCTTATGATGTGTGGATCACAGTCCTTGATCATCCTCCATATTCACCAGATTTGGCTCCAGCAGATTTCTGGTTGTTCCCAAAAGTTAAGTTGGTGATGAAAGGAGACCGTCACGAAACCATCCAGGACATACAAATGGAATCTACCACAGTTTTAAATGTGATTCCACAAAAGGAGTACAGTGACTGTTTTCAAAAACTTTTCAATTGATTCCAGCTATGTACTGATTCAGAAGGAGACTATTTTGAATAAAAAGAGTGAAATTTTGAAAATAATTCAAATCTTGTATTTCTAATGAACATGGTCCTAACAGAACCCGGACACACTGTGTAAGTGACAATCACTGCAATGGCACCACACACACTCACCAACAGCAAAAAAATTAAAAAACTCACCATGAAACCAAAAAATCATGGCAATCATATTCTGGGACAGGAAGGGACCACTTCCTGTCAATTTTTTGCCTCAAGGAGACACTATCAATGCTGCTGTTTACTGTGAGATGCTGAAGAAACTGTGTTGGGCTATTCAAAACAAGCAGAGAGAAATGCTGATGCGAGGAGTCTGCATACTGCATAACAACACCCGACCACACACTGCCTGTGCCACACAGGAGTTGTTGCAGTCCTTCAAGTGGGAAGTATTGGCCCATCCACCACAAAGCCCAGACCTTGCACCAAGTGACTATCACTTCTTTTCTAAATTGAAGGGAAGCTGGCTGGAAAGACTTTTTCAGACAATGATGAAGTTCAAGACACAGTGATGATATGGCTAAGAGGGCAGGCAGGAGATTTCTATGATACTGGAATAAAAAAAAACTCATTCCAAGGCTCACTAAATGCATTGCGATCCATGGTGACTATGGTGAAAAGTAAATATAGGTGTTGTAAAAGTGCTAAAAGTGAATTAAAAAAATAATTACAAATATTTTCTGGACCTTGCATCCTTACTTTCCAAATAACCATCATACACAACATGCTCCTTTGGAACACTGGTACATGCCCACATAACCATATTGTGTCACAGCCCACAAGACCACATTCTTAACAGTTGCTGCTGCGTAAACCTCAAAATTTATAACCATTTTTCCTCAGGCTCCTGTCCTTGCCCCCCCCCTTACATGCACCCCCCCCCCNTATTTTGTATGATGAGTTGTTTTTTTTTACAGCTGATAGTTACATTTGAGCATCATTTAAAATATGATTTCTATTGGACCCATATGGAAAAAAACTGAAATGTTCTCAAGAAGTTAAAAGTGTAGATTCCAATACCAAATGTAACTGAAACAGTTTTGGATATGAAATATGCAGACAGACAGACAGAAAGAACTTCCCATTAATGCATTCATTTTACATGATTCATGCAAAGAATGCACAAAAATGCTGACAAAAAAATTTGAAAAAATAAATGGAGTGCAATATATATTCTGGAACATGATAATTCAGGATAACATGTTACATTACATCAACATTCTCCATACTGTCAAGCATTCACAGTATACCTCATGCTGTGTTGTTTCAGTGGCCATCTGCCCCTCCAGTACTTCTATGTCCTGACTGTACTTCTTTGTTAGAGACTGCAATTCCATCTCATGATCTTTCTTCAATCGTGCGACTTCGTTCGCATGCTCTTCTTTCAGAAGAGAAAGTTCTTCTTTATAATGAACAGTAAACTTCTCCTGAAGCTCAATCAGTTCTCTTGGGCAAGGAGTATCTTCAGATTCATTTGACAGAAGGGCCTAAGCAGGAATGCAATGCATGATATTAACGTGTATTTACACTTCACTTTCAATTTATTTTTGCTAATGTTCTATAAATGGTCAATCCAGTGAAAAACACAGAGCACCAGCAGGTGTCAAGCACCCAAGCAGATCTTGTATATAAAAGCCTAAGGTTTCTGTGAATGTCCTTGTTCTGTCCCTAACATGCATAAGTCAATATTGCTGGTAGCTGGTAGTTACAGAGTGGACTGCTAGATGAAAGTGATAGAGGTACTTATGCTTCAGCTAGTTCTGCAGTCTCAACCTGCACCAAAAACAAATTTCCAGTCTTGCTTAATGTGTATGTTCAATAGAACTGTAATTTAATGTATACAAGAGTGTATTGGTGGCAGGATTTTCTCTGGAGATTGTAGCTAGAGATAAGAACTGTTTATTTCAAAGGTTCTGCCCATTTGTTGCATTTGTGTTTCTTCACAATAATGTGGAGCTACATATTAATACAAGGGAAGATTACAAAATACACAGGGAAGAAAATGGAGTCCCTCATGGAAATGTCAAAATAACTGGTATTACTGAGCTTTATATAATGTCTGTCAATACTTATTTCATATCTGAAGACCAAATCACTCAGACTTGTGACTGTTACAGTTGGTCATGTTGTGACTGAATGAAATGGATCTTTGTCATTCAGTGCTGAACTAGACAATGACCACTGTGTAAGTCTGCTACCAGTTGAAAATAAGGGAAAGTGAAGTAATTCTGACTTTGTTTCTTATAGGTAAATTTTTGCCAAAAACATTTCATTTAGATACCAGCATCATTTGGTGCTGGTATCTAAATTCATTATTCCATGAATTTTAGTGCCTTAGCATAAATGCAGCTATCTTTCCAAAACTTTAACAGTTACATAGGTTAGGTACTTTTATGACTTTTTTTAAAAAAACTGATACCAAGACTTTCAATGGGCTTTACGAGTATGATAGTCACATAAATAAAAGTATTAACTGGATCATACTTTAATAATTTACCATACAACAATGTTCAGAAAAAGCAGTTACTTCTGCCTTGAATATCTATATCATTTACTAACATAAGTAAAAATTATCCTGCCATCTCTTGACATTCCAAGCTGTTTGCTGTTTGTAAATTATGATTTACCATGCAAATGTGAGAATAAATTCATCCTGAAACCAGTTAAATAAACATAAAATACATAGCTAATTACATAAATCTCTGTTCAATATAAGACATGAACATCCAACAATTAAAGCAGCACTGATTAATACAAATGTACAGACACATTTTAAATTAAACAATTACAGACCAAAATGATTTAAGAGATGTTAATCCTACATAGGTATTAAAAACATTTTTCACTTCACTCTTCCATCTTCTACCAATTAAGGCAATCAGATCTCAACCACTGTGACACCATAGAGCTACAAGCCATGGTTTGATAAGTGTGTGCTTTTATCCAGAGTAACAAGGAGACTATCCACAGAGAATGAGTGACATCTGTCCACCAGATAATACATGCAAATTCATCACTTAAAAATTACACAGCTGAAAATATTAGACAACACAAAATTAACAACAAAAACTTCAACAATAATTTATCAAAAGAACATACTGACTGATGGAATAACTTGACTCCTGACCAACTAAGTAACTGTTAAGGTTTCATACACTGTTATAACAAGTGAAATACAAAAAAATAAATAAAAAATAATAAAAAAATAAAATTAAATTAAATCAAATGCACAAGCTCTGACTATTGCTTTCACTATTTTTGTGACATACACAACAATAAACATCAAAGCACACATTTACTGAAGGCAGAAAAGAAGCCCCTACTGAAACACAACATGACATGACAGTCTGTTTCAGACCAAAGTTCACTAGTGACCTTCTATGAGTCTAAGGGTGCTATCAGCTGTTGACACAAATAATCTCTTCTACCAGTACAATAAGCAAGATGTGAATGTGTTATAGCATCTGTAGTGTGCACTGTGCCACATATGGTGGAATCTGAAAATAAGAAATGAGGGGCCTGACAGACCATTGGTCTTCTTATTCAAACACTGTAAAATATGAGGTAAGAGAGAATTTTAAAATATGAAACATAAACAAATTAAAACTGAAGACTGAATTACTGGGGTTTTGAACTTTGTCCATCATCTGGTATTCTAAAAAACACTTGATAACACAATGTTTTGGAAACTGGCATATCATACCTAGATAGTGCACAACATAAACATAAGTTTTTCACTAGACAGTTTAGCAAAAATGAAATACAGCAAGTTTCCTTTGTGTTCCATTTTTTCTCTGCAGATTCTGTTTCAGCTCAGTGTGCATGAGTGTGGGCACGCATGTGGTCATGCAGGCGCACTTGTACATTTATGTAACTTGTTTACTTTCCCTCACAGCACATGATACTGTTCATGAATATGATTCATTACAATTAATTTTCTGTAATTTTGAATTTACAAATGCTGTTCCCTTTTATTTTATACTGCAATCTTCTTAAGGTAAAGGTAAAGTTGTCTCTGTTAAGCACTAAGCAATGAAGACATATGGGGGAGTGGAGGTATAGATCGACATTTTCTTGACCTTGACACTAGTTGGAGATATGTGGTCAGCTTCATGCCCCGGCCACTTTACTCCCAGGAAAGATCTTCCAGTACTCATTGTATAGGAGGCTGGGTGGACCCCAGAGCCAGTCTGGACAACGTGAAGGAGTGAAAATTCTTGACTCCACAGAACTCAAACTCTGAGCTCTTAGTCGTCCAGCCCATAGCCAGTCATTATACCAACTACACTATCCTGGCTCCACTACAATCGTCTTGGTTGTTAAAACATGTAGTGTAACACATGATTACCTCATGCAGCACTATTTACCCATTGAATAACATAGTGTCAAAACCCACAAACCCACAGCATGAATCTTCCCCATATAAACACTAATATCTCTCTCTCTCTTGGTCTTCACAAGCACATAAACACATTCACACATGTCTTCTTGTATTCACTGGAAACTCCACTGTGTTTAGAACTGACCTGGTGGTAGATGTTTCTTGGCTGTATAGTATTTCTATATGTGCCACAAATTTTCCTTAACTATAACAAAATGCTCCGACTTTCTGTTGGCCTTTAAACATTCACAGCTTAAAATGATTAAAGTGACATTAGAAAAGGAAAATGCCTGAAGTGCCAGTAATCATTACATTCAGCTTACATATCTGACATAACCATCATTTTGGACTTTAAGTTCAAAACATCAGCATTATTCTCTGCAAATATAAGGTCTTCAAAAACGGGTTCTGGAAAAGTTTGAGTTGCCAGTACATACACTTAAATGTATAAGCACACACTTCCAAACATCAACAGAAAGGAACAGGCAGCAGGGAGTACCTGTATCTCCTCCTCCAGAGCTCTAGCAATGTCATGCTTTGCTTGTTCAACTTCATCATGCAGTCGTCCCTCGCAGTGGGCTCTCACCTGCTGCAGTTCACTTTCATGCATTTCCTTCATTTCTGAGATGGCGCTAGCAAACTTAGCATCCTACAGCAGCACACAGTAGGTCAAACACATAAGTCACTCACAAACACATATCAACACATGGACCCAAGTTTCACCATACATGCATACCTTCCATATTTCAGACTTGCCAAAAGGTTCAGAACAAACACTGCTGTTCAGCATTGAAGTGAATATCAATATTATGGTGAATTATGATACAAAGATTTAAATAAGTTCTCTGCTTAATATGTGTATTAAAAGCATTTATTTATTTTCATCTCCACTAAGTTGTACAGGACTGATTCTGAAATGACAGCATGGAAATGCAACCAGTCATGCTACAAAAACTCACTTCAAAATCTAAACCACTTTTTACTTATTCACTTTACAGGGGCCATAGTGGTATCAGTATAAGATACTGGATCTCTTTTATCAGGGGGTTCAGAATCTGATCCTTGGTCAAATCAGGCTGCCGTTGTTTCTGCTCACAGATTGAAATTTTAGTTACATTTCTATGATGAAAAAGCACTGAGAATATGAAGAATAACAGTTCCCACTTGCTGGCTTCAAGTCCATGTTAAGATGCATGTCCCTTCATGGACTATCACAGATCATCCTGTCACTGGGGATAAAAGAACCTGCCCTATGGGAACCCCCACATAGGAAATGGATTGTATACTGTTGCCTGTGCAGGAAGAGGCAAGAAAGGTTAACAGATATCACACATGGAGGCACTAGAAATTCTTACACATACTTCATGTCTTATGATCATTCACTTACTCACTCAGGGAGCTGAGCCCATCTTGAGAAGCCTCCAATTGTGCAGCTATTCAAGAATTTTCCCACCATTTTATGGTACCTGAAGGTTCATTACCATGTTCACAAGAGCCCTCCACTGGTCCCTATCCTGAGTCAGATCAATCCAATTGACACCATTACACCCTATCTCTCTAAGATCCATTTTAATATTGGTCCTCCCAGTGGTCTCTTTCCATCTGGCTTTCCTACCAATATTCTACATGCATTCCTCTTCTCCCTCATCTGTACTACATGCCCTGCCCATCTCATCTACATGTAAAACCAAGACAATCTGAGGAGTGTGAAAATTCACTTTTAATGTGTAAATTAATGTGTAATGTATATGGGCATTTTATTGATTTGAACTGTCATAGTATTAAAATGCACTTTTAGTGAACAACATATTCCTAAAGTCTTTTTAAAAATTCTATTATTGATGGATACGTTAGAACAAAATAGTTTCATGGGCACCCATACTCTTATCAGAATATTGTAAAATACTTCCCTCCTAACTGAATCATAGGCTTTCTTGAAGTCTATGAATAGGTCATGTACTGTCTCACTATACTCCCATTTTTTCTCCAGTATCTGATGAATGCAAGAGATCTGATCAGTTGTTGATTTGTTATGTCAAAATCCTCAATGATGATTCCAAATAGTTTCATCTATGTATGGACATAACCTTGAGAGAAGACTACTGGACACAATTTTGTATTAAGTTGATAGCAGTGACATCCCCCGATATTTACTACAGTCAGTTTTAACACCCTTCTTGTGAATTGGTACAATAGATTCCTTCTACTGAGCATGTAATTTTTCCTTATTCCAAATAGAATTAATTAGCTTATGGATCTTAGAACATAATATTTCGCCTCCTGCTTGAATAAGTTATGCCGGAATTTGGTCACTACCTGACGATTTATACCTTTCCAATTTTGCAATAGAAATTCCAACCTCAAAAGGACTAGGATCCAGTACTAACAGCTCAGCTGTATGTATTTCTATCTGCCGAACATCACTGACCCTATGTACATTGAATAACTGAGAGAAGTAGTTCCACCTAATCAAAATGTTGTAGGAATCTGCAAGCAGATCACCATTCTCATAGTTTACTAAGTTACTTCTTGGTTGGTAACCCCTCTTATTCACTTATTCCTCTACACAGGCCTCCAATGTTCTTATTCTTACTATTCATTGCAAGCTCATCAATTTTGTCTTTCAGATATTCCCTCTTTTTGTTCCTGAAATGCCTGCTGGTTTCACGTCTTATATTGTTTGGATAATCCTCATTTATTTCACTTGGATCTTGTAACCACTACAATTTGGCTTGTTTTCTTTGGTCTAATAATGGTGAGCATCGTTCATTGAACCATGGCCTATGCTTCTTCAGTTAATAATGTCCTAGACTCTCTTTGGCAGAAATTTTGATATTCTCTCTAATAGTTTCCCACGTCAGTTTCTAAGTTTTCCAAAACAGCGAACCTATTTGATATTAAACACGATACTGCTCTTCATCCTCTACCTCATTTAATTTCTTGTGAGTGAACCTCTCCATATGAACTCTGTGCATTGTTTGTTTGCTCACTGCCAGTCTTTCCCTAACCTTTGCCACCACTGGGTAGTGGTCAGTATCACAATCTGCTGCCTTGAATGATCGAACATCATGTATACTTGAATGTTTTCTCCTGTGTATCAAAATATTGTCAATTTGACTGCACATCTTCCCATCAGGAGAGATGAGGTCATTGGGTTTCTTTCAATTTACCTAATCCTTCCAGCCACACTATGGCCCTGGGGCCGACTCGGGCTCTAACAGAAAAGAGTACCAGGAATATTCTTGGAATGTTCTTGGGGGTAAAGGGCAGCCGGCGCATAAGGCTGACAACCTTGCCGCCATCTATGAGCCTATTGTCTAGATAATGTGGGAACCTCAACATCTCACGACCCTATTGGCCTCCATGGCCTGTTACAGGGATACATTTTCTTACTTCACAATGGTGGAACATTGTACTTTTGACAGTAAGATTTTCTGTTGTGGCAAAGTTTACTACTCTAACTCATTATTACTAATTTCATGTAAACTCTTATTTCCAACCACTGGTTTCAAAATGTCTTCCCTGCTTATTTTGGCATTGAAACCTCCTAACAAAATTTTCAAATGGTACTTCGGGAATTTATCAAATACAAGTTCTAGTTCTTTGTAGAACCTGTCCTTTATGTCATCAGTTTTATCTTCCAGTGAGGCATGAACTTTCACGACAATGATATTACACCTGCGACCTTTTACTAATATGTATGACATCCTATCACTAACGAATTCTACCTTCTTAACTGTTGGTTTGATTCTCTTATGTACGAAAAAACCTGTACCTAATTCATGATTTCCATTCCCCTTTCCATAGGTAAATGTACATATGCTGCTGGTTTGGTGCCACCTGCATCCCATCTGACCTCCTGTACTCCCACTAAATCTAACTTATACTTTGAGATTTCTTCTGCTACTGCCCTGCACGAACCTGCCCTATACATACTTCTTACATTCCAAGTGCCAAATCCCATGTCCATTTTCTTTTGCTCAGGTCGTTTATCCATAGAATCTGTCCAGGTCTGAGGCATCTTGTGATCTTTCATAACAAGCCTATTATTTACAGTGAGGAGTTGCTAGCCCTTTGCACAACCCCCAAGCTTGAGGACCACCTGTTGTCGGTTGTCCACGACTGCTTATTCAATATATTTGCAGTTTCCCTCCATACTTGGAGGGTGTCTCCTCAATCCGCAACCTGTGGACATGTCATGCCCTGGTGACAAGGGACCCACCTAACATGGCTTATGATCATTGCACTACATAAATCTGTTACTAAACTAGGAGTTCCTAATGTAGCAGTATGATCCTGCACCCATGTATACATCTGCAAGCATGCTGACTGATTATCAGATTATTAAAATACTGCAATAAGAACTGAAATTGTTAAATAAAACTCCACCATGCTACAAGAAATCAGCACTAGTACCAGAAATTGACAGTTGATCACCTTCACTAATACAGAATTTTCTTTATCTGTAATGGCAATTATGAACAACATTTCTCGCAATTTTTTTATATTATTTTATACTGATTTCAAATTTGAACAGCAGTATTTTTAATTCAGGATCCACTATTTTTATCAGTGGAACTACTTCTGGAACATTTGATTTTAAATTAAGTTATTAGATTAGTTATTCAAGAAACCATATAAACACATTAGTAATGATTACAAAGACACAAAACACAACACATAGCAACCTAAGCATTTTGCACATGCAACATTTAAAAGATAAGATTCACAAGTGGGAAATTTTCATCAACTTGTATGGGATTAAGAAGACAATATTGTTGAAAGAGTGTTAAGAGAGGGCTATGTGAGCTGTGCATGTGACGTTAGGTTCAGTTTTTCATGTCCCTATGGCTAAATTCCAGCATGAACCTAATGTTCAAAATGATGCTTCCACAAGACATTAGAACATGATGCTTCTATTCACACTCTTCTGGACAGCAGACAACTAATTAACTCCATACAGCAGATTCCTTCTTGAGAAGCCGACAGTTCCTCAACCACTCAAATAATCCTCAGCATTTTATAACATGAAGGTTCATTATTGTGTTCATTAGAGCCCATTACTAGTCCTTCTAACCTGAGCCAGATATGTCCAGTCCACAGCCTCCAACACATTTCTATATAAGATCTATTTTAATATTAGCACTAGAGAGTATATATTTACACACTGAAAATCAACTCCCAGACAAGACATTTTCTTTACGACTCTTTGGGAGCTCTCTCACTATCCAAAATTGTTCTAACCAACTCCCAGATAACTTAAAGGAAACAACACAGAATATCAACAAAGTATATGAAGGATTTGGGGTGCTGAATATTCTGTTCAAAATCAACCATTTCAGAGGAATAAGATGTAACCTCCATCTTCATGATTTGAACGATAAATCAAGCGTGGAACTAACATGAAGCAGGTAGCACACAGAGCTTCTTACACTCTGGGCCTTGGCCAGTGTCTGGACATTCTTAACACTTTATCATCACTACAATTTTAAACATAATTATTCATGTGTGGAATCATAGGCATTTTCAGATCAATGTTTGGAAAGTACAACACTTCATATTTTTATGATTCATAAATACTGAAAATAGATGAAAAATAACAGAAAAATAACTTCTTGCATCTCTGTTAAAACGATTACTGAATACTTGTATGATATCCATTAAAAAATCGCAAAGGAGTACAGTTATGTTCAAGGATGGAGAATATTTGAAAGTCTGCTGGCCAGACAAATATTTTGGTAACTTGAAAGAGAAAGAAAGTACTGAATGGCTGATGATTCCTGTCAGCTGACTTCATAAAAAATTTCTGATTCTAGCACACCAAGCTCAGAAATGATCCAACAAAATAAGTTAAAAGAATTTGGATGTGCTGTTCTGAGCAGCAGCATATGAACATTTACTGAATCGTGCACCATAAGCAATCATGGCTGAATATTATGTCTGGAGACCAGAGGCAAGTGAGACTGCTGATACTCCAGAAGTCCATTTGCAAACACCGAGTAAGAAGTAGTAACCACGCAATTCTTTTTGTCACCACTAGCAACCAGGCAACTGCATTTATTGACTCACAGCTATTAATATATGTATAGAATGCCCAAAAGTTATGTTCTTGCTTCTCCCCATCTGAGGTACATGTGGAACACTCCTCCTTGATTATGCTACTAATAATACGTGATCTGCATAAATCACAGAGTTCCTTATTGGGGAGTATCCTGTATTCCCCACCTGCTTCAAAGCTATTCGATCTGAACATAATCCTGAGCACTTAACTCTCAAATGAATCTTTCACCATTCAGACGCATACAACAGGAGCAACTTTACAGCAATTGGGCTAGTATGTACAATTATACCACTCTCCATTCAATATCCCTTCAATCTTTTAAGAAAGATCATCATAGTATAACAATTATTTTCTTAAAAATAACATCAGAACAAAATTACTTGATCATATGCTTAATATATACATGCACCAAGTTTGAATAACTGTTTAATGTATTCTCATACCACCTTTTCAGTAACATTATTTTTCAGAATAACTGAGAAATTATCAGAAGGTGACACATGGAGGAATCATACAAAAAAAAAGGACAAAAAATCAACAGATTCAGTTGTTAACAGAGTACATTATTATGATTTCAAAGGATTCATAAGCCATACCCAAACTCTAAATTAGTCAAGTGTTTTATTTTAATGTAATTTCTGTTTAACTCTGAGTACCTTCAAACTAAAATGAAATTATTAATCACTGTACTATGATCTTAGTTAATTGCAGGAATGAAACAGATTCATACAGAATCCCCAAGCAGCCCTGCTCTGTTCCCAAATAATAAACTCGCCCTGAACTGAATATATTCAGTAAATAAATTAGTAAACATAAATATGGAACCCACACTAGCACTAATTTGAAGACAGACAAAGCAGGAAACAGCACATGAATGTAATATGTACAGAAGAACAAGGTTCTCTTTAATAAAGCTTCAGAATCAGTACCTTCTCTCTGAGTTCATCTCGTAACTGCTGAATGGTGTGTAGTGCTGTTGTTTCTCTGACAGTTGTTGTGTCTAACTCCTCATCTCCATCAGTCTGATCTGTAGACACTCCTACTGTTGTCACATTCTTCGTGTGAATAATGCCCCCACCCTTCTCTTGCATGAGCCTAGAAATTTCCTCCTGTAAAGCCCCGATCTCCTGTTCATGTTTATCTCTCAGCTGCTGAAGCCATACTTCATGATGACATTCGTCCTGAGCGGCTTGAAGAGATGCCTCATGCTGCATTTTCAATGTCTGCAGATCCTGCTGATGTTGTTTTACAAAATCTAACATCATTTCTTTCTGATTTGCCATAAATTTGTCCTGAAAATTATAACAATTTTTTATTTAAGCTTATTGGTCCCCCTTGAAATAACTGGTTTTAACTTAATTATGCTGTATCAACTGTAGTGGTTATATGGGTCTAATGTTTGTATTTTCATTGAGCATTGTCCACAGATTAAAAATAAACAATGTTTTGGAGGTTGGCTGTCCTAGACTTCTGGTAAAAGAAAAGTGTAGGTAGTCTTATGGAGTCCACTGGATAAAGTTGTAACGCCTTTTAATGTGGGCTAGCAAATGAGCTCTACAGAGTACAGCCCTTTACCCAAGGAGAGCAAAATACCAAAATCTTATTCTGTCTCTTTCATAGATACACTAGACAGCCAATATCAAATTTCTGAGCATTTGTCTAGCTACTTCTCATTCAATTATCACATGAGGGTGAATCAGTAAATAGGTCGCAAATGGATACGCAACATGATATTCAAACCTGGAATAAGACCATGATTTATTTAATCCGTCTTGCAGTGCATACACTCATTTATCTCCTTCTCTCTCTCGCACTACATGTTTCGGCATAATAATGCCATCCTCAGGCATGTAGTGACGTGGATAAGTAAGCACCTGAGGATGGCATTATTATGCCGAAACATGTAGTGCGAGAGAGAGAAGGAGATAAATGAGTGTATGCACTGCAAGACGGATTAAATAAATCATGGACTTAAATCAGTGCAACAGGACGCTAAAATATAACATCTGGAATAAGACATTTATTTTCTGACATATCCTCCACAAACAGTCATACATTTGTCCCACTCTTTATCAGTGCATCGAAAACCTCAGCACAGAGATCTTTTGACTGTTGTCTCAGCCACTTGTACACCTCTGTTTCAACTTCTTTGTCATCAGCAAAACATTTGCCACCAAGGTGGTTTTTTGGCGAACCAAAGAGATGGAAGTCACAAGAGGCCAAGTCAAGGCTTTAATGCGGATATTAAAGAAGTTCCCACTGTAGTTCTTCAATTCTATCCTGGATTATACAGGCTGCTTGGGGTCTGGCACTGTCATGATGAAACAGTACCCCCCTTACAAGTTATCCTGACCGTTTTCTGTGAGTGCACTTAAAGCTTCAAAAGAATTTCAATATAAGATGCAGAATTCACATTTTCACCATGCTTCTGAAAACAGGCTAACAGTACTCCCTGAAATTCCAAAAAACATGGTAAGCATAACCTTCCCAGCTGATGGTGTACATGTAACCTTAAACTTTTTGGCTGAAGGTGAACTGGGATGTTTCCACTGCATTGAAGCACACTCTGATTTGTGTTGGTAGTGATGCACCCATGATTTGGCCCCAGTAACAATTCTGTTAAGTATATCTTCTCCTTCATCTACATACCATAAGAGACATTGCAAGGACAGACCCATGTGGTTCATTTTTTCTTCAATCCTTCAGTTCTCGGGGAAACCACTATGCACACACTTTTCAAAACTTCAAACAATCATGCATTATGCTCTATGCTAAATGATGGGAACACCCTAGTGCAGTTGGTACACTGTCTGTTGTTAACCCTCTGTCAACTCAAATCAACTCTTCCACCTACTACACAGTTGCTTCTGTCGCAATTTCAATAGGGCGACCTGGCTGTGCATCATCTGCAACTTCCAAACGTCCTTGAGAGAATTTCTCAACCCTGTTGTGAACCACTTTACACAACAAACACATCCCACCATAAAGAGGAAACATTTCTTTATTAATATTCTTTGCAGTGAGTCCTTTTGTCCACAGGAAACACACAACAGATCCCTGCTCTTTGGTACTACAACATCAAGCAGAGTCAACCATCTTGACTACTGAAACCAACCTCTGAACATGCACATGCACTTCTATTATGTAGACTGTCATGAAGGTGGACTCTGCTGCTACCTTGTGATACATACAGAAAACCTGATACGTCCATTACAACTGTTTTACTTCCATTTGGGACCTATTTACTGACTCTCCCTCATATTCCTCCCATATGAGTGATCTGATAAGTAATGTCACATGTTGGCGTGTGTGTAACGTGACAAATAACTTCACGTAGGTCAAGGATGTAGCAAATATTTATTCTCCTTCGCTTTTACACTTATACACTTTACAATGTCACAATTAACCCTTCTGTTGTAGTCACTTCTTGACTTCATTTGGTGAATGCTAGACTTCAACTCACTACAGCGGCTGCTACATTTCAACTACTCGTAATTCTTAACTGCCTCAACAAGTCAAATTCAAAGTCACACTGCGACTGACGGTCAGTCAGTCTGTCTGTCTTGGTGTAGAGCCCCGGCTCGGGCTCATAACTGCCTCAACACTGACGAGTACTCTCGTTATGTAGCTTCTGCACTGACCACACAGAAAACGTGTTTACCGATTGCCTAGCAACAGTCACTGCACGGACTCCCCTGTTGCGTGACATCACAGCCTAGCGGGGAGGGGTGTTTAATGAGTGCTGTTACGCAATAAACACTCGTTGTTACGGATATTTCTACACAACAGTCTCAACCATTTCCATTGTTTCGTTGCTCAGCAATGGGCAACATATAACATGTTACAGTATGTTAGCATCTGAGGCAAGAACTACTATAAATTAATGCAGCAAGTATCATCATTGTTTGGATAAAGCAGTAAACCATAAACATAAGCATTTATATCCTGCATGTAGGTAAACTTCACTATGGTTAAACATACCTGCTCTTCTTCTGCACTTTTCTTCCATATATTTGTAAGTTCATCGAACTGTTCTGCCATTATTTTCCTTTCAGCTTCAGTTCTTGTTTCTAATTCCTTGGCATGCTTTTCTTGCATTTCATATCTCAGTTCAGTCAATTTCTTCTGGTATTCTTCTTCATATTGCTGTCTTACATCTGTGTGGATCTTGTGCTCCAGATCAACCTACAGAAGCAACCATAAGAACAGAGTACACAAACCAATGAGCACAGCACATTTGCATCAGTATGTAGTTTCTTTAATAGAAGGTAATTTTTCAAATGCTGGATCAATTTTTTTTTGGATCTGAGTTTCTCACTGCAGTGATTATGATAAGTACAGTCTTCTGGGATGTCTGCTGTGCAGCTCTCCACACCACCTACTTCCTCTGGTTTTCCTGCCTGACTTACTCTTTGGCCCTGAAAACTGAGGTGATATGGTCATCTCAAAAGTCAGGATATCTCCCAATTACACAAGAAGTACTCTTTGCTAAATCAATTTTTTGTCATTAGTCAAATTCACACCAATAGGTACAGAACAAAAACCAAACAATTAAGCTTTGAACTTCAGAAGATAGATTTTCTCAGCTACTCCTCAGTTAACACATCTTAATGCACAATTTTATGTACATCTATTGTGTTAACCAAGGATGTAACTGAAACACACATGTGTATTATCTAAAAGTAAAACATCATTATGACAGTATTTGCATCCAGAAAAACTTCCTTACAATACAGTAGAACTGAAGTACTTGTTTCCTTATTGATTTACTAATACTTTATCATCTGAACAAGTTATATAGCAACAAATAGTTTGTTTCTGTGAGTGACTGGGAAGGGAAGAGAAGGTGGTAGTGGCAGTGGTAGTGAAAATAGGAACCTCAACTGCTGGTGACAGGCTATTCTTCATCAAAGGTCTTTCCTGCAGCGTTATACTAAGGTAGCCATTACCATGATATGTGCATTACCATAATACAAAATTATCCTCACCTTCTGAAGAACAGGATCATTAATTGCTCTTCCAGTCTGATCAACAAATGAATCCTTCAGTTTCTGAATATCTCTAACATGTTTACTCAGAAGTTCAGACTTTGTGGCTACAACATGCTCTTCTTCCCCTTGTTTCATTCTGTAAGTAAGATGTTCTATTTGCTTTTTCAAGTCATCTTCATACATGTCCTTCAATATCTCCAGTTCCTTTCTGTGCTCATCTACCATTTCCATCCGAACCTTCTCAAGTTCCTTTCCACATTCTAGATGAACAGTATTTTCACCCTTGGCAGATTCCAGTTGCAATTTTTCTTTCAGATTCTGGATTTCCTTTGCATGTTTCGATTCTATATTTTGTATTTCAGTTTTATGGGTATTAGATAAATCTCTTACTAAATCTTCTACCTTTGACTCATACTCCTCCCTTAACACCTCCATTTCATTTTGATACTTCTCTTCCAGTTCAAGCTTGACTGTCTCCAGCTGGTCTCGATATTCCACAAGACGTTTCTCAAAGTCTTTTTGATAATTTTCTTCCAAATCCCTGAAAACATTAGTGCATTAAAGTATGTCAAAGTCTTGGCACCAGCTTTTTGCTTTCATGGCAAGACAGATAAGAATGATTGGATTTGAATTTTTGGAAGTCCAAACAGTTTCATCTGGCATTGTCAGTTTGCACACATGAAAATACTCCATTCTGGCTAAGAGCATGTTCATTATACTTAATATTGGTAGCTCTCATTAAAGTTTATTGATGAAAATTTTAGACTGCATTAGGAAATTTGAATTATCATTGTAAATGATGTTCCATATTTGGAGTCAAAATTGATACCATTCAGTCAATCATACCTACCACTTCAAATAATGACCAAACAATTTTCTTAAAAAATACTACATCAAATAATAATCAGATGAATGTTTCAGATAACTGTCATGGCACTCAATGTGAGAGCAATGCCAACCCTTTCACTTCCTTCTCTGGGACTGGTCACTTACTTGTGCTTTGTCCATATCTGACAAAGGCAGAACAGTAACACACCATGATAGAACAAAATATATGTCTTTCAGAATGGACTTTCAACACAGATTTTTTCAACACAAACCAGTGCATACAAATACCTTCTGTGAATCCATGGCAGCACATACATAATTTTCTACTCATTTCCTTGCCATGAAATACCACAAATCACTGAAAAACTGTGAGAAATGGCCTAAGCCAGCAAGAGAGTTGCTGGGAGTGAAGGTATTAAGTCATACACAGACCCTTCACATGATGAGACATTTTGAGAAAACTTCTGTAAATGTCTGAAGCTCCCCACACCTCTGTATGGTCAGTTGAAGCGCAATGAACTGTGATGTATGCAGAGAGGACATTTCCGAGACATCACAGGTAAAAGGTAATGCTAAAGTTGTCCCTGTGCTTATATAATTAAGCACTATGCCATGAAGGTGTATGGGAGAGTGGATGTATAGATCCACATTTTCTTGACTGTGGCACTAGCTAGAGGTGAATGGTCAGCTTCATGCCCCAGCCACTTTACTCCCAGGGAAATAGCCCCCGGTACCCATTAGATAGGAGGTCAGGTCGACCCCACAGCCAGTCTGGACAACTTGGAGAAGAGAAAATTCTTTGCCCTATTGGGACTCGAACTCCGACCCCTTGGTCACCCAGCCCATAGCTAGTAGCTATACCGACTACACTAAAAGAAAAATTAACACTGTTCTCGGGTTTCAAACCACACGTCACAGAAATGCTGTTCTCATTCAAGTTTTCAAAACTGGAAAGTTTATACATCCCTCAGCAACTAATTAACGAATGCCATGGCACATGAATTTACTTCAACAGTTGATATTTATTCAGCCATTTAAATATTCCCTACTGCATATCTTGCCATTGTGATATACAACTAGCAAAAATTAGGTCTTACTTAAAGCTGGGCTCCACAGAGTATGAGTCACAAATGTGTGTGAGAGCTGTAAGATGCTGGCTGCTGTCTCCCCCAGCATAGTACATTTCAGAAACAAGATCTTCATTCTCTAAGCCAGAGCTGCTCCCAGAGAGTTTCCGGCTATGCTGATTGAACACTTCCTCTGAATAGCTGAAATATACATAAATGTTATCTCATTTACAGTTCCCACATCCCCCTCACATGAAGATCAGATCATGGTTTCTGCTGGCAGCAAACTAGGACATAGTCAACCCACTGCAATACAGTTTCACCAATTATTAAAGAACTTACTGGCATAAAAGGAAAATCAATATATCCAAAAATTAGTTCATGAATATGAACCTGAAGGACATGACAGAGGCATCCATGGATTTGATGGAGGACCAGTTTAAACACTTTTATATTTACATTTTCAACATTTCCAAATGCCATCTTATGGGCTATATTTACAGCTGGAACAGGTTAGACAGTCCAATCAAAAAAGGTAGACTGACTGAATGACCAACATACTGACTGACTGAATAACTAACTAACTAGTTCCAAGCAGATGATTCATTCTTGAGAAGCCAATAGTTATTAAGCCACTGAAGAAATTCCTAACATTTTATGAAACCCAAATGTTCATTACCATGTTCACATGAGCCCACTGCTGGTCTCTTTCCTGAATAAGTGCATTTTGCTGCCACCAACACGCGTTACACATGGATACCAGGATGGATCTAACAGAATCATCATAAAATAAAAATGCTGAATAAATAACCACTGGGAAGATGAGGACATCATTCCAGGTAAAGAGGCAGGATTACTTACTTACTTACTTACTTACTTATGGAGCTGAGCCCTTCTGGAGGAGAAGCCAATCTGCCGCTACTCAAGAATTTCCCAGCATTTTATGGAACCCAAAGGTTCATTACCGTGTTCACAAGAGCCCTCCACTGGTCCCTATCCTGAGCCAGATCAATCCAATCCATACCATCCCATCCTATCTCTCTAAGATCCATTTTAACATTGTCCACCCACCTATGCCTTGGTCTTCCCAGTGGTCTCATTCCTTCTGGCTTTCCCACCAATATCCTACATACATTCCTTTTCTCTCCCATTCATGCTACATGCCCTGCCTACCTCATCCTCCTTGACCTTATCATTCTAATTATACTTGGAGAACAGTACAAGTTATAAAGATCTCATTGTGCAATTTTCTCCAACCTCCTGTCACTTCATCCCTCTTCACTCCAAATATTCTCAACCCTGTTTGCAAACACCATCAGTCTATGTTCCTCCCTTAATGTCAGAAACAAAGTTTCACACCCACACAGAACCACAGGCAAAATTACAGATTTGTATATCCTAGTTTTTGTGTTTTAAAGAGACAGGATACGGACACAAAAGGAGTGGCCACACGAAGATATATAAGAATTCAAACGGCTTTTAAGACAACATGACCTGGTGGAAACATCAGTGGCTACAGATTACGTTAGTTATTAGAAGGATATGACAAAGTATGTGTCTGGAAACATATATAACAGAAATATATTCAAATTATAATCACAATGAAAACCAGCCACAAAATTAACTGACTCTTGTCACTGTCTATTAAGTTGTCAACATCAGAGTAGAAATGTTAACCCATGCAATTCCATTTAGTGGTGTGCACTGTGCATTAGTGTAAATTAGGCATGTGTGAGTCTTAAATTTTCAAGATAAAATAAAAAATAATCTTAAACTCAATTTGAATGCTGAGTACTCATTTTCAAACTTGGATAGTTATGACATAATTGCTTTTGCTCTGACTCAGTAGCATGCATGTTACATGAGACATCAGAATTTTAATGTCTCACCTTCTTTCTGCCCATGGTGAAAAAGTATATGGCTCTAGAATTTATTTTTAAATACAATCATTTATGAAATATTTTCACTGAAAAGCATTTGATACCTAGAGCACTGTGAAAATGTGGCAGATGTTGGTTTCATTACTGGAAAAAATTGGTCTGGTGGAGTAAACTCTTCATCTTCAACCGAGTTCTTGAAAATTTTCCACATTCTTGCTGCATTCTTGTTTTGAACTGAGAAAGTCATTCTCATAAATGCCTAATGTATGTCTTATCACAAGCTGTAAATTACATGTGTTAAATCTGGCTGAATGCAATATATTAATAGGATTACAGTAAACAGGAACAGTGGGACAGACAATGAAATCTTTGAACAGATGATGTGTGAGTTCAGTATTGATACATACAAGGTATATAATATTGTGATGTGTGAATCCATTGCATAGGTAGAGACTTCTAAACAAATGTCTCCTAAGCAGCGGAAACAGCTGTTTCCTACACAATGGATAGTCATTTTCATGACAACAGCTAGGGATACGAAGGGGGACCCAAAAATAACCAGAACCGACCTGTTGTGCGCGCATGCTTTGTAGTTACGAGTTGTGCTGCTAGATGCTAGCTGACGCCAGCTCACTAACAGTCGCGGGAGACCCCCAGCTAACACCACCTAGCAGCACAACTCGTAACTACGCGCAACAGGTCGGTTCCGGTTATTTTTGGGTCCCCCCTCATACACCATGAGCATATACACAGATATTGATAGTTTTATATGTGATAGACAGAAGTCTCACTAGGAGGGTATTTACCAAACCGGAGAGCTACATCATTTGATCATTCTGTGGTACAAAAACATACCACTAAAGATTCCTGTGTGACTTCCACTTAAAACTGTCAGAAATTAGTCGAACAGTTCTTCATCTTTAATCTACCCCATACATAAGCCAGTCAAATTCCCTGCCTTAAAGACTGCTGCTGTATCAACCTTGTGATGTTCCATGTGCTTACGTGTCAACACAGAAACAATGCTGAATGTATGAGCTGCAATTGTAAGGACTACCTCAGAAGAGATCTGTGCTTAGAACTGTCACAAGATGGCAGGCAACACATTTCTAGATATGTAACTGCCACATACCTGGATTTATATACAGAATATTTTTTTTAACTTCAGGGATTTATAAATATCATTGGAACAAAAATCTTGATGACAGTGTTGAGTGGCACTTCAGAATTGGGCTATTTAACATATTTCAGATAAGTTTTACTAGAAGAATATATTAGCAGTTATAATTCCAAAGATATATATGTATATTTACATATTTTCAATAACAACACCCTTATAATTTAAACCCCCATGTTAAGATCCAGCTGTCAGTGATAAGCATTTAAATTCCTAATCCTACATGATGAAGGTCAATCAAGGGGTAGGGGGACACAAAAGTAATTTATTTATGTACTTAGCCTGCACATATTAAATGAAAGATCATACAAGAAATTTATATATGTACACTGCAAGCAAGGTCATAGCAAATACTTTATAAAATCAAAATGTTCATGCCTGTAAACACAATGAGAGACTGTACAAAAGTTTGTACTTTCAAACATACTTCAAAATGCAGTGATGTCACAATACACACGTCTGACAAACAGGCATAAAAAATAACAGGCAGTAACTTACTGTTTCTCAACATCAGCACATTTCTGTTCAAAATACTGACGCAGTTCTTCCATTTCCTTGGTATGTTTAGTTTCCATTTCTTGACGCAATTCTGTGAGGCCAGAAATGTTTCCACATTTCACATTTGCTATGATATCACGCAATTTTGCCACTTCAACATCATGCTCATGGGCTAGCAAGTCCATTGCCAGTCTACACGTAGTGAGAGGTGCAAATATCAAATTATGTGGTCCAAAATGAAACAAAATTTTATTCTGTATACATGCAATACTGTATTTACTAGCATAATCCATGCATATACATGCCAGTTTTCATCACATAGTCCAATGTGTCCATGTGCTATTTCACAAACCTAAAAATAAAAGTATTTTACTTCAATAACCAGACTCATTCAAATGTCATAAAAGCAAAGGTTGAAAAAAAGGTTGATTCACAGATTATTTATAAGTGGATGTTGTTAAGTCCTATATTCCTATTCATATTTCATATTTTCTATATTCCTATTCATATTTCCAGAATCAGTTGCTAAGCAGCTGTAAGCTTATGAAATTTGGCACATGTGCAGTTCAGGGTTGTCTGTACTTGACAACTTTAATTATGGTGGCTTTCTCAGTGGTCTTTTAGAGAAAAATTATAAGAAATGTTTAGAAATACATGAGATAAGAGGTGTTCTGGGATGTGAGACCATATAATGTGGTAAAAGAAATCGATGTTTTGGATGAGCTGCTACTTCCATCTTCAAGGTAGAAAGATCTCATGAAAATACAGCTTACAGCTTCCCCTTCAAAGTGCTGTTATGGACATTTGAGGTTATTAAGCATAAAATGTTACAATAGTGATCACACATTGTGAGCTGTAAAGTGGTGCAAGGAAGTGACTGTGGTATATTTCAAAGGACTTCCCAAAAGAGAGTGAGGAAAACCACCAGATAACTTCAATCAAAACAGCAACTGTTCTGTCTGAGGTACAAAGTTTAAGACATTAGTTATTCAACTTGCCCCGAAGCGAAAGACTTTATTGATCTGCCTTGCACTATGTTAAACATTTCTGTTTTCCTGTCATATCTTGTGCAACTCTTTGATAATGTGGAAAAAAAATCTCTTCTGACTATTATGTCTATCCGTCCCCATAATACAGCAATTTCTTGACAAAATTAGCCTATTTACCAAATATGTCCATCATCGACTAACATGGTGCACGATCTTCCTACAAAACTGACACTCATTTTATAATGAAATCTCCTGTTCTTATGGAAAGTGAAGCTTCAATATCATGTTCACAGAGTACTGTCATTCCCCATTATAGAAAGCCAATCATCCTCTCCACACGTACACCACCTGCTTCCCTAAGATCAACTCCAATCTTGAGGAGTACAGTCTTGTGGGTTGTGACACTGTGTAGCTCAGAGATAAGTGTGATGTTTCAGTGGACATATCACCTCCATCTTGATGGTCAAAAATAAAGCAACTGAAGAAACCAGCAGAAGCAACTTGCGATCTGCTTCTGTTCTGGCATCTCACTTGACTTAGTATTTGACCCTAAAGATAGACATGACATGTTTCTCTGAAAAAACAACCTCTCACTCAACTGAATGGTGATATAACCTGGAAGACCATACTCTTTTTAGTCACCACCGTGAAAATCTCAAATCCAATTCTTTTATTGCAAACCCAAAATGAAAATTAAATAACTAAAAGAAATGAAGGTTTATTTTGTGTATATTTTTTAATATAAATAAATACTGATTCAGAAATTACTGTGAAACAATAATCAGCATATAAAATGAGCTAAAAAATTATACTTTTAAAAACAGATAACAGCTTTTGGGACATTTGATGATGCCTAATATGCCTGTGTTTTGCATCTCTTTCCCCTCACCTTATATGCATATGACATGTAAGGCAAGTATTGTGCAAGTAGATACAGTAACATGTTCATGCCAACATAAACCATTAAAAACAAACAGAAATATGTTAAAAAACTGCAATACATCAGATTTCCAGAGATATAAACCATACTGTAAAGCACTTAAGATTTAAAAATGCAAAAGCAAAATGAAAGATAAAAAGTGCCATAAATAAAATATGCATACATATTTAAAAGCATTATTTCCTTACTATGCTGCTGAAGTAAACATGATATTCATTCACATTCATGACATACTTGTGTTTATTTTCAAGTTCTTCCTTATCTGCAACCAGTTTGCTTATCTGATCTTGCAGACTTGCTACTGTTGTTCCCTCCTGGACAGTTTTCTTCATATGTTCAACTTTCTGTACAAGCTTGGCATGTTCAGCATCTAGCTGGAATTGTAGACTATGCAATGCTTGCATATGACGTTTTGCTACTTCTGTGTGTAAAACTGTTTAGAGAGAAACAAAATACAGATACAACTAAGTGAGTTACTCTTAGGTTATTTACTGATACTATTTCAGGCAACATTGCACTGAATGCATTGGGAAGATGAATTAGGAAAAGTAAGGAGATAAAGATTTGAAAATAAGTAGCTTTGGCCTATCCAAACAGTCACATGAATAAACTATGGGAAACCACGAAACATCTGTTAGGATAGCTAGTTATTCAGTCAAGATATGAAGGTAAATAGTCCAAAACACATGACACTATATTTGGCAGAATATCAGCCACCCTTGTGCAGAAGCTGAACCCTGAGAATTATTTGATATGGAAATGAATATATATATATATATATATAGTGCATTTATATTCTTACACACAGCTCAGAATAAGCAAGTTCCCCGTAGCTCTGTGCAGTTACACACATGGTTTAAAACATGTTAATTTAATGCTGGGGGTTGCAGAGGGGATGTAATAACATCAAAAAATATGTTGTGATGCATTTCCATTAGGACTCCACTAGCTGGAAACACTGTTTTGAATCACTCCATATTAACATATAATTTAATCAAAATTAAAGCATCACCTCTTGGTCATAACACAGAACAAGCACCGTTATCAGATCAACGCAATCCAATGACACTTACTCTTCTCTAAGAACCACATCTAAGCCCCACCCTGATTTTAAAAGCATCAGTTTTGGAAAAAAGTGTGGCTTATAATATTCATGCAAACACAGTACGAGGGGCGTTCAAGTTCTAAGGTCTCCGATTTTTTTTCTCAGGACTGGGAGCAGACAGACACATGCGGTTTTGTTTAAAATACGTGTGCACTCTGTGAATGCATGACAGAGATGGCAGAACTCCACGGCACACAGAACTCTAGTGGTAGCGGCGAGTGTGAGGAGTGTTTTTGATACTTAAAATGGCGACGTTTTCGTTACAAGAACAGCGAGTAATCATTCGTTTTCTCCACTTGCGTGGTGCGACACCCATTGAAATTCATCGCCAGTTGAGTGAGACATGTGGTGATGGTGTCATGAATGTGAAAAATGTGCGTTCGTGGGCGCGACAGTTCAAAGAAGGCCGAACGTCGTGTGACAACGAACCAAAACAATCTCGGCCTCGCACCAGCCGGTCTGACAACATGGTCGAGCGAGTTGAGAAAGTTGTTTTGGAGGATCGCCGATTGAGTGTGGAAAACATCGCCCCCAAAGTTGGCATTTCCGTGGGATCTGCGCACAAAATCCTGCATGAAGACCTGCGAATGCGGAAAGTGTCCTCCAGGTGGGTTCCACGAATTTTGGCGGATGACCACAAGGCTGCACGCATGGCAATGATGAAGGCATGAATGGGACTTTCTTTTCATCAACTGTGACAATGGATGAGACATGGATGCCGTTTTTCAATCCGCTATTGCATCAGCAATTTTCCAGTGGTCAAAACAGACTCCTACAGAAGCGTTCGCAGCGGCCATGGAATCATGGCGTCGATGTTGTGAAAAATGTGTACGGCTGCAGGGAGATTACGTTGAAAAGTGACAGAAGTTTCAAATTTTTTGTATGATTATTGTGTGAGAAAAAAAAATTGGAGACCTTAGAACTTGAACGTACAACGTATATCCCACTCCAAGATCTGTGTCAACAATCAATAAATACCAAGGCCAATGAAGTACATAATATCAGACAGAAGGGACTTTAAAAATATTATACCTTTCCATTCTTGTTTCACAAACAAATGGCATCTGACTGTATGATTGTTGATTCTACACAGTACAAAGCTTTACTTAGTTATTTTATTTTTATGACAGATGAAGTATTATTAATGAAATATATATGAGGTTTATTCAAATGATACCCATTCACAGTGCCACTTGTAGAAATGGTTAGTCGCATGTGATGACATGGCTGTGAACACCAGCATTCAATCATGAGCTGTATGACATAGTGCATGCATTTGAGAAAATAGGAACGGTGTGAGGGGCAGAATCAGTTCAAACAGGTCCAATAAGCTGTCATTCAGCTCTTTGATGCAGAAGGTTATCTACTAACATTAATGTAGAACACTCCAAGACCTTCACCCTGCCATGTTCATAAGGGGTGCCACCATGCTGCATCCATAAAGCCCACTTCCTCACAACCCACACTGTCCAGGAGACATTATGTTCCATGCACCAGAAGGTGTTGGATCATCCCTATACAGTACAGACCTGTCAATGTGTTCAAATCCCTCAAGAACAAACTAAAGAGGTGTTTGTTTGGGTAGGATATCAAGACCATGGTGGTGAAGTGGTTCCAGTAGCAGCAGAGGGGATCCACCACCCAGTGCATCAACAAGCTACCTATCTCAGCATACATGTGGACTGTTTAATGACCTCTGCATCTCTGAGCAGAACAACTCCTAAATGGGTTTCATTTGAACAAGCCTCAGAAATACACACTCAAGTGTGTCTACAGAATACAGTGATTAAATAAAAAGTGACTGCCATAGCAGAGAGCAAAACTGGCATGACAGTGAAGACGGACATCTGGATCTCTATTCTATACAGTGTACCCTAAATCATTAAATGAATTACAATCTAATAAGATGAATGCCTACTTTTCACTGAATCCATCAGACACAAAGGAAATTAGGTTTCCAGTTAACTGGGTCTCAGCATGTTTGAAAAATTGACTGCTATGTAATCAGGCAGGAAACATTTAACCTTTATCCTACGGGCATTTAAATTCTGGGAAGGGCAGCGGTACGGAATTAATTTAAATACCCGCGATTAGAAATCCATAAAAACTGTAGTCACTTACTAAATTTGCTCCTATTTCTGCAATTTCTGTGATAAACGAAGGAAATAAACGCTCTTTTTTTCTCGAAAGAATATAGAATCAGATACTGTAATTTACAGATTGTATAAAACATGTTAAAATTTTTACACTGACTCCAAATAAGAAATTCCCCAGTTTTTTAGTTTCTCTACAAGAATTCATAGAGTTCTCGGTAAGTATGAATGCAGGCTGGTGGGTGACATCACTTGACAGCTATGGCAACACAGCGGATGTTGTGTCTAAAGCTTCTCAGTGTCTAAATCACGTAGTTCTTTCGGTANTCTGGAATGGAGACGGTGGACGTGTGATATAAACTCATGTGTTGTATATAGAACTCTGCTAAACAATATGTGTCCTGTTCTTACAGAGTTCAAGGCTAGCATTCTTTATGCATGAGTTGCCGTACCGACACACAGCGTGCATCGTGGCTGGAAGCGTTCAGTCGAGTGTAAAATTTCAAACTTCGATCGTAACATGTGGTAGTGTCATTTGGAATATTCTGACATATTTCAGCTCATCAATGACTTCGATTAAGATTGCAGTACCGACAATTCTGAGAGTGACGTTGAAGGTAGCGAATCATAAAGTGATTTCGAAGAATACCCATCATCTTTGTCGGCAACCTGGGGGCCACCACACCAGCATGGCACGAGGAGTGTGAATAATTATTCAGGTGGAGCTGTGGGCAAACTGTGGCAAACAGTTATAGCATCTGTTGTCGAACCTGGAAATGGACAAATAAGCTATTTTTCCATCTCCTTGATCTGAACAGTTACATCCTGTTGTCACACAGAGAATTTCGTCTCGCTCTTGTGCGGAACATGCTGGAAGGGGTCCACCTCGCCATCAACGGCCAGGGGTCGAACCCCTGCCGTTTTATGGGAGATATCTCGATTATAGAAGGCCAAACCACATCACTGGCTGACTTCCTCTACTTCGCAATTGAGGTGTCGTGTGTGCTTTTCGCGTGGGAAACGAAAGACCGTCCGGACAAAGTGCGTGAAGTGCGAAATCGGACTCTGCATTTCCGGATTTTTTTGAGAATTCCACACGAAGCCAACATTCCGGCAGATGATGCAGGTGGGAAGACAGACACTCCATGCAGATGGTGGCCAAAAATTATATAAGTAGGACATTATTTTCTACCTTAAAATGTATTTCAAATAACGTCCGCACGCGCGGACTGTGCAACCCCATATGGGGTCATTCATACCGCCGACTAAACTTGTGCGACCCCATACAGGGTCTTTAGTCGTTTAAAGGTTAAATGCAAGTTTCTTGCTTCTGCCAAAAGGAGAGAGTTTCTGACCACAAGAAATTGTATATTGTAATGGACAATGGGAAGAAAAGAAACACTGAGCTAGATAAAAAGAAGACGTTGCAAGTATAGCCTCGGAAGGAAAGGACTGGTGATGTACTGTTAGGCTATTTGGGATAAACAGCCTTATGAAGGGAGCAGCGTGACATGTCAAACCGTTGTCGGGCAATGGGATGTGGAGTGAGTTACCATGAAGACAGACTCTTGATAAACGGTCAGTTGCCAAGTTACGCAAGAGTGGAAATGAGGTTACACAACAGTAAGGAAAGCAGTGTTTCTCAGTGACGTGCTGAGCCTAGACGAAGCGCGCTGGTTGCTACACAGCAATAAACAACTCTCGGCACCACTGCTTGATGGTGTCACAACAGTGAAACAGGATGCATTTTCTACTGTCTGACTGAGGGTTTATAAGAGAGACTGGAATACCTAAGGTGTCAGCCCTGCGAATTGCAGGAGGCGATGAAAATGGAGGTGTCAAATCTGAGACAGTAAAGTATGGTCGCAAATACCAAGGGACTTGGACCTGAGAAAGACTGCGCTGCCAAGGGCCAGCAGCATATACAAAAGACAGACTCGTCCTCTCATCAGAGAGAGCGGCCCACAGAAACAAGACCGTAACTGTCAAACGGTAATAAATATCTGGTCATGAGCCGCATATGAGGCTCAGAACCAAGACTTACTGACTGACTGACCGTCAGTCACAATGTGACTTTGACTCTGACCAAGGTGTCAGTTGAAATGTAGCAGCTGCCGAAGACAGTGTCAGTTAGTATTCCGAGTATTTGGCAAGTATTTGGAGTGAGTGCAAGACAGTAGCAGGAAGAAGAAGAATGGAACGTGTGTTAAACTGAAAACAGCGTGAAGAGATTAGTGTGTAGGGTTTGTAAATTGTGTAAACCCACAACAGTGTTATAATCAATTGTAGTTACGACTTGTAGGTTGTTAATAAAACCAATTAACAATCCCAACAGCGTCTTCAGTAGACAAAACATATTACAATATATAAATTAATATGGGTTAATCTACGTTAATATGTCAAATAAGGAGGATATATCTAATTAACACCAGTACTTTATGTAACACTTTTACCATAACTCAAATTAATCTTGGCACTGTAACGGTAAACTAATATCGGGAAAAAGTTAAATAGTTCCGTCCAGTGTAACTGGTTAATATGGGGAAACATGGTAAGACAGAGATATTAAACAAGATAAAAAGAGAAAAAATTAAGCACTTCAACAAAATAAAGAGCCCAAATATATGTAGATGACACAGGGCAGCATCACATTCTTTATACACACTGCAAACTTTCTTACTGCGTAGTCCATTAAAAAATTTTATAATGTACCACATTTATTTGCATAATTGTAAAAATGTTATCCAAATAATTGTGACTGAAAGCTGTCATGCATAAAATATATGAATACTACTTTTCAGGGTAGAATTTTACATTTGAATGCAATAATACAACACTTTACAGACTGTACACCCACAGACTTTGCCACACGATTCCTTGATTAACACTGAGACAAAAATATTCCTTGATAATATTAAAATAAATGCATAATCTCTGTGGAAAAAGTGATTAAAGTTCTCCAAACTCTGTGGTAATATTTGACTTACCATCAAACACTTTGTGAATGTGTGTGCACATTTGCATGTGCGTGTGTATGAAAATTGTGTGCTGGTCAAAATGTCAGCTATGGTAAAGCATAATGTATAATTTTCTTTCTAAGTTTCTTGTCCACAAGTAGAAGTGTGTAAATTATGCAAGAAAATATAATAAATAAAGTAAGTCATCCTGTCTTCTACCACAGCTAAGAGCACTGACTCTGAAGACCTCTCTCCTTCCTCTGACATCTACTTTACATCCATGTACGAACTAAATAAATACCAAGCTTCATTCATAATTCATGCTGTAGAATCTCGTCTTTTCCATCTCCTGTAATTCATGAAAAATTATCCGACAGTACCTTTTGGTGGGGGTATACAAATATTTTATGACAGAGCAACTTACTATTGCTTTATAAAGATGGAGTGGTTTGACAATACTATTCCAACTTTCACAGCAAATGGCTAACAACCTGACACAACAAACACATCAGTTGCCTAAGCTTACCTTCAGCCTGTGTAAGTAACAGCTCCTTGCACTCAAGAAGCCTCTTGATGTCAGTGTGACTTACAGGTGCTTTTGCTGGCATGTCAGGACCTGTTTCCTGAGATGCTGACTCATCTTGCTGCCACAGGTCATAAATCTGCTTGTTCAGAGCTTCCAGCTGCTCCTGACAGTCACTGTACCAGGTTTGAACCCATCCCTGCAACATATCAAAGCTGACATACTTGCACTTTTATATTGCCTACACTGCAGCTGACAGAGACTGTTTTCATTCTGTAACACAAGGTGCTTTACCTGCCAACTTCTCTATAAAATTACAGACAAACACATTCTGTAATTCTGTGCAAACCGAATCTAACCACGAGTCACGAGATTATCACAACGGTGTGGAGTCTTCTGGGCTGCGCTATGTCAAAAAATTGCCAACATCAAAGATAACCAAATATGATTATGAATGATGAATGGCAGGGATTTTAAAAGAGGCCTATTTTAAGGCACTATTCCAGAATTTGTCAAAAGTCCGTGAGGATAGCCGGTAAACTGACCACAATCTGAACTGGGTACCTCCAGCATACAAACTCAAAAGGATTACTAAACCAATAAATTGCTCAGTCAATATACTTGTTACTTTAAAATGTTAAAGAGTTGGATTTGCCAAGTTGAAACACCCTGGCATCACATGAAACAAGAAGCGCAATTTCTTCAAAAAATATGGTCAGGCATAAATGGAACTGTCTTGGAACTGTAATTAAGTAATACTGCTAGTGATAAACCTGAAATAAGTGATTAATATGTTTTATATTTTTCAGCCTCTTTTCTTACTTTATAAGGAAAAGATGCTTGTGGTACTATGTGTATGCACATATCAGTCCCCTGTATTAACTTTCAAACCAATCAATGGACTGTCATGAGTCAGTAGGGACACCATGCCATCAGAGGACAATCCCCCATGTACATTTTATCTGCAATACCAACATCAAACTGGCATGTCAGCTTCTACTTGCACTACTTAACATATGACCCCAATATTCTGTGTGGTAATGGTCTTCAAAAAATAAGAAACTTTTCTAGAATCTTTTGTGCTATTTAAGACAATGTGGCAGATATGCACAGTACCCATTTAACTTTCTGCTTGAATGGTGATATTTAATTAATCACCACAACCATTGGGAACTGAGACTTCTTTCCCCTTTAATTCCTTGACTTATGATCCATGACTGCATATGTGTTTGCTCTACTAGTTGTTGTGGGTTATTTGCTGAGCCAGTACACTTCCCTGCTGTGATGTAACAGTAGAGGAGCTGTGCTAGGCAACAGGCCAGTAAACACTTCCCCACTGTGACATAACAGTACATGTGCTGCTGGAGGGGACGTTTCCCACTTGTCTGATTTGAAGTATAACAAGCAGAGCTGAGGACCGAGCAGGGCAGTGGTGCGGACAGAAGCCAGTAGAAGGCAGTGGTGTCGACAGAAACCGGTGGTTAGCCAGCACAGAGACATGGACAGTTCTACAGTCTAGTGAGAGTTGTTAACATGTAAGGAGAGACTGTGAAACAACTTGTTTAACATTTGTGTTATAGTTACGTTGAACTGTAGTTACAGCATTGCGTAATAAAGTGACGTTGCAAGAATACGTCCCTCGAGGTCTTATTTCACAACAACAACAACTATAGAAATGAAATTTTGTACAGATATAGTTACAAAAATAACTAAACATTCTGTGTGAAAAATTTATCTATGTTAAAAACCACAAACACTGCAATAATAAGAATCTCTGATGTTATGTCAGACAAACCTCACATAATGGAAATCTAAGCTATTCAGAATTATGCATAGAAACAGATCACTCAGTTCTAGTCATCAGGTCACAGTTTCCTTCTTGCTCTTCTAGGTAGAGGGAGACTCATAAAGCAAAATAAGCATCATAAGTTACTGCAATAACTCAGGGTTGTTACTTTATCTCATAAAAAATTGGTACTGTGGGACCAAAAGACTGAGATATTTCATCCATCAATCTGCATAAAATGGAAGTGATGTTCAAAGAGGAAGAGAAAGAACTTAAGCATTCCTTGATAGTCTCCAGGGACTATAATCTGTAAGAAATTATCTAACAAGGTTTAAGACTCAAAATGATGTAATTCCTGTCTGTAGTAATATCAAAAACAGAACTTTAATGAGAGTTAAGGAAAGGAAACATAAACAAAACCCATTTTACAACTGGCCGAAAAAAACACTGCAGTAACAAGAAGGAAATCATGACAGAATTTTGTAAACCTTCCCAACAATGTAAGCAGTGCCAGAATAAAAACTGTCTAAGCCAATGACTGTAATCAGGAGACACAAATTAAGACAATGTAAGGAGGTCAAAACAACTATCTGAAAGGAGCAAGGATGTCCATCATAATTATGTTAGTAATGTCTTGGAACCGAACAATTTATATTGTCACCCTGCTTTAACTTAAGCCCACACATGACAATAATTTGGGCAATGGATATCCATAATTTCCTTTCAGGCTACAAGCCCCACTTGTCCCAACTTTTCCATAAGATTAGTCCTGTAACTTCAAAGGCCAGAGCACTCTAACCTTAAGAGTTGAAGTATATTCCATACACATTTCTTGTTTCAGCTGCTGCACACTACTTCGACTTGAGCTGCCATCATGTGATTGCTTCAGGAGGGAAATTTCTAGTTTTAGGCCTTTTGTTACTTCATTCAGTTCATCACTATGCTTCTTACTTAAGTCCTACAACATAAAGAAAATACCATGGATTTCCAACATGCGATTCCTTCTAGGTCATATTTTCTTCTTTTTATTATGATTTATTTCAAGATGTTTTCAGTATCACCAGACTACACAGCACTGAATAGTAGGATGACAGATGAAGGATCTCGAAGGAAGCAGTCATGACCAGAAGAACAAATCCTGCATGTTCTGTTACCATGGTTTGTGCAAATATAAATTCACCGCCATTATGGTCCAAATGCTCTTTTTATGGGTAAAGAATGAAGAAATACAGGGAGATCGAGAAGTCGTGCACATCACAATACGCAATTATATTTTGCTGGTTTAATGCACCAACTACAAGACATACAGCACTTACTAATAATGTTTATAACCTTACATTTTAGAAATGCAAAATTAAATCATGTCTTTAAAACATAAGCTCGAAATGGCTTCCCTGTTCAGCAATGCATGTGCATCGCTGTCGCAATGTTCCTCTTGAGGTCATCCAGTGTATGCAGATTGTTCTTATAGACAATTCCTTTCAGGCACCCCCCAAAAGAAAAAATCTGCGGGTGACAAATCGGGCTAATGCGGGGACCACAATCCTTTCAAAATGAGACGGTCACCAAAAAACTCGTGCAGGAACTGCATGGTTTCATTAGATGTGTGACATACGGCACCGTCTTGCTGCAACCAACACTCACATTCATCAACTTCATGAAGCACAATAAACTGTGTAATGATGTCTTGGTACACTGGACTGTTCACTGCTGTTTCAAAGAAAATTGGGTTCACTATTTGACGACGTGATACAGCACACCACATGCCAATTTTCTGACAGTGCAAGGGCTTTTCATGTAACACATGTGGGTTTTCAGATGACCAAATCCTATTGTTTTGACTGTTCACGTAGCCACTAAGGTGAAACCATGCATTGTCAGTGAAAAAACCCTGATCAAACTCTTCAATTCCGTGCTTGCCAACAAATGTCCAAAACCATCTACAGTACACTAAGCATTTTTCTTTATCCAGGTCCTTCAGTTCCTGCACACAGTGAACACTATATGCACGAAGGTGTAACTTCTTCATCACTTTCTGAGCAGTTCTGTATGAAATTCCTGATTGGGCTGATAGTCTCCTTAGGCTTTTTGAAGGGGAACGCTGCAACATTTTCTCCACGTCAGCCAGTTTAGCCTCAGTCGAAAGGGCCGGTCTCCCAGATTTCTTCCTATCTCAAACTGATCCATATTCCCGAAATCGGTTGATTATTCTCGTTATCGTCGGAGTGTTAGGAACTGCACAACCCAGATATTCCCGACGAAACTTGTCTGCGACACATGCATAAGAATGACTGGCAAAATAATGTTCCACCATGAAAACTCGTTCTTCGGAAAACGACATGTCTGTCACGCAATAAACAAAGCTATACTGCAGTCAGCGTATGACCGATACACAACAGACCGTGTTTCTACTCATTAGTACTCCTGCAGTACCATCTAGCGGTAGGAGATATAATTATATTAACTGCAATACAATTTATAACAACTTTTAGTTTGATGTGTGTGACTTTTCGATCTCCTTGTATATTCACTTTGACTCACTAAATCACTGCAAGAAGGAAGTTAAGGACTATAATAAATCTTCAAGGAATGCATCCTGTTGTGTTCTTCTACGAGGGGGTACCCAAAAGAAACTGAACTTATTTTTTTTT